TAATCCACTCTCTGATAGGATTATGGAAAAGATATAAAAGATTATTTTGAGAAGGGTGCGGCGGCGTTACGTGTATCGGATCAACCTGGTTGCCGATCGCAAACACGAAACCCGGTTATATTTACCGTACACCATAAACACGTATAGTCACCCACACTTTTTCACGTACGCGCCCACAAGGGAGTAATGGATAAAGGGCCGCTCCTGCTCGTTACACGATTCTCCCAACTTATCTGCTTTTATTCCTGATTCGAGACACGGTTGCGCCCATACACCAATTACACGGATCACGCGATTTTCTCCCCCCTTTTTTACTTACGAATTTTCTGCTTAATAACCTCGTGTTCCGAGTAGAACAATGTGGAAATTGCGTGAGTGAATATTTTTACTCGAAAACCATTTAAGAATGAAATTTCTCGAATTTTCTTAGTGCACCTAGGAAACCAACGTACGAATCACTGATATCGCGTGCCAAAGTAAAATCTTCACTGTTTTTTAATATTTCACCGTTTAATCAGAATTGAGGAATCTAATCGAGCTATCGTGTAATATCTAATTATATCGAAATTATTAAACTCATTTTTCAAGAACATAGGATTCGTTTCTTTCGATAAAATGATCAATGATAATAGGTTTATACTCTGTCAAATGAATTATTAATTACGCTATGTTTCTATAATTCTCCAGTCCTAACTTTACAGCTTCCTTTTCCATCGTTTTCAAATGTAACAAATTAACAAATGTGAATTATAAATAGATGATCATGATTTCATTAAATGCTTGACGGATAACGAGCACGGTAACGATGAATTACATTTTAATCACGCGTGCAGGCAAACTTCCAAATCACGTTTTGTAATTGGCACTGTCCGAAAATCTTACAGTTGTCAACGCGATCATGTACCTACAAATTGCTATGAAACAGGTCGTCTTCGGAAACATCTGTTGGCCGCACGTGATCGAAACGGTGAACATTCTTTCGCCGATATCAAACTACCTGTTGGTATGACATAAGCGCAATTTTCAAAGAAACGTCTCTCTATGAATTTCTTTACAAGAAAACTTATTTTTCAAATATTCCAAAAGCATCTGCGATCATAATAAAAATAAAAAACTGATTTTTGACGATTAAAGACGGTGCCAAATTCCAGAAATAATTCGACAAAGTATCTTTTTTATTAAAACTCTATTCGACCGTTCCAAATGGTCCATGATAACTATCATTTGGCAGGATTCAAGGCACATTATCCGGTGGCAAAACAACTTAACGATCGAGGCTGGAATTTTTGCCAAGCTGATTTTTACAAGATTGACACGAATTCAGGAATGCAGTTGGCCAAACGGAAACCTAAATATGTATACATATAAAACAAAAATGATACAATTTTACAAGGATTTGTTTGAAAAATATAGGCCAGCATGAAACTTGGATAAAATAATCCTTCTCGTGAATCCATCCCTTTGTATTATAAATACAGTTTTTTATCGCACAGGGCAGCAGTTAATTTGAAAATATTATACTACGATAAAAGCTTTTCTGAAAGTATCAGATTAAATGTTTGATATTCACGCGTAGGTATGAAAAGCCCGGGCAAAGCCGGCCGGTTTAACCCAGTAACCCTCCTGGGAAAAGTGGAACAAACGAAATGAAAAGCTGGCCGACGTTCAGCGACACATGCGATTCACGTGAGCGAAAGAAATTCGTTTCGCGATTTCGTTTTGAGAAACGAAACATTGAAATCGATCGATCGATCGATCGATCGCAAGAATAAATGATTTTTTTAACGCAATCGCGAAACACGTACGAACGAATAAAAAGATAGATACAAGTTGCTTTAAAACGCTTATGCAAATTTTCTTATGCAAATTGAGTAACAAAGAAACGTTTGTTTCGAAACCTCTTCTTGTTGTAACATCTAAAGCCTTAGTGTACGGAAACATTTCATTCTGCTTTGCCACTATTTGTTTCCTTTGAAAACATATGGTTTCTATCCTGAATGGAAAACAAAATAGCACACGAGCATTTGTATAAACGTAAACGTTTCGAAACGAACGTTTACAATTAGTTTTTATACAGTTATTTCAGTGTTCGTGAGAAAAGGCATACAGACTAGGTTCTACAAAGTTTTTCAACTACAACTTATTAAACGAGCCTTGCATTATCTCCTCCTTGTCTGTTTGTACAACTTGTTTTAACTCAATGCATAGAAGCTAAGAATAAATTCAAATCTTTTCTAAAAATAAGTGTATAATTTTTTGATTAAAGAGTTTCAAATATTGGGAGAATAATTTTCAATGGATTAGTTTAGAAAATGAATTAAAGTAGAACTACCAAACCAGTCTTTCTTATTTTAATTTATAAATTTGATCGAGGTATTTTTATTGAAATGTATGCTGGCTATTGTTGAGATAAAGAATGAATGTGTATACTTAACCCTTTCTCTGCCACGCGAATTTTTTAACTTGCATCAATGGGCCACAAATTTCATATTAAAAATTTTCTAATGGCAAGAACGGTATAATCTTGCCAATAGCACATTTTTCTTATCGTTAGTGGTGGTCACCATGGCCCAAATGAAAAGACAAGCGCCGATCCCATGAGACCACCGTGGCAGCGAAAGGGTTAATTATGTTTCATTCTTTATCTATTCAATTTTCTACATGCCGACTTTTCCCCTACTCCTCGTTAATTTATAGAAAAAAAACCCTAGATCTCACAATCAGAGGATTACAATCAATCTCTGGCAAGTCCGAAAACGAACCTTTCGCATGTCGCGTGAAAATTAATTTTACTTTCGTGATTCGTAAGGACAATAGGTGGGATGGATGACAGACCGAATCGAGCCCAGTATTTAGCATTAACACGCCAACCGTATTATCGATCATCTTGTGGTGAAATTATCACAAGGCCAAGTGTCCATGCTTTGTTGAATGAAAGAAATGAAACGATATCGACTTTTCGTACTGTCGGAACGCGTATACCGGGTGTCTCGACGACTTATTCCGTATAACTCGGGAAATTGATTTTAATCCCGCGAAAATAGAAAAACGTTTACACCAAGACGTTCGAGTTAGGTTACCGTGATCGATGCATTATGCAACAAGTAGTTAAGCGCAGCGTACAGCCTATTCCCGTGAAAGCTCCATAAATATAGAGGCGACAAAGAGCGTAGGTGGGCCGCGCTATCATCGCCGATCATGTTTAACGTGACGCGTAAGGTAAATAATTCTCCCGCTCTTGCGTGAATCCAACTTTGTCCTTGTGTAATCGTTGAACGTAATTAGGGACGGGGAACGTGAATAGAGGCCTCCAGAGAGCAGTGGGATGAAATTTTTTGATTCGTGTTTAATAGGTATACGCCTTCGACCGATTTCATTGACACCGAATTACTATATAGCCTTAATTAGGTGGAATGTAAAACATTCGATATCGAGTTTATACGGTTTAAAAGTTAACTTCAGGAACTCGCTCTTACGGTAGACTGAACAAGGTCTAATATTTCTGTGATTCATTCAATTCTATAAAATTAATGATTTTATCAATGATTTTTCATACAGTTTTTAAACGAACAAAGTAACGTATGCGAAGAGTGCAATTGTATGCCATTCTAATTGATAACGTAAAAGGATATCCGAGCTATGTGATGATATGTAATTAATAGAAAAACATGAATTAAACTAGTAGCTGAAACTGTAATTAACTAATTAACAAGGGACTATAATTCATATTCTACTAATGCGCAAAGAAATAATTAACATATATGTATGTAAACGTTGAGCATTTCATAGCGTGCATTTTAGTATCCATCTTTTATCCTGCGTAAATATCAAATGTGATCGTATATACAATATAACCTCTAATATTTAGTATACATATTTCGGAAGTGAAGAAAATTTGTCCAAGAATATTGGTACTTACAGGTACTAAACCGTGTGACCGTATCAACTATACTGCCATAAGCATGGTGCCAGCTTGTCAGCATTTCACAGCGCCCGAAGATAAATCCAAGTAAAACTCCAAGAAAACTCCACAGCATTCACTTAGACACGAAACGTAACCACTGGCACACACCCGTTCCGCACCCGGGTAGTGGTTGAGAGAAAAATGAACAGTTTGGCACTCAGCTCGATGAGAACATATGGGTATCTGTGGACGATCAAATCGATTTACCGGTAACGGCTCAACGATTCTCGAGCTTCCTTCCAATCCTTCACTCTTTCTTTCTTTTTTTAAAACGCTTCAAGGATCTGCACGAATCGGTAGCTCGTAAGCTATACTTTGAAGAAACGCAAGCCGCGTGTGCGACACTATTGAGATCTACGTCGTCTGTCATAGGCGCTGCCTAGAATTCTAAAGACTAGACGTAAAGCACGTAGAAGTAAAGTACATGTGACGAAATCGGTTATTTATTATTAACCCCTCGGGCTATGGGCGCGAAACGGCGTCCCTCTGCAAGTGTCATGGTGCGGTGCGCTCAGATTAATGTTTCCTTCTGTTGCCAGATGTCGCCACCTACCAACGCAAGCGCTACCTATAAAAAAAAAGCAAAAATATTTTTGTAACCAATATGTATCGAGCCTTATTAGTGCATCGGTATTACTGATGAGTCGGCACAAGTATTTTTTAAATTTAAATACTGAACCTGACAACGTGATACCGATGCTAAAGATTAGTAATAATTTCAGAAATTACCATGTTTATATCAAAAGAATAAAAAATAATCCATCACAAATGTGTTGTATTGATAAAAAATGTTAGTTTATGAATAAAATTTTATATGGACAAATAATAATGCGTTTCTACTTTTATTTAAATATAAATGTACAACTTATTTACCCATATTAAAACACAATAAAATAAGTAATGATAGGTTTGAAGTTTGTTTATATCCTGTGATACAAAAGACTATTATAGAAAATTATTTCCTATAAATGACATTAAAAACAAAGGTTTTCCATATATTATATGCTCAATTCAAATTTTGTTTAATAACATGTCAAATTAGCATTTAAAAATGGCCGCAAGTCACCAAGTAACCAAACAGTGATTTCGGGATTACAATCGATATATTCCTGTAATCGTCGTAATAAATACGTCAATGGCCTAACTTATTTATAGTATCTAATTCTTTATATTAGCCTGCCAAGTATTTTGACGTAAGAGTCTCGTGAATACCGATTCATACTTTTACATTTGCCCCTTGCTCATAAAAGTTCGCCGAGACGGTCACTAATTCAGTCGTACGTTTACTTAAAATGCAGCATTTCGTACAACTGACTCTATAATATTTGCAGGTAACTAGTATTATTCTATTTGTATAAAATAAGATTAACTTAATTAAAATCGTATCGTGATAAACGTTGTCTAACAAGGTTAACTGTGAAAAAGCCAACGATCAGAGACTATTTTTTCAACAGTGTAAGAATATTTTATATAAAGAACATGTCGCCGGGTGTTAACGATGGTCCACGCAACACAGGCACGCTACCAAAAAGTAATAGAAGAAATGATAGAAACAGAGAACGGTCAGCAGCTAATCAATTTGCAAACTGTTCTTCCTATCATGGACATGCACAACATTCTAACAATTTGGTAAAATAGTTACAAAATTTGAATGATATTTTTATTTTTTTTTTATAATAATATTGAAATATTTTTCAGAGAATTAAAGGTTTTATTTCTTACAAGTAGAAACAAAAATAATTTTTTTTTAATTTCATCTATATGTCATTATTTAAAAGTACAAGAAATATTTTATTATTTTGCGATCTTAGATATTTAGCATAGTTAAGTACATTACTAAATTTAATGTAATTTGAACTTTCTAAATGAAAACTTTATACAGCATTCTGTATATAGTAGTTCAAAAGATAATCTATTAATAGGTAGCTGAATAGTGGGGAAGTTCTCTCTAAGAATACATATCCAGATACAATTCTACCTTGAAGCAGTAGAGTTGCAGTGTTTCGTTCATTATTTCTAAAAAGTAATGTTATTTTCCTATATATCTACTAATCATTTCTATTTCATAAATTACATGGGATAGTATCAACTGGATTGGAAACCAGTTGGCGAAAGAAAACATCTAAGGATAACAAAGAATAGCAATACAAGATCAGTTGTTTCAATACCATCTACATCTTATCAAGATATATCTGATTTGGGTATGTATTTTAATTATACATCATTCTGGATTTTTTTCAATGTTTTAATTAATGACTTTAAACTATTATTATAATAGCAACATATAGTTGTACTCAGCCATATAATTACCGTTCGGACGAATATTCACATTGGCAAAAAATGGTCCCCCCTACTGATTCCCAAACCGAATCTTCCGCACGAATTCAAGGAACAAAACCTTCTAATGTTGATAAAATGGTGATACATCATATTAAATTTTATCTTTACACTGCCCCATCTGATATTTTATTAAATGGTTTCTTAATATAATTTTTTTCTCCTTTCTTACAGCCTGATAGAAGCCAAGTTGAATCCCGTTTAAATCAAATTAGAGATTATATCAGAGTTACATCAACAATGATGGATTCGCTTAATCAATCCAGTGATCCAGTAAGTGGATAGAATATTAGTTACTATATCAAATATTTTTGTCTTTTATACAATTGAATTCTTTAACTATGTAATTACAATGTAGCGTGCGCAAGCTCAAAATGAGAAGTTAAGTAGAATGGTGGAGGATCTTCATGACAGTGAAAGAAAATTAACCAAACTCTTGGAACAATATCAAAGTACTGGGATATTTTATGAGGTTATTGAACTTATAGAATTTTTGTACATTAACTGGTTTCAAACTATTGTATACTAATAACTTTTCATGCATGTTTTTTATAATCTGAAAGCTACAAGTCAAACTCTTTGTAGACGAATTCATACCACACTCAAATCTTCGTTTTTCTTTGATAATAATAAATCGTAAAATTATTCTTTCAGAATGGTGAAAGTAGCAGAGAAGATACAGAAGAGAATGGTGATGCGGGTAGAGAAATTCAACTAAGAAAGAAAATGGAAGAATCACAGAGGAAACTTGTACAGTTACAGGAGCATCAAGCTAGTTTAGTTGGAATGCAGTTACGTGTCAGAGAAAGACTAAACGAAGCTCGCCAAGCTCAACAAGCTCTTTTACAACAAGAAAATCAAAGTTCGGTTGGTTTAGCTGTGCCATTACCCGTGAATGTTGAACAACTTGAATCTGAAACAGCTGAATTGAGAGGAAAGCTAGCGCAGCTTCAAACAAAGAAGAAAAATATGGATCATCTTGTAGCTGAATTACAAGCTGTAGAAGTATCTGACAGGGGCAGTTGTGTCAGTATATTATTTCATTATTTGCATTATCTTGACATAAACGACGTATAGCATTATTTGTTTTATTATTATAGAGTTCTGAAGGTTCAAGAAATTTTGGAAGAGACAAAGCTGCTGAATTAGAAGCTATGAAAGCGCAACTTGCTCACTTGAAATCACTAATGGAAGAAGCAACAAGAGTTCGTGAATGTCTTGATTCTAATTCTGATCCTGAACCTGAAGTAGATGTAAATGGTGATTCAGCTGCAGCTGAAGCAGATGCGAACGAAGAAGATAATGGAACAAATATTTCGTTCGAACGTCAAAGTGATACCGACGAAATAAATCATGAGAAAACTAGAAATACCAGAGACCGACCAACGGTTGAAGAAATTCAGGTAGTAAATTAAATGTAATTTATAATTATTTGTTATATATATTACACATATACCAAATATATTTTACAGGCTGTGACACGAGAACTTCAAGAACAATCAGCTTTGTTACAATCAACTAGGGCAGAATTACAACGACTGAAGCAACCATTATCATCGGTTCATTCAAATTCTACTTCTATAGTTCCTACTTCGACACCTCCTCCCTCGCTTACAACATCAACCTGTTCTGAAAAAAAGCAAAGTAATAACAGTAATTCGGAAGTTCAACAACCTATGCAAGGAAAAAGACGTCAAATCGAAGATCTTATGCGAAAGGTATTCAATAAAATATTTTTTTACTAATGTGAAAGAACTAACATACTGTTATTGTTTATATTTTATTGAAAAAATAGGAGTCATCTCAAGCGTCTAGTATTAATCGCGACATGGGAGGACCAACTGATTTAAATAGCCATAGAAGCTCTAGTTCACAGATTAGTCATAGCAGTACTCCTGCTAACGTTTGGCCTCCTCCTACAGTGATAGGTAAATCAAGTAACTTTTGTTATTTGTTACGTTATCGGTTTTTAAATGACGTTTTAATAATCAGGTGGGTCTAATGATCAAAGTGTGGACGGTGTATCTTCAGAAAATTTAATGGATATTGGTCCTCACACAACAGCAATTGAAAATGGATTTACTGGAAATTGGTGGACATATCCACCGCCTCCGTTAAATCAACTACAACATGGTAAAGTTAAATACGCGTTAAGGAAGATTGATACTTTTAAAGGGTAATTATACATAATAAATTATACATGTTCTCTTCAAGGTTCAACCGAATATTATCGTCAATTATTATTGGGTTCTCAAACTCAACAACTTCAAATGATGGGTACAACAATACAGCAATGTTGTCAATTGTTATGGTCACAACAACGTGAATTGCAAGCTATGCGCTCGGCTATTACTCAATTACAATTACATCTGAGACAACCACAGCTACAACAGCGAAATAATAATGAAAACAACGATGAATATTCCAACTTAGGCCGTAACATCCATCATCTAAGTGAAACATTAGATTCTGCATTACCACCAAGTTCATCCCTGCCAAACTTAGTGTCACTACCGAATTCTTCTCCAGCTGCAGTTACTTCTGTCAATTCTCAACATCAACAACAACAATTGAACAATCAAGTACCTCCTGGAAATAGAGCAAACAACTACTGGGATAATTTCAGAAGGTAATAGAATATACATATAATACGTTCATTGACACGACTACTCGTTTTAGTACAATGTAAATTGTTAATTACATTGATACAACGGTATCGCATATCAAAAATGAGTTTCTTAATCGTGTAATCGTTTAGTACAAAAAATGTATTCGATTAAAGTATAAAGTATGATTTGTTTTATGATTTATGAAGTTGATTTTACAGATATTGGATTACATGAAACAATCAATGTTTTCGTATTAATTAGTTGATATTTCAAAAAAAAAAAAGGTTTTCTATGAATTTAGGTATTTTATAATCAATAGATCGTGCACATCCATCTTGCATTTTTGTGTAAACCTAATGTATCATTTCATTAAGTAATAAACTTCACGGTCTATCTGTGCACTCTCTGTCTTGTACTTGTTACTTATTGCTACCCTCGTTTAAGCCATATCGCACATCAAATCTCTGTTAGTTCTATAGACCAATGGTTAATGAATATGAATCTAAATGAGGATAGTATTTTGGTACGTAAACTAAGGGTATGTAGCAAAAAATATATTTAAAAAAAACATGTATATTTGAAATAGTTTGATTTTGACTAACATGTTTATCGAATCAGCAATAACCGCAGCTTTAGTTTTTTGTGCAGATTTGTTTTTTTCTTTTTTTTACGAAATAAAACCCTATAACATTATCATTCACTTCGCCACGTTCAGCATGGTATGAATAGCTTAAAAATCGTACTGCTTTGAAAATTGATAAATTTTTTTACATTTTCAGTTACTCCAGACAAAACTTACTCTCGGGAAATGTAAAAACAATGACTGATATTACTTCAGGACCTATTGCAAATGCATCTGGAAATACTGTATCCAGTGTTAATACCTCCCTGATGTACGTAATATCAATTATTTAGTAAATTTGTAAGAATAAAATTTACGTTCTAACACATTATACATTTGAATCAAAGGAAGGATAAGCGTAATCGGGATCAAGGAATTGATAATTTACCTTTACCCTCGTTAAGTGGAGTAGAAACGCAGTATTCGTCAAACTTACAGTTACAATCAAATTTGCAACAACAAGAAAGGGAAAATACCGTTATGCGTAGCAATATTTTAACGAATGAGGTATCTCAGCAACAAGCTGATAATCTTTGGGAAGAAGCTCATTCATCGTTTCGACTACCATCTGTAATAAATGATGATCACCTATTTCAAAATTTAAGGTTTATTTTGTTCCTACATATTATCTTTTAATCGATTAATTTTGAAAAATATATAATTAAGGAAAATTGTTACTATAGCCCTGAAATGAGAGACGTTTTAAATTCACTCATTTCTGTAAATAAAAAACGACCAGACTATCTAGTTATTATATTACGAGAAATTAAGGCAATAAGTGAAGATCATAGATTGCGACCTCGTCTATTAAGATCACTACGTGCTTTACAAGATACACAATCGCTAAGCAATCCATTGGTTTGTATAATATACATACATATATATCATTAAGTATGTAAACAATACTTTTCATGAAATTGTTTGCAGAATGAAACAACTGATCAAACTGGAAGTGAAAGTTGTCAATCCAGTGATGAGGATTCTGAAATAGATGTAGTTTTAGGCTTGGGTACAGAAAATCAATCGTCTGTAGGAGAATTAGTTGCATCATCTCAAGCAGGAGGTTCATCTCCTACCGCACATATACCATTGATAGATCATTTGGATATGCCAGTAAGTATGCCATTAGTAAAATAATGTTAAATATATAGAGGATTAATGTAAGTTTGGTATGCTTTTCATAGGGGACATCTACAGTTGATTCTGCAAGTGCATTACCTTCAACATCTACTGTTAAACCAGGTTACAATGAAGATCTAGCAGAAGCAGATCAATCGAGACCTGAATCTTCTGGTAATCAACAGGTAGTTGAAATATATTTTTTTATTTTAATAACGAAAGAAAGCAAATACGATCCAAATATTTTTGTATAGCCTCTTGATAACGAGGAAGAAAATCAACAAGGCTATGGAGAAGCAGCTGGTCAAATTGCATCTGTACAAGTAAGATTTAACGGTGATGGAGATTTAGAAAATTTAGCTGCAAAAGCTGAAGACGAGAGAAACGAGAATAATGCACCAATATTTTGATATTGAGTTTTCCTAAAAATTATTTCAAATTGTATACATACAACAATTTAACGAACAAATGTATTGTAAAAGCTATGGTTGCTATGTATACATTATTTCGTTGAAGCGGAATATTCAAAACTCTCGAAAATTTAACTCTTATTGTTCAATATTTTTTAGGTTTTTTTTCTAAAATATAATTATTTAATTTCAAGCATAACAGTTTTGACCGAAAACTTTTTTTTTACTCGTAATACGCATTATTATTTAGATTATAATAAAAGTTGTAACTTAGAAAAGTAAGTTATTTATTTATTAACTATATAATACAGTGCAATGCCATACTTATGTATATGTGCATAATGAATGTATGCTTTGCAATACAAATACAAAAAATATAAACATTAAAAATGATTGTCAATTATCTTACTTAAAATTCTGTCTCAGTACAGTCATTGTCAGTCAGTTGCAACCGATGAAATTGATATACAGAACATCCATGTGTTTCAAATAAAATTTTTTCATATTCAACATTGTTTTCAACCGATTTATGTCCATTGTTGGACAATAAATGCTTATAATCTGAATTATTCAACAGATTATGACTACCTGCCGCCCAGCAGCAATTGTTTACAATCATGGATTGCTCCAGATTATTATTGTTGATTGTATTTACATGTAATGCCCTTGAGTCATCAAACATCATGGTTGATCCATAGTCCTTTATACTTCGTGTACCACAGTGTATATGGTTGTTGTTACCACTGCCTCTGAAAGAAAACCGATTGCCTTATCAACTAATTTAACTGAATATCTCCTATGTCATCCATTTTGTCAGCAAATTGTGTCCTTACCATTAAAAAAAGACCAAACTTACTAAGTGTCATTAGTTTATGAAAAAATATTAGCATCCATGCTTTCCGTTGCATACCATTATCCATGGTACAGAAGACGACAGGATGCATTAAGCTTCAAAATAAATTTAATGCCAGGACTGGATGAAAATCTCTGTGGTCACATGTAAATATACAACCTTTTTCCCCATACCAGGGAAAATTGAATACTCATATTTTAATATCAATTAATAACGAGTACAATACTGGAGCGATTTTAAACGAATGTTTTTACTATTTTCTGAATTTCGATTCGGTTTTGCATATTATGATTATATTTATTTTTTTTTTTTATTTTGAAAATGTATATGTATATAAGAAATATTTCTACTAAACTTTATACTATTCGACATAAATACATTGGCCTTGTTACAATAAACACTTTTCTGTGCACAAAAATTCTCCCGCTTAAACGTAAAGAGGGAAGAAAACAACGACCTCTAACAAGTTCTATTTGAAGCACATACAAATATGAATTGATGAGGTCGCAGTTTTGTGTAACGTTTCCATAAATAGGAAATTTCAACAGTTTTATTTACTGCTTAGATAACAAAATTTTTAAAATAAGAAATTATAAATCCTCTCCTACCTGCCCGAAACTTTTTCAATTCGCTGGTAGGGTTGAGATCACTGTTGCATCGTTTCCGGTTCCTGCGTCGAAGCATATCCATGCCGTGGTTTGTCTGTTGTTGACGTTGTTGTTGCTTCTCATTATCTTTTAGCCGGTTTTGAGCAGATGCTTCTGGAATCACGGAATCATTATTCACGTAGCGAGATGCCATGGAATAATCGTATCCGTCGTCATCGGTTTCCATAGCTGTGTCGTAGGAACAGCGATCGAGTACCGGTGATTTTGTAATATTCGTATTTTCAAAAGTAACGTTAAGCTGATTTTCTTTTCTATAAAGTGGTACATAACCGTAATACATATTTGACGACAAGAACGACGGGACAACGGTTTTTGCATTATACATAGCATTGCTCGCTACGGCCATATTTATTCTATTTTTTTAATAAACGGTTTTCGTTATCAGACTAGATAGTATAAAAGTGTGTTAATAATTATCACTTAAATTGTATGAGTTTAATCACGCGATAGAAAGAAAAACATAGAACACTATAGGACGAACACGATGTTGACACTTTCCAAGTAGAGCAACGAATGTAGTTCGGGTCAGATGCCGAATACGCTCGAGCGACGAATCGGCAACGTTCGGCTTTTCTCGCTCGATTTACATACTTCGTTTCTTCAAATCCCCACCAACTTTTATTTCCAACAATCGACCCACACATGAAAATTTATATCGTTGTGTCAGAATCTGACTCAATCTTTTAAAAATATTTTCGACCAATGATTTTATTTTAAATGTAATCATGAACTGATCAAAATGGAATTGAGACGTTTCTTTACGGTTAGTGAGACGTTTCTTTACTATGCTCTTATTGGTTATTCCAGTTGCATAACAAACACGAATGAAAGTAGCTTTTATAGAATAATCAAATGTATTTTACGTAAAAATTTAGTTTAAGAAAAAAAGTATACTGTTCGTTATTCGAAAAACATTTTTGAAATTATTCTTCAAATAAACAATCGAAATAAAATACGTAAGTAGTAGTTTGTAAGATCACCGTCGTGAACTATAGAGTGCGTAACAAAACGGTTGGCAAAAAAAAATTGGCAGGTTTGTGTTCTATACCTCGCTTATGGTAAAACAGTTCTATAAAATTCTAGAATTCCATATAATTATCAGCAGTAAATGCAGTTTCCTTCAATATTGACTTATGGAAAATTTACACACTCGGCATAGAATCAAGCTTCCCTAAGGAAAATGGTGGCGGAAGAGAATGCATCCCCACCGCTGAATAACTTATAGATATTATGCCTTATTCACAAGAGACGTATTTGTACCCTACAAAGAACCAAATTTTCACAAGTAACTGATTATTCGTAAAAACAAGCTAATTCAATTAACGAATAAAATGCACGATGGGTTCGTATTGAAACTCGATTGTAAAATAATTAATATATATCATATAGTCCTTTCGACACCATAGCGAAGTTGAAGGTTTTAAAACGAGCCCATCATCCATTTGATCCCGAGTGTATACATGGTACAGAGTAACGCGATTTATAGAATTACGTGAAGTTCTAAGTCCTCTACAGTTTGTTTTAATTGTAAGTAATCGAATAAGCAATTCTTTATTTATACAATTGATTTTATTTTTTACATAATAAAGAGAATACAACTTTCTCATTCTAGCATACAAAATGGCTTTACCTCCAAACTATAAGCAAGTAGCAATGGCTACATCCAATATTGTTGCATCTAATCGTAAGCATTATTAATACTTCATTCTTCAAATTGTATTTAACAAGCTTTTTCATTGATAAATATCTAAAAAGCAATATTTATTTTTTAGAACGACTTAGAGCATCTGGTGGAAGTAGTAGTAGTTCAACGAACAGCGTAAGTAAATTTTTATAAATAAGATATAGTGCTAAAATATAAAATTAATTTTTTCAACAATTTCTAGAAAGATGCACAGAGTCCATTTATTCAAACACCTCATAGTCATCCAGGGTTTACACCTCAGAAAGTTGGGAAGAATACAAATGTATGTATTTTTTGTGCATTAATCATTTAATACAATATTATTGAAATTCTAATAGTATCTTCATGAATGCAATAGAACTCAATCACATTTTAATTAAACAGGCTGATTCACGTATGCCTAAACCACCTAAACCACCAGAGAAACCACTTATGCCTTATATGAGATATAGTAGAAAAGTATGGGATCAGGTAAAAGCTCAAAATCCAGAATTAAAACTATGGGAAATAGGAAAGATTATCGGTCAAATGTGGAGAGATTTACCAGAAGAAGATAAAACAGAATTTATTGAAGAGTATGAAGCAGAGAAGGTATAGGAAAATATTATTTCTGTTATGAAATAAAAGAAATATTAATATTTTTTATATATCAAACAGGTTGAATATGAAAAGAGTTTAAAAACTTATCACAATTCACCTGCATATTTAGCTTACATTGCAGCAAAAAATAGAGGAAAGTCTGGTAAATATTACTTACTATATTCACGTGTGTGTCATTCTACATAACAGTTATTGATACTTTATGTTTAAAACAGCCTTATGCGCAGCACAACAAAATAATGATGACCGAGAAAGTCACGAACGTTCCTCAGGTAGTACTAAGGGCCAAGCAGCTCAAGATAGAAGAATAGACATCTTACCTGCCGAAGATGATGATGGTATGTAAATAAATATAAATAAAAAATGTACAAATAATTTACATTATTTTTTTTTATTTTACAGATCAAGATGATGGATATTCTGTAAAACATGTTGCATACTCTAGATATACACGAAATCACCGTCTTATTAATGAAATTTTCAGCGATACTGTGGTTCCTGACGTTCGCTCTGTTGTTACTACTCAACGAATGCAAGTACTACGCCGTCAAGTTCAGTCTTTAACAATGCATCAGGTAATACAAAGGACACAGATTAATCCTGAATTAATCTGATTAATGAAACTTTGATATTTACAGAAAAAGCTTGAGGCAGAATTACAACAAATAGAAGAAAAATTTGAGGCAAAGAAACGTAAATTCATTGAAACGAGTGAGATATTTCAGGAGGAATTAAAGAAGGTAAATTATTATTTTTTAATATGTGCATTCAAATAGTAAGAAAGTTTTATTTTAGCATTGTAAACCTGCGGTAGATGAAGAAACATTTAATAAAATGGTTGAACGACAATACGAGGCACTTAGACGAGATAGATTAAAAGGTGCAGAAGAAAATCGTTCAGACGGACCTGCATCAAGTGAATCAACTCCAAACTCTACTCCTACCCCAACTCCTGCTCCAGTTAATGAAGAAACACCATCTGACGTAAGTATTATTTATTCAATATTAATTATATTAATATCAATAATATTATCGTTTGTTTACAGATTCCTGACAATGATTCAATGGATAAGAAACCAAATGGACCAGAAAAATCTCAAGAAATAAAAAAGGAAACATCTTCTCCACCATATAATGATAATAAGGCTGAACCTCCACCAAATCAAGGAAATTCGAATCAACATACATCTAATTCCGGAATGTATTGTGGGGCTGTTAGTCCAGTACAGCAACAACAGCAGCAGCAGCAGCAGCAACAACCACAGCAACAACAAACTCCGCCACCGCCGTCACTATCATCTCAGCCATCGCAACAGCAACAACAACAGTCACAGCAGCAGCAGCAACCATCTCCTTCCCAACCTCAACAACAGCCAATATCAACTCAACATCAACCACAACCACTATCAAATCAGCACCAGTCACAACAACAACCACTATCAAATCAACACCAACCACCACAACCATTATCAAATCAACAATCAACACCTCAGCCGCATCAACAACACCAACAGCAATCAACTCAAGCACAGCCACCATCTTTACAACCACAGCAGTCCATTGCAACAACAGCTAGTGCTACTCCAACTGCAAATACAAATGTCTCTGCAAGTGGAAACACAACTGCAAATACATCAACAATACCTCCTGTTTCTTCACCAGCTCCCTCTATACAACATAATCCTCACCAACAAGGAATTTTAACTAATCATTCACTGTCACCTCATCCAGGATCACAAGGAAGCCAAGCAACCCAAGTACTTCCACCTCAAGGACCAGTTTCTAATCCACATACTCCTCAGATGATTCCACCAACTCAAGGTTACAGTCAACAGTATCAACCAGGACCGACTCAGCAAGCTCAAAATGTTCCGTTAGCTCCAAGACCACCGCATCCGTCTTATGCTTACTCCCAACAGCAACCATATCATCAACCATATCCTCAATATGCACATCCATATTATCATCAACCATATTCTCAATATTCACCACACGCTATGGGACGTCCACATGCTCATGGTCCTCATAGTCCGCACAGTCCTCATTATCATCCCCAATCTCCCCATGCTGTTGGTGAAAATAATACTTCTAACAACAGTGTACCTGGTTCAGGTACTGCTTCTGCACCAACTTCTGATAATAGTAATTCATCTTATTCTCCAGCATCAGGACACTGCGAAAGTGAACGTTCTATTCCTTCAGAAAATCAAGAAGGCCAGATAGATATTAAACCAGGATCTGGTTAATATTTTTTATAATTATATCAGTTTATACGATTTCTTTAATTTTATGTAAAGTCATGAAATTACATTTAAATAATATTAATGCATTTAAACAGTTACAATAAAATTGTTATAATCATTCAGTTTGTATAATAAAAACGAATTATTGATTTTTTCCTCTTTGTTGAGCGGTAATACTTTAATTACAATTTCTTAGCGTATTTAATTTTTAAAAAACATTGAAAAATGCGTTCGTACAACAAGACCTTTATATATTAAATCTTATACAACATACATCAGTCTTTTATTTTACAGATTTCATTTGCCAAAGTCCATCATTTAAGTAATGACAATTCTCTATGCCTACACCTTTATTCACTTTAGCTCTGGAAATTACATTATTATAATGTACAACAAATCTTGCAAATATTTTACACATTAAATATTATACTGTTTATTTACTTACATATCTTCAGTTGATAATGTAGTGACACCCACAGCTAACGCATGCTGCTTGCCTTCTGCCATAACTGCCTATATTCTTTTAAATTAAGAATTTAATAGTATTATATATTTTAAAATTAGTAATTAAATACTGATATTATTTCAACAAAGGATACAACAACTGTTCCCTTTTCTACAGGTGTCATCTTTGCACCTTTTGATGTTAAACCTGGACACATAATATTTGCTCCACTAAGAACAAACCGGATAGCACCTTTGTCAACTTGTTCCTTTGGTAAAAAAAAAGGATCTAAAATTTTGTTAGTATGTTATAAGTATAATTATTGACCAAAACTTTGTGTAAAAAAAAAATGTTGCTTACATTTATGTAATAATTTTAATGTTGGCATCCAAGGTCCCTCACGTTGACGAAAAAATAAAAGCTCTCCTGCCGCGTTTACTATAATTTCTATATGATCATGACTAATATGCAAAAATAAATATAATAAAATTCACTCATTTATTAAAAAATTTTAAATAAATTAATTTTAAATACAAATTTACCATTTCACAATTCGAAAAGCATCTTTTTTTGGAATTATAGTATCCACATAATTTTCCAGAAAAGGATAAAGTTCTAAAAGTTTTGAACGAATTCCTTTTTGAACTGATGATTTTAGTTGTTGTATACCAGAGACACTGTCCTTCTCGTCAAATCTATTAAAATATAAACAATAGTAACATTGATATTTTTAAATAAAGGTTATATTCTTTTAACAGATGCAATAACTTACGTACTTTTTAAACATTTTTCTGTCTTTTAAATAATGTTACACAAACTAATGTCCAAAAATTATCAGAATCTAAATTCCACATACAATTAAATAATTCTTGATATGAATGTTGTTTTATACAAAATGCAACACAACCGGTAAATGTTTCAAGGTATAATACAGAGTGTATGGTGTATCTGCAATGCTTCCCACCGAAAGAATATGCTTTGTCTTTACGTCTCTAAGTTCAGGTTTGTGATGCATTTATCGTAAATCAAACATGGCGAACATTCTTACTTATTGTGGTACACGCCAAAGTGATTGTTTAGTTTCTTTTTTGGTAGGTTTAATTTGTTTTCCTCCTACTGAATTATTTTAAATACCAATTGTCTTAAATAAGATGTAACTACTCTAATAAATATAAAATTAAAGTATATATTTTATTTTATCTTCAGTTATATTAAAGTGTATTTTATTTTTATATTTATTTTTATTTAAATTTATATATATTTATAATATCTTTATGTTCGTATATTTTACCAAAATAATTACGAAAGCTTAATTATTTTATGTGTTTATCGTATAAATGTTTTGTGAAGGTTATGTTGATTTTGAAAAAATAAATGAAAAATTTGTTAATGTGAAATAATAGTAATAATATTATATATTAATGTAGGTTGTCGGAGCAGCAGAATTATGCCAAAAGATTGCTGATGGATTGCATCAATGCGCAAAAGAAAGAAATTGGCATATTTCAGTACATCAATGTGAACTTATTAATCAAGTTTTACAATCACATTCTAATCTTGGAATAGATTTTATTGTTTTGACTTTTGATTGGAAAACAGCTCAATCTGTATCAGAAGTAAGTGCTGGATTTATTTTTAATAAGTTTAATCCTGGCTATCAAGTGTATTTATATGAAAGGTATTGTTATTTAAGGTAGAAACAAACATAAGTCTTATAGATCAACAGTATATACTTTCTGGAGCAGCCTGCCTAGTAAGCTGTAAAGGAATCTCAAATTGTATGGGATTGACTTTCCATATATCAACTAAAATACAAGAAAAGTATAATATTAGACTGTTATGTGCTAATGTTTATGTAAGTTTATATATACTATATTTTCCATTTTTTAGATTAATTCTATACGTATCATATTATATTAAATTAATGTTTGTTTTTCTAGAAGCCACAAGGTTGTGTTCAGTTAGGTAATAGAATATTAAATATAGCAGAAAGTGTACTTGGTATGACAAATGGAATTCCTACTAGTGCATTAGTAATACATTAATTCAAGAAACATAATTGTACCTTTGATACTAAAATGAAAAGAACAACTAGCAAGAGTCAAGCATATGCTTCTAGCCAAGAAGACAGCGAAAATGATAGTGATGAGACTGAATGTAGTATTGGCAGTAATTCAACAGCTGGTACTCATCGTAGCGATACGCCTACACGTAGTGCTCGTTATAGAAGAAAAGGAAGGCGTAGAAGTAAAACAACAAAATATAAACCATGTATGGATAAACCCCTTTACAAATACTGCTGTAGCGTTAAGGAAGATCATGGACAACCGTTATTTGGAGTACAGTTTAATCATCATTTGAAAGAAGGCGAACCATTAATTTTTGCTTCTGTGGGAAGCAACCGAGTAAGTATTTACGAATGTCCGGAAGGAGGTAATATTAGATTACGCCAGTGTTACGCAGATCCTGATCCTGAAGAAAATTTTTATACTTGTACTTGGACTTACGATGATTCTGGTAAACCGTTATTAGCGGTGGCTGGATCACGTGGTGTTATAAGAGTGATCAGCCCTGTAACCATGACTTGTATCAAGCACTATATTGGACATGGTCATGCAATAAATGAATTAAAAATTCATCCCAAGGATGCAAATATATTACTTTCAGCATCAAAAGACCATGCTCTTAGATTATGGAATATAAAAACTGATGTATGCATAGCAATATTTGGTGGCGTTGAAGGTCATAGAGATGAAGTCTTAAGTGCCGATTTTGATATGAAAGGAGAACGTATTATTTCATGTGGTATGGATCACGCTTTGAAACTGTGGTCATTGAATAAGCCAGATATGCAAGAAGCAATGAAGCAATCCTATTATTGCAATCCAAGTCGTAATGGAAGACCATTTGATTCTATACTTCAACATTTTCCAGACTTTACTACACGCGATGTTCATCGTAATTATGTTGATTGCGTCAAATGGTATGGTGATTTTATTTTAAGCAAGTCCTGTGAAAATTGCATTGTATGTTGGAAACCAGGACGTCTCGAAGATACTCAACTGCGTAGTGGAGAAACAAGCGCCACTGTTTTACATAGATTTGAATTTAAAGAATGTGATATATGGTTTATACGATTTTCAATGGACTTTTGGCAGCGTACGATAGCTCTAGGAAATCAAGTGGGTAGGACATACGTGTGGGACTTAGAGGTTGATGAACCTGGACAAGCACGGTGTTACTCACTTCAGCATCCTAGGTGTACTGCCCCTATACGTCAAACTAGTTTAAGTAGAGATGGTTCGGTTTTGTTATGTGTTTGCGACGATGCTACCGTATGGAGGTGGAATCGTGAACATTAACATTTGTATGATAAATATAATGTCTTTATATTTACACATGTTGCATTTAATGAATATATACTGTCTTCATATAGTAATTACTATATATAGTAAATTTGTATTCATAAATAATTTATGAAGATTTATTCAAAATTATTTTATATACTTTTTTATTAACATAGTTTTCTCTTTTTAATAATAAGAAATTAGTTTTTCGTACATGAAATTGTACCTACAAACGTTTTAGAAAAAAGACTAAACATAATTGCCATGTTTATATATTAATGAAAATTGTAATTACAAAAGCAATACTGTATGTTTGTGAGAAGACAGGCGGGGTTATTCTGAAGCAAGAAGAGAACTTGTGACCGTTTCGATAAATAACGAAACTGCATGAATCATATTTTCTACAGTTTTATTAGAAAGGGGTGGGTTCTATTCAATTCAGCCAATAGAACCCGCGCCCCTTCTCATAAACGCACAGTATGTGTTTCTATTTTTTACATACAGTATAATACTTTGTGAAATTGTGTGATACTGATTTCACAAAATAAAATTACTTTGTATAAACATTTAAATATTTTATTTTATCATACTCCGACTATAATTGGAAAGAGATATTTGTTTAATACAAATTGAGGAAGCTGGAAACATTCTTGTTCAATGCAATACAAAAGTGCAAACCATGAACATTTACTGAGTTTACACTTTTACTGTGATATATTCATAAAAAGTTCATAAATACTAATTGTGCATTACACTATATAGATATCTACTCAGTAATAAAAAACTTTTATAGTTCATGTAATTTCATTATTAAATACGAAAATCCTTTTAAATGTAAATAGAATTATTTTTAAAGTTACTTATTATAAATCATATACTAAATTCTTAATGGTTATCAGTTACCCACTTATACTTTTCTATTGTAAAATTTATTATGGTATACAAATTATCCACAGTGTTTCTATAATGAAAATGCAACAAAAATGGTTATAAAAAATGTTTAGCATTTATCCTTTAAACAAAAATCAACGAGTATTTTTTTATTTTATAAAAAATATGCAGCAAATAAAAAATTGAATTTTTGTAAATTTTAACTATAATGTTTTTACAGAAAATTTAATAAATAAGTACCAATGTATAATTCAAATATAAATGTAATATGAATTATAAACAAGAAACTTTGATTTTATGCATAATTGCTTAATAGTGAATTAACAACAACTGCACTTCTTTTTGCTTCTTTAGAGTCTTTATCTTCGTCTTGTCTTTGTATATCCTGTTGTCCTCTGATTTTGATATTATGTTTTTCTTTAAATTCATTTATTTCAACTCCTTTTTTCATTAGTTGATCATTTAAAGCATCTATTACTTTAGTTAGCTATAAACAACAAGACATATTTTACTCTTTAGTTGGAAGTAAGTTTAACATAAGTGTTTAAAATGAGTGAATGTAACTTTATTTTAGTAATTAAATATAAAATAAATCTAACCTGTTCTTTATTCGTAACCAATGCAGGCATTACATCTTCTACAGTACGTTCACACAAAACACCTCCTGTCATTCTGTAGCATTTCCTTTTAGGATCTATATTTTTTATTGTATCGATTACAATTCTAAAACATTAAATAAAAAACTGTAAATAAACATTATCTTAAGATTTATATATAAGTAATGAAAGTATTATTTCGTCTTTAAGAAATCATTTATAGATACATTTTTAATAAAAATTTAATTATAACTTTATTACACAAAAATTCTTTATTTATAATATTTTAAAAGACATGAGATTTATGAATAAATTTTTTTATAGTGATATAGGTTAGGAAACATACTTGTGTTCGTTTAATTCCATTTCCATTTCTGACAATTTATTAGCCATTGTCCTTTGCTCATTACGAAGCATTTGAAATTCGGATAATATTTCTGCATTGGATTTCGTGCCTTTTGAAGATTTTCCTGATTTTTTATCGCTAGCCATATTAGGTGCTTTGTATTACTTTCTTCTTCGTGCGTATCAGTGCGTATCTAAGATTCACTAGACTTTATTCTATACAAAGAAATGTCCCTATTTAAAATCGATTTTGTTATGTGTCATGTATGTATGTATGTATACATACATACTCCGAGCCACAGCCGACTCTATACCGTAGTTCACCAGAGTCCATAACTGCGAAAAGACCAGTTTTCGTTCTTCGCGCTTCTCCAGTGCACATCTTCGCCCTGATTGGCGATACTCCTAAACGAAGTGGAAAGCGATTAGCAGAGAGCTCGCTGCATTCCCCCACCATCTTCCAACCTGCGCGTCGCAGTTATGGACTCTGGTGAACTGCGGTATAGTATATTAATTTTTATAGCTCCTCAAAGAATCTGAAATTATTTGGTCCAATTTTAAAAAGAGCATTCTGTTTTAGAGGGTGTCTCGAAATGTCTCGAAAATCACGTTCTCCACTCTGCTCCACTCCCCTGGTGCAGTCACGTTTAATTATAAGAACAAATTTATTGTATAATATTATACATACACTTCATGCTAGAAGTATTATTATGTATACTTAGTGTATTAATACCATGTTAATGGTTTTATATAATGTATATGTAAATTGAATACTTACAATCTTCTTCTTCTTCTTTTCATTTTCATCCAGGTGTCTTGTTGCTCTATTTTAACACTTAAATGACCGCATATTATTTCCCGTAGTTTTACTCTAAGACTGGCGATTTTCTCGTTTGGAAATGAAAAACAAATACATATAGGAAATTAAAAATCCACATATTTATTAACCTTATAACTAATACATTATAAAGGTAGTTTTTAAAATAAGTTTAGTAATTCCGCAGGGTATGATAATTTTGAAAGCAAGTTCCTTTATGCAAAGGTACAGCACAGAAGTTACAAATAATACCTTGTTTCACTCCTTTTTTTATGGGTTGCACAAATTCGATATACCTGTGTTGGAAATTTTTTTTTACAGAGACAAGGAATTGCTTTGAGTACATGTGTGTTTATGTCACCTGATAATCACCCAGGTGATTGAAGCACATTTAGTGTGATGAATTACGACAGCAATGTTGATTTTTTCATTTGTAGATATAATATAATCTCTTGATACTTCCCTCAGAAACAATTTGTACGTTATTTTTTTGCCTGGATTGAAATGAAGATGCACTATATAAGCATTAAGAAGAGCATAATTTATCAAAAATAATACTACTCTTTTTGTCCATTTTCGAATTTTTCTCAAAACTCCAAAATACGATAGGTATTGATCAGCTCTGTCGACACCCTTCATATATTTATTGTATTCAATAATACATTTGGGTTTATAAATGTTGTCACCATATTTAGTTTTCTTGTTGGTATCAATCATTTTCGTGTTATGAATGGATGATATCATTTAGATATCTCGTTTGTCTTGCCACACTTGTAATAAAATATTACCTTTTCTTCGAAAAATCATATCACCTTTCTTTAATTGAGGTAGCCTCTGACACTGTGTAATAAATATTTTAATTAACAATTATTTACATATGCTATAAAAATTATATAAGAGTTATTATCAAGTAAGTTCACTGCTGATGTTGTAAATCTTTTCCTTATGAAGTATTTTTCTTCAAAGCAGCTGCTACAGATCACCCAGAATTTTAGTTTTTAGGAGGAAGCACTTACTTTGGGTTGTCACATACTTCCTTCCTTGGGGAAAGGAAAACATGCTGCGGTTTTCGTTAGTACCTTCTCTGATGCTACATATTTTTTTCCTCTTTCTTTAAAGATACATTTTAATAATTAAAATTAAATATATTACTAAAACAGCAATGTAAACAGTTAATGTTTTCAGTAATAATTTGATTTTTATCTTATCCTGTTGCTGCAGAAGTTATTGAAAAACCTAAGCACCTAGAAAAAACTTAAGAAAATATCTTTTTAAATAATAATAATAATAATAGCAATAATAATAATAATAGTAATAATAATAATTATTATAAGAATGAGATTTACGAACCTGGAAATTCAGTCACCCACGCTGTCACCACGTGCAACCATATGCTCCATACATATTTCTTTAATTTCTTTCATTTTGAAACAATTAAATAACGCGGTGACAAATTTCGCGGGAACATTACGTCGCGATAACTTTAGTTGTATATGTCAAAATCAGTGATACAAGGTATGCATGTAGAGAAGCGACATCAACGCCGCCTGGATTTTCTTCGGTGGAGTTAAAATTTGCATAAAATTCACAAGAGTGGAGTTTGGAGGGCCTGTCCGTTCCGGCATAATAGTCGTGCGAGTTGGCAGACGCGCGACCGTGTGACATCGTTTCGTGAATTTTTATATCATTCCCAAAAGAGACTTTCGCAAGGATTTTGCACTCATACGTTTAGTGTTGTGCTGAACCTCTGCATTTCAAGGATGAATGAAGAATACGACGCGATTGTCTTGGGCACCGGGCTCAAGGAATGCATACTTTCGGGTATGCTGTCGGTCAGTGGGAAGAAAGTGCTCCACGTAGATCGTAACAAATATTACGGTGGCGAATCTGCCTCGATCACGCCCTTGGAGGATCTATTCGCGTAAGTATCCTCGGGGACACCGATCGGATCACGATCTCGACCCGATCCATTTTAACGCCAAACAACTATCTACCGGCATAACACGCTGCCCATGGGAGCCTGTAATCGATTAATCGTGTTACAGTGATACGGAATCTTGACTCGTCTTAAATATTGATTTTTTCTCGCTTTCTTTTTTCCTCTTGCTTCGGGATGGTCGTCGATTATATGGTAGCGTGTTCGAGCTCTCCCGTCAAGCGTATCGCAAGACGGAGCGTGACGTATGTGCATTGTCACCTGCGGTAATGCGTCGTTGCTGTGTGCGACCGCTTCGAAACTTTCATCCGTTTCGAAACGATTTTATCGGAAAGTTGGCTAGAATGCCACACGTCGAAGCAAGGGGGAGGGGTCCGCCCCGCGAAATACATGCACGATCGAACATGCTCAAATAAACTGTACCGTTCCACGGACTTCAATAGTACGCTACATTTTTCTAGGATAATTTTTCATTACCATCTATTCTCCTTCTTTTCATCGACCTTCCTGTACGGTTTACATATATCCGCTTAACCGTTTAAAATATGCGAATAACCTACGAGAAGACAGATTAATCTATATACTTTATGGTTGAAAAGTTTCGAGGAGAAAACATATTAAGTAACAGAACGTGTACCGTTACGGGCATCCGTAGCTCGATCGACTTTCTGTAAAATTGAACATATGTTCCTTTATCCGGTCAAATTCGGAATGATTAGATCACTGAAATTAGGAGAATTTCGTAGAAGTATCAGAAGAGGTAAGAAATTTTATTAAACTTCTTTGATTACAAGTTAAAGAAGAAAAATAAAATAATTTTTGTATTGCAAGAAAAATTTGTCAGTTATCATTGTGCAGGAAAAATCATAAAGTAATATGAATATTATTGCAAGTAAGATAACGGGATAACGTGCCTTCTGAACTGTTCAGAAATGAAAATGATAACGCGTCAACGTGATTGCGCTTCTGGCTCAGAGGAGACAGTTATCGTGTGTGTCCGGCTCCACTCAATAAATTGTAACACGCATCTAAACTTATCTATCCATTTTGTTCAATTGCGTTCGATCTACTGTAAAAGCGAATGATAAAATATTACATACAATATTTTTATCCCACTATTTACTTTACGCGGTGGTTAAAAAAGAAAAAAAATCAATGAGTCCTACTTTGACCGGCTGTAAAGTAGTGTAAACATGTAATCACCAGATGCACCAGTGTACATTTGAAATTCATTTTGTTAACTGTACCGTGATAGAAAGTGAATAAAAATTATCGGTACGGTGTTTAAATGCAACCGTGAAGATTATCTTGAACCGTTATAAAACGAGAAATATTATAATAATTGTATTTGTAAGTGTATACGGAAAAAGTATATTCGTAATGAGAAAGTTAATTTTAGTTTGATACGTTATCCAGGAAATTCAAAGCCCCGCCACCGGATGAAAGTTATGGCCGCGGTCGAGACTGGAACGTTGATTTGATTCCAAAGTTTCTGATGGCCAATGGTTTGCTAGTGAAGCTATTAATCCACACCGGTGTAACGAGATATTTAGAATTCAAATGCGTCGAGGGATCGTACGTTTACAAGTCTGGAAAGATCTCAAAGGTGCCGATCGATCAACAGGAAGCGTTGTCCAGCGATCTGATGGGCCTTTTTGAGAAAAGACGTTTCCGTAGCTTCCTTATATGGGTGCAGAATATGCAGGAAGACGATCCGAAGACTTGGGATGGTTTCGATCCGTTTAATAATAACATGAGCGCTTTGTACAATAAGTTTGGTCTCGATAAAAATACTCAGGATTTCACTGGACACGCGCTAGCACTTTATAGGTAAAATTTTATTTTTCGGGATGCGTTTAACAATTTGATTGTTCATTGGAATGACCTGGGTATCATGCTGTTTCAGGGACGACCACTATATTAGCCAAAGCGCGATTACTACTATAAGGAGGATTAAATTGTATAGCGATAGTTTAGCACGTTACGGGAAATCACCGTATCTCTATCCTATGTACGGTTTGGGTGAACTTCCTCAAGGCTTCGCGCGACTTAGCGCCATTTACGGTGGAACGTACATGTTGGACAAACCGATCGACGAAATCGTAGTAAAAGATGGAAAGGTAAAGGTTCAAATGCGTTTTTTAACCGTTTGAGTCCCAGGGGTCAAAGAAAAAAAAAACATTGTCGAAAAGTACCGAACAGCTCAATAGCGGTGTTATAATCCCAATATTGGGTCCTTTCGACATCAAATCTAAACAGCGCGACCGTGCTGCTTGGGACTCAAACGATTAATTATACGAGATAATTAATCATTAAGTTTTTAATTAATCGGTGATATTCGTTGCAGGTTGTTGGTGTACGTTCTGGCGATGAAATAGCTCAATGCAAACAAGTATTTTGTGATCCCACATATGTACCTGATCGCGTTAGAAAAGTAGGTCAGGTTATAAGATGCATTTGCCTGTTAGACCATCCGATACCAAGCACAGGGGATGCTCTTTCAACGCAAATTATTATTCCTCAAAAACAAGTAAGCAGATTTCTTTACCGCTTGTATTTAATATTAGCCTGTAATACAATGTACATATAAGTATATATATTGTTTTTCTAGGTTAATCGTAATTCCGATATCTACGTATCGTTAGTGTCTCATACTCACCAAGTAGCGGCAAAAGGATGGTTCATAGCCATGGTGTCTACAACCGTTGAAACGGACAATCCGGAAGCCGAAATAAAACCAGGCTTGAATCTTCTTGGACCCATTAGACAAAAGTTCATATCAGTCTCCGATTACATGGAACCGACAGACAATGGTCTAGAAAGTCAAATATTCATATCAACGAGTTACGACGCGACAACGCATTTTGAAACTACTTGCTTAGATGTATTGGATATATTTAAACGTGCTACCGGGGAAGAATTTGATTTTAACAAAGTCAAGCAAGACCTAGGCGACGAAGACCAGTAACCATAAGACAGTTACGTTCATTGGTCATTTTCTAAACTAGTTCATCCTGAATTTAAAAGAAAAAAGAAAACAAACGCGAGTGAGCAATGTAATTCGATGCGTAAATCGACTACGTCGGTATTTATCTCTGAGTCTCGAGGCAGATGCGATCTGCTGGTAGACTCATGCCTAATAATATTAGATTCTCTTTAACAGAGAATACCCACAGAACATTATGCGAAATTTATTTTTCAAATTTGTCTCAATCTTGTTCTACGAACTGCCCTTTTTTACATTTTTGTCCTGGAATACGTGTGTACCGCCATTTTCACGAAAATTGATATTAGAACTTGTACCGTTCGTCGTTTGAATATTTTTGATCGATTTTGAACGAGTCAAAAAAAAAGAAAAAAAGATACAATTTACAATACGATTTGAGTGTATCTATGCATTAATCGTCATTGGCGTGTTTTTTTTTATCTCGGAGTAAACACGACAAACGGCGATTACTGTGACTTTATAAATGTATTATATTTTAACTATCATTATTAAAAAAAAAATAAAGAAAACTGTTTATTGAGATTGTAAATGTTACACAATCCTGTAGTCATTATTGCTATTCGCAGTAGTCAAAAAGGTTACGCACCACGACAGGAGGTACAAGATAAAGATAACTTTAAAAAAAGTGAATTCCACACGCAAATATATAAATAGCATGCCGCGGTTTAGCATTAGAAAATACTGCACATTTAGTTACAATATTTGACATTTTAAAAATGTATGTTAAAAAAAGATTGCAAAATAAATGTGTATAAGTTAAAATACTTGCAAACAAGTAATTACCTGTAATCAAAAGAATATTACAGGAGATGATTTTATGTCAAACTATTAGAGAAAGATTAAAAAGCGGCCAAGCATTTAAATATAAATTAAATAGATATATTATATATGTATAAATATACTTTCTCATTCTGAAATATAGATGAGTGAGAATATAGAAAAAATGGAGTCGTTAAAACGTTGTTATTTTATGTAAGCTTGAAAATCAGAATATTTCCTTGTTCAATATTTATATCGTGATCATTGTCAACCAAGAAGGTATATTTAATGAAATCTGAAAAAGACAATTATGCACAGATGCGTATTATTTTTGAAATAGCTATACGTGTGCATTTAAGTATGCGTGAATGTTTCGTTAACGAATGATTGGCTATTTTTCGCAACTTTTATTTCGCTTGCATTTTCGCTTAAAGTCGTAATAAGTGCATTGTGAATTTGTATTGCATATGGAAAAGAAAGTACATGTTTCTCTATTATTTTGTCTAAAACGTTATTCATATAACTGTAATGTCACAGTCGTAAAAAAAAAAAAAAAATAAATAATACTATATTAATTTCCATTGCTTTGTATTTCTGTATATTCCGAAACAGTATCGATAGGTAAATTTTTCTTGAAGCGTGTTTATATAAAATAATATGTAACACGTACCAATAACGTCTTACGTAAATTTCAGAACGTAAACGTTATTATCTCTGCATCCAATAATCGCAATGTCATTATCAACAACAGGCGATGAAAAAACTTCTCCAGGAAGCTTCTCACTTTTTATCAGTCTGTTTGTTGCAAAATTATAAATATTTAAGGTACCGTCTGTACATGCTACAAGTAAAAAGTTGTCCTCGCACCAGGGAGTAGCAAAGATTGGCGAGTGAAAATTTAACGTATGTTTTAACGTAGGTTCAGTCTGAAAACTTGAATTTTTTAACTGTAGACAATACACATTCTTGTTTTGACTAGCTATAATGATGTTTTCATAATCTGTAAATGTGTCATCGTTTCGCTTTACAATGTATGAAAATACATTACCATTAATTTTATATTCCCATACCTGTAAAGAAATAAGTTAAAACAAAGTTATTTTGCAATATTAAAAATATATTAAGTACCTTAACATTCGCTTGAATATTAAAACAAGATAGTATTCCTGTTACAGAACAAAACAAGACAAGTCCACTGTTCAGTGTTACAGGCGCAACAAAAACGGGATCTGTTAATTTATGTCTCCATGTAATTTCTCCTGATCTTTGTTGCAATGCCAAACAAAATCCGTCCAAAGTTCCAAATAATACTGAACCTGATGGTGAATGCAAACAACCCGACGCACTAATACTTCCATTGCTGCCTTTTATTTTCCAAATTTCACCTCCGTCCTAAATTTAATTTTGTTTTAATATAACTATTTGGATATAAGTACACAAGTATGTATTTATATATACTTTTGCGGATAAACAATACACGTAACAATCATAGGAGCCAATAAATATCACTTCTTGCTCTTTACAATATATCGCGGTACATTTTACAATATCTCCTGTTTGATATTTCCATATAATTTCTCCTGTTTTTAAATGCAGGCAGTATACATTACTATCATAACATCCTAAAAAAAAAAAGGAAATCAAATAATTGTACACAAAGGAATGGTGTACTAGAAAACTTACCTACCACCCCTTTAAAATTATCAAACACTAAAACTGAAGCTTCAATCCTGTCAGGTAATTTTATTTTAAATGCAGATACGCACATCTGATTATCCAATTCAATTGTAACAATAAAACCAGAGTGAGAACCACCTACTGCATATTTTTTTCCGCTGTAAAATCATGTTATTTAAATCACAGACTATGTTTGAACAATTTATTAAAACCATACTTACTCTGTGTATTGAAATAGGGTTGGTGATGCGTCTACGCATTTGAGTAAATTATACGCTTCTAAGATTTCAATTTTTGAAACTTTATCACACTTTATCTGAGATTTTTCGTTTGTGATTGGTAAATTTTTATATGTTTGACCTCTACATTTATACCACTGACATGTAGACAAGTGATCTGTTACGTTTGGTAAGTTAAAATCTGACTGTTCAACGTTCAACTGCTTTGGTATGGAATCGTTTGTACCAATACGTTTTATCAAAGGTATCATTTCATTATCATGAGAATAGCATGTAGTATTGACAGTTATTGTGTTTTTATGACTGTTTAACATTGTAATTTTTATATATGCGAGACATTCATCAATGGTTGCATCCCTTAAAAGCATGCCTATCAATTCAGAAAATTCCACGTTGAATACTTTAGACATAGTACTTGACATCTGCAATGCTGTGATAGATGTACCTCCCAATTTTACAAACCCACCATCTTCATGTTTTAAGTTATTTTTCCAAATAGATTTAAACATATTTTCGATTTTTTGAGAATCAATATTATCTTGGATTAGATCTATTGTTTGGTCTTGGAGGCAACGTTGTTTTAAAAATTCCATAGAAATTTTTCCACTAGAAGTATATTCAACATGTTCGAACACGTGAATTTTATCTGGCTTATACAAAGAATCTAATTTCTGTAAATGTTCCATCGCAGCAGTATTTATGTCAAAATAATTTCTTATTTCTTCCTTCAGGACTAGACACACATGTAATCTATGGTAACTTTCATCCCATATGACGTAACAACTTTTAATAAAATGTAATTGTAACATCAATTCTTCAAGTTTAACTAAGTCTACTTTGTTACCAAATCTTTTTATGATACTATTTCTTCTCCCTTTATAAAATATATTACTTTCTTTATCAATCTGAAATAGAAATATGTGCAATTATATTAAATGTAATTATTATTCAGGATATAATGCACTTACATTAACTACATCACCAGAATCTCGAAATACCGGTAATTCTAGCTCTTCAATGTTTTCTTCATTTATTGTACATACTCTTGTATTACTTCCTATATAGAGAGAACCTGTACCCTCTGTTAATACTTCTCCCATTTCATTTTTTACACGGAACATAGTTTGAGATAATACTTGTCCCAAGCACCTTGTATCATACTCGGCATTTGTTACTAAAATTTCATTTATACTAGCCCAACATGACACTTCAGTAATACCATAGATATTGTAAATTTTAGTAGTGTTACAAGGATGTTTTGTTTCTAGGAGTAACTCTGTTTTAGGAAAAGGTTCTCCACCAAAAACAAGAGCTTTTAATGAAGTATCATTACTTAAGATAGTAGTTTTCAAACATTCAGCTGTCCAACTGTGTAAAAAGACTGATGGTGTTATTTGCAGTACAGTAATTTGACTAGAATATGCTTCTCTTATAAGTCTGAAAATAAAATACATTTATATAAAAATTTTTTTCCAAATAATACCTGCAGTATTGCATAGTTTAACATCATTATTCACCTATTTGGATTATTTTTTAATAACTTTGAAACCATAAACAATGTCCCAGCATTTGAGAGAGCAAGAAAGATTTCTACAATACTAGGATCAAATGTAAAATTTGTAAACTGAGCTATTTTATCAGATTCTGTAATTGTTAATATCTTAGTCAAATCTAAAATATTAGGAACTATACAGGAATGTGGCACTTTAATCACTTTTGATATTCCAGTGGAACCAGAAGTACAAATTGCATAAGCATAATGGTTCTTTTCTGAATATTTTGCAGTTTGTTCTTGAACATGTTTCAATTTTATAAGATAAATACATTCATTGTGAATAATAAATTGATGCAAAATACTTCCATCAGTAGTTATTTGTTTAGAAAATAAATACTGTACACGTAACAAATTTTTTAAAGTTGTAAATTCTATTACATCCGAAGGTACATTCAGAAAACCATGCTCACTGGTTAAAATCCTAAAAAAAAAAAATAAAAATGATCAAATTTTGTATTATCTATTATGTATTTCAAATATTCTATAAGATTTAAATTTTTACCCAAGTATCAAAGATACTATACAATATTCAGGAATATCAAAATTTATGCCAATGAACTCAAAATGCTTTATGCATTTCAAATAATCAGAAATAATATTCCTTGTAGTAAGAACATCTTGATAGCTTATGTAAATGACTTGTTGTAAGCCATGATATTCTATTGCTACTTTATTGAGGTGATTCCAGTTACAAATATCATGTAACATTTTTGTTAGATTGTTAGAATCATATTTGTAAGATATTGAATATCTTTCTATAACATCATTAAAAATAAATATACAACTTGACAAGTACTAATCAGAATCATGATTATTTATATATACACCTACTCATTGTATATCCAATCTTATCTAAAATATTGTGTTTGTTTATTATGTATCAAGCTTGAAAATTGTTTTGACATTGGTCACCTTGTGCAATGAATAAAAACACAACTGCTGATATAGGTTATGTCGTATCTTTTTTCGTCTATGTATACACATATAGTATAACTGTGTATTTCAAATTCCATAAATACTCATCATGCTTTTGATTTTTCTATTTGTTTTATATTTTTGATGAAAAAATATGATTTATCCCAATTCCTTCAATAATTTACAATTTATTCTTACTCATATTTATAATATTTCATAAAACGATAAAATAAAATATAATTTAAATAAAAGTTCCATAGATAGAAATTAAATTTATATTCTAAGTAAATGTGATATAATTGTTATACAGATCTATTATACTGCTAAGTAGAGGTAACAATGATGACAACAATATAAATTTGTCTGTGTAATTTCCATTATATGTGATAAATAGTATTAGTTAATGGTATACAAAAGATTTAAGATAAATAAACCACAGACACATTAAGGTCATCTATTTATGTTATACATCCATGTATTGATTGTAAAATGATGTGACTACGGTTCGAGACATTTTTAAAAATAATGTGATTAAAGCATCAACCACTGAATTTTTAAATATTGAAATTGATATTTTAAAAAACCAAAAGATATATTTATAAACAAGTTGATCTATTTTTCTTCACACCACTCATTTTCTTTGCGAACTTGTTCTTCTTCTGATGCAGCAAAATCATTTTTAATGTTGAAAGTTTTTCGAATTTCTTCTGGTGTTTTGCCTTTTATCATATTAGCAACAGTTTTGCATGTCACATCCAACAGTCCTTTAATATCAAGATAATTAGCTGCCAAAATTAATTCAAAGAGAGTTCCTTGGTCAACCTAAAAATATGTTTTATTTATAATTGCTATAATTCCTTTAGGAAAGCATTACAAATATAATAAAAACCAATAAATATTTACCTTTAGAAAGTCTGCATCCCAGGAACTGATATCATCTGTACGTTTTTCCTTATTCTCGTCATCTTCAGGAGGTGGTGGATCATCTTTGTGATAAGTAGCCCATTGTATTACTTTCCTGAGAATAGCAGAATTAACATTTGGCAGAGGAACAACTTCCTCTTCATCTTCATCCATTCCAAGATCTTCCAACATAGTTTTTATAGTAACTGAGCATTTTGCAATATCAACATCCACTTCAAAAACTTCCCCATCAGAACTCTGTAGTTTAATATTAGGCATCTGAAACATATTTTTAATAATTATAATTAAGATGCACTGACAAAAATAGTTTCTTTACAACGACGAAGTGCCGTCGTATTTGAGTATGAATATCATAGTTTCTATTATCATAATAGATCGTTAGAAATATCTATACTCCGATTAATAACTAGAAAATTCTTCACATATTTTAAGTTTAAATTGAAATTATTCATTTACGATCATTTCCTTTCAAAAACAGACACTCCATCGATGTAACAAAACAACTATCGTGAACGACATTTTCTCAAGACTAGTCGTATGTACAAAATATCAACTTAGTTCTGAAAAGTCAAACGTGACATTATACATTTTAATTCTTAACAAAACATTAACAAAACATTAAGAAAATCACCGTGAATTGCTTGTTGTGGACAATGAACAGAGGTATCTAATAATTTGCTACACCGTTGGATCAGCAGAAGGCACTTGTTCCCCTGCCGTTTCACGCTCCTCTTCCAGCTTTTATTCGTCTGTTTTATTTTCTCTCTCTCTCTCTGATGTAATATTCGTTCTCTATTCTAAATTCTCCGTCCTTTTCGATGCATCAAGAACTCAGCTACGTCGTTTTCACTCTCCTATTCTGTTCTCTTTTCCGTAGCTTTTGCTATGGAGGGAACGCGAAAATTACGTTGGTACAATACACGGCAACTAACATGAGATGGCGCCATCGTACTGCGCAATTGGTTTTCAAGATTATTCGATTTATTAAATAGACAAACTTTAGTAATTTTGTACTCGTAGTTATTACTACATCAACTACTATAAATACATCATTTTAATAATGTAGATAATTTTATTTTATTGTATTAAAGGTATGCCAAAGTAGGCAATTTATAGTATACGCAGTCTTGTATGTACATACACCAATCAGCGTTTGGGAGTAATTTTAAAAAACAGATTGCGTTCAAGGTGCTCAATTTCAACGGTTCAATCATCAACGTAAAAGGAAAGATAATAATAGCATTGTTAAAAAACAATCGCTACATTTAAAAAAGGATTATTATACAAACAATGTTAAAAGGTATTCATTGTTCAAGAAGTATACAATTTTATATCCATTTCGCTTTAAGCGTTTACAGTCATGAGTAGTTTACAAACAAATTACGATATTTGAGAGCACAAAACCGCTTGCGATAAAAGAACATCGTTTTCTTTTTTCTTGTAATAAAGAAAGCAGGTTTTTATTCGAGCAGATTGGCGCCAATGAGCGCATCATCGGACACTGAAATTTAAAAATTACGAGGTGTCACGTGAGTCGATGAAAAAAAAATTGCTCCATAATTTCCAATAACGATCCAGATGATTTTTGACGTAATCATGATAAAACTGAGGGCGAATGTGACGCCATCGTTTCGAACCGTAAAATTATGCTCTTCTATTACTCGAACGATTTTTCGTCGACAATCTACGAAAGTCAGGATGCATAAACGGACAGAGGATACGCACAAGAGTGATGCTCATCTAGGCGCCAGCATCCTACGCATAATCCTCTTCCCCCTTGTTTTCACCATGATAGAGATCTCTCTTTTTCTCTACCTCTTTGTCTTCCTATATAGCAATTTTTCTCTTACACAGAATTTACAGAAACATGTTCTTTTTTTTTCCATTCTATGGATTTCATTTTTAGTCATCCTCTTATAAGGGCGTTTATTGAAGAGTTTCAAGCGAAAAATAGACAGAGGAAACGGAATAACGACTACAGTCGCAACGATTCGACGATCGTATCAGAAAGTGCATTTCCCTGAACAAGAGTAGTTTCACCAACGATTTAACTTGCCCGAAGCAGGGATAAACGTACGATCAGCATGCATCCACATTTGACTAAGAGCTTGCCCATAATTTGCCTTCGGCCATTATCGAATTGAGGGAAATTGAAAATATTTGTTAGACGAAGAAAAAACATTCGCGTGGTCGTCTAACAATATAATAACTAAGTAAAAGATAAGAAATTGGAGAGAATTTCAAGTCACGTTGACATTATAATATTATAGCATCAGCTAAAAAAATGAAGGAGAAACATCGGAGAGATTGCTTCCTTGATCTCTGGATAAGGCTCCAATCTATCTTTTTCCTTTTTATACTCGAATAAATTTTGTTTCTTTTAGACACGTCTATACATACACTCGCCATTGTGTATCGGTGAATTAAGATTTTTATAGACTCTCTTTCGAACGAAACGAATTCATTCCTTCTTTTTTTTTTTCTTTCTTTTATCTCTGGTTCTTACATCTTCCTCCGGTATTGTTCGTGATTCTCGCGTATCACCGAACAAATAAGATTCGATGGTTCAATCAGTCGATCAAGTTAATCAATTTGTATTTAATTTTGTATTGATCGATGCTCAAATAAACATTCACTACTATCGAATTAAACAGAAAGGGTTGACTCGTTGGAGAACGTTGAATGAAATGCTGACAGAGCTGTTTATAAAACAGCGAAACTTAATATCGATTTCGAAAGATGCTGGTGTAAAAAAGAAATAATTCTCAACAACGATGCTTAACGAACGTAAGAATTACAGGAGCGAGGTTTTTTGAGGAATAATTAACCTACAACGCCCGCGTAGGTCTCATTAAAAACAACAGGCAAGACTTGGCAGACAGGTATCTGTTTTAACGTGCAAAAGCCTTCGTTGCTTTTCTTTACTTTATTTTTCAGTTTTTCTTATTCTTACGCATGGCGAGCGATTAAGGAAAGCTCGTATTGTAACGGAGTGAGCAAAAATAACCTGAATCATTGACTGGGATAGTGGAAATGGACGTATGTAGTAAGACACGTTATAATATGTAGTATTTATTATTTGTATAATAAATAATGTTCAGAATGTCCTTCTAAGAATGGTGTTAACTCTACATTAAGAGTGATTACAGTCATCTTAACGCGTTGACTGTCAACTACGAGGCAACTCGTAGTTTGCGTTATTCCCTAGGACGTCAACTACGAGTTATCCCGTATTTTGTGCACGAATTGACTCGTAGTTGGCGTCCTAGGCAATAACGCACACTAATAAGAGTTGTCTCGTAGTTGGCAGTCAACGTGTTAAAGAAGAGAAAAGATAAATTATTCCGATGAATGTTAGCTTACAGTTCATCGTGTACATACAGTATCAATCATAGTATCCGTTCGTCTAGTGAAAAACCACTGACTTTGGAGTCCAAGTTTAACCGCAGCAAATAAATATTTGAAAGCTTTTATCAGATGATTATGTTAATTATTTTAACGCTTTTATTAAATAATTAGATTTATGATATTTGCTGCGGTTAAACTTGGACTTGAAGGTCAGTGCTTTTCCACTAGACGAACGGACACTATGATTGATACTGTATGTACATACCTAGACAAAACTGCAGAGTTTCTGGTGACACCCATATTTTCTGATTTTATTGAACATTCCCAGAAGAGTTCATTTCTCTTAGATAACCGTTATGTCTGCAGTAATTGAATACATAGATCGTATCAGTTGATCGGTGGTCCAAGAGCTATTCTCTCTTTTACGATAACGAATCAGTCGGATCTCCTCGTAGCAAGTCAATGAAATCGTAACGACTTTTCTTGTCTTCTACTTACCCAAAAAAAGTCGCGCGAAAAGAGCAACCATCATGGGGATAGAAAGCAATTAATTCGCAATTACTCGGTTTACATCGGTTCGCGGGTCAACTAGGGGAGGAAAAAATTTGAAAAACGCGTTAACAACCGAGATGAAGAGCGAACAAGGGTTTCGAGGAGCTGCGTACTGCAGACATTGCGGCGCCTTCGAGGCGAAGGATCCACGTAATTCGGTATTTATCACCGCAACCATTACGTAGCGTAGAGACGGCTACATTCGACGTGCGTCACGAAAATTCTGCTCTATCCTCGTGTCACTACCCTTCGACCCCGAATCTTTTGCTTTTCTGCCAATTTCCTAGGTGAATACATTCCGTTGAATCTCAGCCAAAATAAATCCTGTTTCGTTTTCTTCGTTATACTAATCATTGACGCGTTCACTGACCACGGGGTTCACCCCGGTACTAGCGTTTTAGATTGAAAATTTATGTTATTTTGTTTTGTGTTTCAGGAAAAAGGATTTCAAAGAAATGCTAATAGCTAACGTTTTAGGAAAGGAAAAATCTCAAGACGAAAAATGGACAGTTTCAATCATTATTGAACCGTGAAACATGGTGATAAAATCACAGATGAAATTACAGAGGAAAAAAAAGAGGTTTAAGGGGTTAGGCCACTCTAAAGCAAGAAAAAGTAGGCATATTTTGGGAATATAAAAAAAAAATGATGGAATAAACCAAATTCTGTAAGCCTTTATTTTACAACTAATAAACTTTAAAAATTAATTTTTGTGTAGTGATTCAAGTCAAAATATGGGCTCTGCAGCATTTCTTCGATGAAGCCTTTTTTTTGAAGAGCTAAATGGCCGGACCAGCAGCTCCTGCAGTTTTTAACTTAGGATATAAAAACCAAAATATTTTCGATTATATATGAGAACAGCTACCGAACCACGTAGGATTTTTTTGATATATTGATTTTTGCAAAAATGGCGTATGTTTTAAGAGAAAATGTAAAATTTCAGGAAAAAATCGTCAGAAAATTATTTATAACAAAAGAACTATGCAACATAATGAAAAAATCCTACGTAGTTCGGTAGAGAATTTAGTTTTGAATATACTGTTAAATTTTCAAATCAATTGGTGATGATCTATTTGATTTATGAGTCCGGCCAGGTTGAAAAATACGTTTAAAGTTTTCAGTAATTCGAAATTCGAGTACTTAGAGATTTTTCCCATCCATAATCTTTTGCCATATCATTTTTAAGACATTAAGGCACCTTTTAAGCAAAAACAAAAATTTCGATTTTTTCAAAATTCTAGAGTGGCCTAACCCCTAAGAATCGAATGAACGCTTTGAAGAAAGCCGATTTCACTTAAAACAAATTGTAATAGGGTTTCGTCCTCGATGCTCGATGGAGAAGAGAGAAATCATAAGTTATAGGAAAGGTTCTCGAAGGGGGTGCAAAAGCCACCTTGGGCTGTTCAACAAAAGTAATCTCGTTAACATTTATTGAGCTTGCGATTGTTCTTAATAGTTACGTAAAGTTTATAATCTTTGTCTCCTTCGCCTTCGTTACCCTTCTCTAAACCCTCGAATTAAATATAAAATTCGTTCGAGAAGTTTTGTAGCTTCTTTAATTAGCCACGATTCTGTACTCCAATATTTTTCGTGGATACCGTGATTCATTTATGTAATCGCGTGTTACACCATGAAACGATTTTAAATTACACGTCGTAGAAGCTTACAGTTAAAACGATGAAGATTTATTAGGAACATTTTTAACACAATAAATAAATTCTTGACCATCTATCTTTCGGTCAATTTAAGAACATCCTGGCGCCTTCCGCTTATGCACCCTCTGTCGTTTATGCTCTCGAACCACCCCAAATTTCTCCATTGTATGCTTCAATCTTTTTGCTCTATCACGATTGACGGATTAGTCTGCTTAGTAAATTAACGGGAATAGCTTTGCTAAAAAAATTGACCTTTTTGTCGATGTAGAGCAAATGTACCATGACATTTTTTTAAGACCATGTTGTATTAACATGTATAAATGATAAAATCCCCACGAAGATTGCATTCTGAAACTGAATGTAACAAAGCATTGCAATTGATTCTTTCCCTCTTTAACAAGCTAAAGTGAACTAGAGCTAGATTCGCTCTAGAGCCAACCATTTTTCGGCCATTTCCGGTCAGACCGCAAGTGGCAGAAACAAAAAAAAATTTTTTTGAGCCATTCGTTGAGATTTTAACCCACTAAACACAATGGCGCAAGAATTTTTTCAATAACTCTTACCGTTTGGCCTGTGCAAAAGTGACAGGAAGTCTAAATTCTATAGCTCCCTTCTTAAGATTTTCAATCTTAGATACGGGTTGTCTAATAATTGGAAGACGCTGAAATTTGTTAATTAATTTATCTTGGTACCTTTAGGAAAAGTTATTATCCTGTATCTGCATACAAGTATTAATTCAGCATCGCGAGAGATGACGTATATGCGCGATCCATAGCAAGTGTGTTACCCCAACCGGTTAGGGTAACTTGGGCGTCTGATGTAGTACCCTTGGAGGAGGTTCCCCGTCCCCACTCTGGTTTCATTCACAAAAGATTCATTCATGAATCTACGTAAGAGGCTTTCTCCATCGGAATAACAGTTTTTCGTACAATCGAGAATCGCCAGTTTCGGTTTTTCTTCTGATATCATTGTGTTCTGGGTGGAGACTAAATCAGATGACGTAATTGAGACACAGAAGGGGTATGGAATACATACGGGGCGGCCGTAACAAACGTGGAGGAGGAACACGTCGGTGGTGACGGGTACCAATGGTGGTGGATACAGGGAAACCCTCTTGGTGGTACGGAAGAGGGGTGAGTGGTTCCACTATAAATGTGGCCAGCGCAAGCTCCACCAATCACTCGCCCTCTGACCTCGAAACTCCAAGCTCCCACGGGTACGAAACACCCCCTCCTTAACGTTCGCATTCAGATTTGAAAAGGAATCAGCCCCGTTTCGACAACGAAGACGCTCGTTGCCTCGTGATCGCCTCGTGCTTCTTTACGTACTTTGGAACATCTTTGAAGACCACCCCGAGTGAACCCACCTTTCGGATTGAAGACCTCCAGAAAAACACGAAAACATTCAATTATTTGTTTGACCCTCGATAACATCTCTATCTCTTCGCAGACATGACAACGGTGAGTAAAACACAGTTGAGATCTTTTTCCTGAGTTCTCTTTTCCTTTGTGTACTTCGCTTCGAGCAGTCGTGTAATCGTTGGAACCGGTGTCAATGAAGTTCCTATCTGCATTTGCCAGTCAAAAGTCTTGCGATATAAACAGTGTATTGCAAAAACGTGATGAATTTAAAAAAAATTTCTTCGAATTCTACTTATCTTGTTTTATCGTTTGAAATCGTATAGATATTATCAGTGGTATGTAGTGTGATTGCTGTAATCGTAATGTTCTTCAATTTTCATTCAGTTACGATAAAGTGGATAATTAAAAGATAACTTGTTACGTTCGATAGCAAGATAAATATCTTCCATTGGCGAGCGATGGTAAAAATATTTCATTATTATAATTGCACAATTGCGTGCACATTGAGGTGAGCGATGCGGTTGTTACAAGCGTGATTGCTTCTCGTTTGAAACAGCTTTATCGTAATTGTTTATTCGTTGCAAATTAATTCGTTGTTATGTTAAAAGTCCACCAATTCTGAACCACCTGTTAATTGCAACAGGTACATGTGCATAGCCAAATACCAACTTACAACTTTTAGTTACAATGAAATTACAGACATTTGCTATAGACAACAAATAAATTCATATACCATAAGTGCCATTATATTATACTTTTATATCTCGAAATCACGACAGACTTTTTCTGTTTCGAAATTAAATGTATCACATGTCTGCGCTCGTTCTGTCTGTTCTTCTTACCTTATGACAATGAAATTTATATCTTCTATCTTGCAAAAGTTTCTTCCTTTATTGGTGCTCGTACAGTCGTTTAAACTACAAGAAGTAGTATCTACAAAATAGGATACGCGAACGTCGAAACGTAACTGCTTAGGAAACGTCAGGTTGAATCGAGTCGTCGAAGAGAACATAAAGTTTCTTGCTTTGGTCGAAGGAGTATTCGCAATTTACATTAACCCATAGCCCCAACGATGGCGCCAACGATTTCCGTGTATAGACACGGTATTACATGTTAGAGATTCATCAATGCCATCTTGTGCTTGCTGGTCGTAACTTTTATTACGAGCGTAATCAGCGATGCTCCCCTTTCCGTTTTCCAACTTCTGTCATGATTATGAATAATCCGTTTCGCGATGTACGAGCACTGTAAACTTGTTTGATAAAAAAGAATTGATTGATCGTGGTAGAGAACAACGAGTCTATTACTAGGAGAATTAACACCCTAACTGGTACAGTGGAAATGGACAAATGTGGTCAGACGAATTTTACTACTGACTAGAGGTGACCGAGTACTCGAATTTCGAGTCAAGCAATGATCAGAAATCGACGAACTGCTTGAAACAAAAGCGAGCTACTCGAATATTCGAACTGAAAATTCATCTTCAAGTAAATCGAAGTTTTACGAGGGCTCGAATATTCGAGTAGCTCGCTTTTATTTCAAACGGTTCGTCGATTTCGAGTAATTCGGCAAATTCAAGCGCTCGACTCGGCTCGAACAACCGAAGCAGGTTCAGCTCGGCTTGTAAATTACTAGTACTCGCACACCTCACACCTCTACTGCTGACTGCACATTATATGAAATCTATAATTAATTAATTAATTACATTTGGCACTAAATTGAAAGGAAAAAAATTTGAGGAGTCAAGTAAAGGTGACTGGTCCAACTGAGATTTGACGAAAGCGGAAAAACGAAAGGGGAAAGTAGAAAGGGAAGGATGAAAAGCTTTTTCTATGCCACGAGACAGAGAGGCGCCAAGACGTCCCATATCCGAGACAAAAATGAAATCGTACGTTTCTAGCTTTTCATCCCTTCTTTCTCAACCTATTCTCCCTCCTTCAGTACACTCCTATCATATTTCTATTTGCTCTGTTCAATAAAGAAAATCCTTCGGATTGAACGTTCAGTAAGATGAAAGCTTTTTATCGGCTTTCGAGCGATTACAACGCTTCTCTGTTCTAGGATTACTTATTCCTTTTTATACACTTACAACTACAAATGTTGTAGTATCTGATTTCTCTGCCACAAATCAAAGCGATTTAAATCGCTTTAACTTATCTCGTTTAGACGAGTTACGAGGAACAAACACAGCGATGAATCGTGAATTTCAACCTCTATAGAGATACAATATTTCTTTATCCAAAATTTATGCCAAGTCAACTTGTAAAATCAATAAGAAATCTTTCGATAGGGATGAACTTTCATATTTGTCGACTGTAAATTATGATTTTGTCTCTGATGATCGTGAAAACGTAATGTAAAATATGCGAACTGTGGGAAATTTGATTCTAAATTGTAAAAAAATATTGGGAAACAAAAAAGAGATCAAAGAATATGCAACTTTTTGTAAAAGCATAGCATTGATGCGCGTGGTTTATAATATCAACTGTTTTGCGTGATAATTTGTACAAAAGAGATGTTTTTTTTTTTCATTTTAAATAACGCCTCACGCATAATGTAATCGAATAACTAATAAAAGTGTCTATGACCAAACACGTCCACTTCCAATGCGGCAGTGAAGTTTGATCTTCTTAATGGGTGGAAAGGAAGAAGGAACCTTCAAGATTTACCTTATGCCTTAAATGGTATATAGTTTTCGATGAATCGTACAGAAATTACACATTATGTTAATAACGTTCGATTAGTCGGTATTGCGTAGCATCCCTCGAGCAAACAATGAACGCGTTGGTTCCACGAAAAATGTGGTAATTGATACTTGACCCATTGAAAAGGGGATAGGCGAGTAATTCTGTTGCGAAACCCGTTGGAAAACGTGTCTCCTCGATAACTAAATTTCTCCTACGGATTATTAACGTTACACGATTAGCACATGTTGTCTATGGTGAATAATAAGGTTCTGCTTTATCCTGGGAATATGTACAATGATTCTGACACGATTCTTAATGAAGAAATATAAGGGAGGAAACAGTGCTCCTGCTGCAACATCGGCATAAAAACATGAAAATATCATGCGAAACACGCTCATTTTCAAAGACTACTGCAACTTTTTTCAATTAAAAACTCATCGACGTTACTTTACATTTCAAGAGGGAAGGAAAAAATGCCTTTCCAGCTTGTTATTGTGTTAACATGTTGATTGATACGGTAGAAGTTCCCTTTTTTAATTTGTTGCACGGTAATATGGATCGTCGAGGAAATTTTTAATGCAGTTAACCCGCTTCTTTTTTTTTTAAATAAAATTCATACTCGCGATTGTAGAGAAGCCGGTTCGTTTCTTTGATATTCGAATGGTCGTTTTACAAAGTGGAGCATCAAGAAACGCGAAAACGCGAATGGTCGGTGATGCGTGCACGGTTTTTCGCATGCATTGTCCGCTATCAATCTATTTGCATAATTTCTGCAATTGCGATCACCGCCAATTAGCTAAAATTAACCATGTGCGATGTTCCCGTCCGATCCCATCACCACCTACTACCACCGCTGAGCGGTTCCTTTGATAATTTGTGAATTAATATATGAATCTCGTCGACCGATATCTACGATCACCTCGCATGAATCCTGTCCACTGGATACGTTGAAATAAAAACAAACGAACTTCGTTACACTCTATAATATAGCTATAGAATAAAATAACGTGTAGAAAATTTCGAGTTTTGAATCAGTTGATTAGATGTTTGGTTTTCGAAACATTTCGACTCTTCTTTGTTAAAGAATATTAGAATGCAAAACGGTAAACTGCTCTCGGTTATACGATATCTAAGATCTTCGGGAAAATCGTGTGAGAAAGCAGCCAGAAGGTGCTATAAATCCCATGAAACTACTCGATCTGTTTTAATCGATAAGGATCGAATATTAGACATTTACATTCTTCTCATTGAACCTTCGCGAAACGTTCGTATTACATCGAGATAACCAGCCTACCAAAATCTAAATCGAATCGCGACAACGCATATCCTCCCACGGGAAACACTATACCCCTCCTGGAAATTGATTAATTGAACCGGATTAGAAACAAATCGAAAGCAAATTGCTCGCAACCGCGGCAGTTTTCATCTTAAAATAATTGACTTTTCATTAATATTATTAACATAAAATTTTGAAATTACTGCTCGTTGATTATAACAAATGGAAACAATGGATTTTGATCTCTCAATCGCTTGTTTCGCTATGATAGGTAATTGTTTGTTACTATTACACGTATTAGAAAATCGGTGCACGTTATATGGACAAACTAGTCCACCTGAATTTTGAAACAATTCTATTAGGGGTACAAATTAATTCGGTGCCTCTTCTTTTTTTAATTAATGGCTTATTTTCAAGAACTTATAGTAACTACATTGAAATTATTGAATTTATTGTTATCGATATCATATTCTCACGCCATTTTTCAAATTCACAAAAGCGCGGGAAAATATTTGAATTTAAAATAGTAACTAAGAAAGTGTAATATTAAAGGTACCGAATTAATTTGTACACCTAATACATGCGTCTATCTGCCTTGGATGTTTTTCATGAAACGAGAGGTTGTTAAGGGCACAGACTCCTTGTGCCATGAACTGTATGCGTGCACTCACACAATCAACGGTTTGCATGCACGTATACGCCATCCGTGAGAGAGACACTCGATTTCGTAGATTCCATTTTTCATCTCGATAATTGCATAAATGAAATTTTCTTGGGTACAGCACACACGGGTAGACTTCCACGAAACACGCGCTCACAAATAACGAAAACAAGATGTCGAAAGGAAGGAATTTGCCGCAAATTGGGTGATGCAAGTTCATTTTCTGCTGTCGTTGAATCGAAACAAACGCATACCCGATACACGTTGAATGAAATTGTGAAATTGAGTATAGGGAATACAAGAGATCCAGTGACCTTTACATTTCGAGTAGCCAGATCTACGCGGTCACTATTGATTTCCTAAGTTATTTCCTTTTTTGCCCATTTATGAGGTGAAACAAGAGAAATAAAGTTGTGAATTGACATTTCCTTTCTTATTTATATCTATGCGGTGATAGTTTACCGGGTAATTAACTAATACGTTAACTGTTGTAACAAAAAAGTAGTAATGAAAAAATTACAATTATTGAAATTTTGATTGCAGGCTGTAGTATTCATCCAACGATGCATAGTTGTTCTTGCTATTATACTCTGTTACTTTCAAGTTCGGAGCGAAGGTGTGGACTGCCAGTGAGTATCTATAATAATTATTTATAATTATAAAATATTTAAAAAATGACAAATATTTACCAATGATATATTTTGTACTTCCAGAGCGTATCCATTTCACCGCTTGTGCAGAGGTACCATGACAAAAAAGCGTGCAATGTTTCCGACTGCATTTAGCTCAGGTTGCGACGATAACAATGTAAATATAAATTGTATCAGGGAATTTGAAGAACAACAACATTTTCCTTATCTTCCACTGTCGAAATCGAGGCTCTTAGTTGCTTTACTGAACAACGTAAGTTATGCTATTAACTCATTACCGACGGGGAAAAAGAATCATCGTTTTATTGAAATATAGGTTAAAAATGCCCCGTCGGTAATGTGTTAACTTGACATTTATCCCTTACGAATCACAATCCTCCAGAACGGTGGCAATGTATGTACATATATTCTAACGTTTTTTAAAAACGTCAAAACGTTGCAGAATTTACAGAAGGACATCACACGTTTGTCACGTCACAAAGGAAGGAACAATGAAATGGATGAACAAACGCCACCCTTAATCGACAGCTTTTTGTCAGAGTTGGAATCATCGGACAACTACTAAACAAGAATCAATCAGGAAATAAATATTTGCTCGACTCGTGGAAACATTTTTCATTAACCGAACATTCAGAAATGTGTATTTTGTCCTATTTCTATATCGTTTATATGAAATAAAATTCCTTTCCTCTCTTCATTTTCTTCTTCTTTCCATCTCGTATTGTATCTATCCTTACGATTTTTCATTTGAATCGCTTTTATTTATTTACTGCCAATGAATATAATTATAATTGAGCCATTGGATCTAATGTTTTCAACTGATAAAATATCATGTACTGCAGCATCAAGAAAACACTTCTTGAATTATCCTATCGAGAAGGAAGCACGAGATTAACTTCTCGAGAATTTTATTTCATATTTTATATGTGATTGAAATTCATTGAAAATATATGTATGTACACTATAATCGACGAACACGATCGTTATCTACTATACCGCAGTTCACCAGAGTCCATAACTGTGAAAAGACCAGTTTTCGTTCTTCGCGCTTCTCCAGTGCGCATCTTCGCCCTGATTGGCGATACTCCCAAACAAAGTGGAAAGCGATTAGCAGAGAGCTCGCTGCGTTCCCCCACCATCTTCCAACCTGCGCGTCGCAGTTATGGACTCTGGTGAACTGCGGAAGCTCTTGTATATAAACTTTGAAATGAACAATGACGACTATTTTCATTATGTTAACAATAAATATATTAAAATGATCACTATACAACTTTGGGTATTTTTCGTATATTTAAAAAGTACACCGTATACGTACAACCCTCAATATGTACTTTGAATTTTTCGAGCGCTTTAAGTAATGGATCGCTGTATATTTCCAAAATTATATGTAATAAACATACAAGGAATAAGAAACTGACAATACATAATTATTTTTTTTTATATTATATTACTTATTACTTCAATTTTGTATGTTTATATTTTGCACGTGTTTTTGTTTACCGAATAACTACGACTTATTACGTAGTGCCGCGTATATAAGTGCGGCTAAATCTACGGCGGGTTTGAGGAATTTATTTGTTTGAAACTTTTATTCAAAATTTAAAGAAGTATTGAAACAAATATTCACCGAATCATGTTTTCCTTATCTGTTCAAAGAACTAGCAATGTTATAAATACAATTTTAAGTCATAAATGTAATCATACCAGAGTAATATTTTTAAGGTTATATAAAAAATCAAGCTATAGAAACTTGATTAATCATGTATGGGATAAGAAAACTTTAAATACATTACAAAAGTTTCCAAAAAAATACAAACATTATGTTTCATATCGAGAACATAGTACTGAAAGTTTTAAAAAGAAGGAAGAAGATATCATAAATTTGGAACAGCCGGTACTAGAGCATAAAATTTTACATTCTATGTTAGAAGAATCTATACATTATAAAGATACTATTATGCCGCCCGTTAAAACAAAAGTAGAAGTTAGTTACCAACAAATATGTCAATTGTATACTGTGGATTGGTCTAATGAACCTGTATCAAATATTTATGATGCCATTAAAAAAATATCATACTGTCACTTAAGTGGCTCATGTTTTGAAACATCAATGTATGACAATATTTTACTTCCCCTTGGGGAAAAATTAAATTCGTTAGAGAATAAACAATTAATGATACTCATGCAGCACTTGATTGTGCTCACTGATGAAATTCAAAAATCAAACAATTGGCAATCTTTCCTTAAAAAATTAAACAAAGAATGCTTAAGACGATTTTTTCCATCAACCATTGAAAACATGTTATTATTAGCTGATGTATTCTATCAACTTGAAGATATAGAATCTTATTATATGTGGCGTGCTTTAAGAAAAATAGGCTCAAAATGTACAAAGCTTTCACCAAAACATATGGTTCAATTATTCTTCCTTATAACTTTTGTTAAGTCAAACTGTAGCATAAATATGTACGAAGCTGAGTGTAAGTTGCAAGAATGCATACATGAACTCAGTGGAAATGAATTAGGTATAGTTACAAGAGGCTTTTTTTTGAATAAACAAAGCATTAGAAATAAGATTTTATTGGTTGAGATAATAAGGAAAGTTAAACAAAATATTCAATCCATGGACAGTACTACTATAGCATCAGTTATGAAACTAACAAGGTAAAGAACAATATATTGCATAAGTAATTTTTGACAGTGATTGTTATCAATTACATTTATGTATAGATACAGTGATTGCTATCATTGCTTGGTAGAACTTCAAGATTTACTGAAATGTTTACATACAGAAATACCAAGACTGTCATTCATATGTTTAACACACATAGCACATGTATTGGGAGGTTATCGTATATACGATGAAACTTTAACAAAAATCATTCTTGAGAGGTAAGTTTGATAAAGGAATGTTAACACTATTACATTTGAATATAAAAATTACTACTTGATTCTAATCTAGGGTAATAAATGAAATGAAATCTGCAAGACTAAAGGATATCGAAAGGATTTTATTTACTATCTATACAGTTGCTCCTCAAACTGATTATTATCAGGAAATAGTTAAGAAATTACTGAATGAGATTGTACTAAATTATCAAACCAACAGATTAGATGAAATCAATAGGTAAGGTTTTATATATATAATCAACCTAAATATTAGTAAATTCATTCTTAGTAACTTTAATATAAAAGTAGACAATATTAAGTATAAAATTATCGAAAGAAAAAAATTGAATGGATTTAAAATACATTAATTACAGGTATGCGGTATCGTTAGTACGCATTTTATCATATGTTAGTGCTAAAGGTATATATGTACCACAACTAATTCAGCACGTATTTCAACCTTCATTTATACAAAAAACATATAAAAATAACATGAGATTACTGACAAATGATCTGTTAGTATTGCAGTGCACTATTCAAATAGAGTTTCCTTACTATCAAGGCCAATTATTGTCAGAACAGCTATATTCTTATTTAGTAAAGGTACAATTTAGTACATGATATTAAATTTTAACGAATTATATAAATAACATGTAACTGAATTAAAATTTCATTATTTTTATTATAGAAATATACACCTTCCGACGATATTCAGAGAAAAGACAACAATATAAAATTGCGAAGTGAAATTGTATTTCTATGCAAAGTATGCTTACAAAATTATATGAATAATACATTTTCAGAAAAGAAAAATATATTTAATGTATTTCATTTTGTTGTTATAGAACAACTTAGGACTAGATATATATGTTGATTATATTTTACCTCATTACCCAATAAGGGATATAATTTTTGGTTTGGATGAACATAACAATCCTGTTGATGTTGAACCTATTTTATCATCAATGCCCTTTGGTACACTTAAATATGTAAATAGTGATGAATTAAAGAAAATAAAGTGGAATGTTCTATGCCTACTGCCTCTTAGAGCAAAAGTAATGGGTCATAGTAATTACACTGGTCCTACATGCAGAAAAATGAAGGAACTGAAGGCTCTTGGATATACCCCACTTCCGGTAATTTCTCAAATTATTTCGTAAAATGATATATTAACTTAAAGTTATATGATATACATATGTACCAACTTTATTGTTGATTTTACAGATTCAGGAAGCTGGGTGGTATTTGTTAAATGAAGAAAAAAGAAAAGAAGATTATTTAAGGCAACTAATTTATGGAAAACGAAGTGAAAATTTCATAGATGAGATAAATTTTTTAAATTATAATACCAAAGAAAATAATGAAGTAAATTTTTAAAAACTTATATTTAATTTCGTTTTAGTAATTTTATATTAGAAAGTATTGTTTTGTTTTAAGATGATGACAGTCTATTGGAACATACAAAAGTACATACATATTATAAACACATATTTTTGTTGAATATAAACTTTATTAACTATACGCGTATATACATGTAAAAAAATATAATTTTTTTTGTCAATTATTTTCAAAATAATTATGCATAAATTTTTTAGTATATTCATAGGTTACAAACAATGTAGCTGTTGCTGGTACTGTTCTTAATAACGTTGGTTTTAAACCATTGTACAAAGCACCAATACCTTCATTCCTCACAATATCTTTCATAATTAGTAATGCTGGCTCTTTTAAGTTTTTTACCTTTAAAAATGAAATTAAATATAAAGTTCATTAACATACTTCATTCTCGATTAACACGTTCGTGCTTACTTGGATAGATCTACTCGTAATAAAGATATGACGATCTCTAAAAAATTTTATTGTCGAACTGCATCGACATTGGTTAATGTCGTGACACTCAGAAACAATGAATATTATTCTTGAATGCCACGACATCACTCGTATTGCTTTTGAATAGTTTAATTTACGACTTCGCTTTGTCTTAACCAAGCTAAATACAGTTGTTACCCTGGGCACAAGCGTGTTGAACCTTATTACTTATTCACTGTTATTCACATATCTATATTTATATAGATATGTATATTATCAAATGAAACTGACCTGTATTCTACTTTTAATAACATCTGCTGGAAATATAACAAGCCATAATACAGTTCCACCAACACCACCAGCTATCATTGTTTTTTGCCATCCAATATCGTTCCTACTTTCATTTGGTTTTGCTAAAAGTTCTCTGGTGATTTCATAACCTCCGAAAAAAAAGAAATATCCGGGCATTTCACGAGCTATGGTCGATGATAAACCGGAAAATAGACCTCTTATTCCTTGTTCTTTAAGAATTTGGTTTGTTAAACTCCATGGTCCAATTTTTTTCTACAGAAAATAACCATCATTTTCAGAATATATGTTACATATCTTTCTTGTTGTTCTTACATTAATTATATTTTTTGCTGCTACTGTTGCTGTTTCTGTTAATATCATTTCAGCTTGAACTTCTCTTATCGCTTGTAATTTACATTTTATAAGCTCTGTTGGACATAGTGTTAACGATGAAAAGAATGCAGCAAAAAAGCCAGCACAAGCATTTTGAACAGATGTTAAATCCTCTTTCTTCACACCTATGCCAATTTCATGTTTTTAAACAGAAAATAATACATATGTATATATTTATGTTTTAAAGTAATTATTACCTAACACATTAGATATCATTTTTTGGCATCCACCATATGCAGCAAATAATACTGAATTTTCAGCTACATTAGCAACTATCGCAGGCACGGTTCCTGCATATAAACCACGTATCACGCCATCCGTTTTTAATGTTTGGAGAAAACAATTTACCATTCCTTTATACATGGAAGGAAATGTTTGCATTTTTACCTTAACAGTATCTAAGGGTTGCCCAACATATACAAGAGCTATTCCACCTTGAAACAAATATTGTATACAATTTAAAATTATTTAATTTTATTCATTATTCTTGTAAGATCGTTTTTATATTGCTATAATATACAATATATTTCAACAAACTGTAAAACATTCTCACCAAGTGAACCAGCAACAAAATCAATTACACCATCTCTTAAATTCTTTATATGTTGACTTTCTCTTGATGTATTTTCGAGAGTCATTGTTACAATGTGTTTTTAATTCAATAAATATATTTGTATCCTATATATACAAAAATAACAGGTTAACATGTGATTGAGTGTTTTATTGACACAGTGATAATCACGATTTTTATTCACGCAATTTCGTAAAGCGTGCGCACGCACATCTACCCTCATGTTTGACTGATAAAGAAATTATTCATCAATCATAGTTCAATGATAGGTAGATAAATAATTGACAATTTAAAAATGATATGTATCCTCATAAAAAATTTATTAACATAACTGCTCGTTCATCAGTTTCATATACCACATAATTTTTCATTCAATCGTGTAATGAATTATTTCTCTTATATTTTAATTCTTAATTAACTAGACTATTTACATTCTAATTCATGGTCTAATTGACAGTGTATTTCAGATATTGTTAAGCTTTTTATTACTTTTATTCATTATTTAACCTAAGAATAACTTATAAATATATAAATCTTCATTTAAGTACAATAATAATAATTTGCGAACTATGATAAAACATTTATTGGTATATGTATACATGTAGAACCAAAGTATAATGATTTTAATTGGTTTTATTAAAATTTCTTCGATATTGTTTCTACATTACAAAGAATTGGGAAGAATATATATATATGTATACATATGGAAATATCATATGGTTGTCATGGAAACACAGTGCTACATCCTTTAAAATCCTACATTACTAAGTTAAATGGTTAAATTATTCCAGATCCATTATTTTAAGAAAAATGGGAGGCATTTATCTTTGACACAATGCGTAGTACATTGATTATACAACTTGCAAGCATGAAATGTTGTAATTTCTTGTTCAATTATTTACAAAACTTTAGGATAAAATTACCTTGGTAAATCAGTAAAGTTCCTAGATGGATGTATGCGAGATACATATATGTATATGTATGACGTACGCGACGTTTTGTGGTTCCAAAACATGGATTTTCTTTATTACATTTTCAGTTAAATGATTATCGGTTACTGTTTTGTTTTGGGGAAGGAGACATTGAATTTTGTTCGTATTATAAGAAAATCACAAAATTCAATACAATGATCGTCTTTTTTGCATTATGAAAATGGGGAAAGTGTATGTGGTATAGTAGATCTGCCATGATAGATCCGAACGCGTCTTCGTCTTATTCCAAAAAAGTCAAAAATTGCTAGCAAAATGCGTGATTTTTGTTATCAGGAGAGCTTCTTAAAGGTAAGTACATTGCTTGGTACAAATTTAGTGACTCTAATCATTCTGGAGATCCATAATAAAAAGATAAATTCTCTCATTAAATTGGAGCGCAGCGTGCCTCTAGGAGCGCTCTGGCTCGTCTGCGCCATTAGCGTTCGGAGCATGATCGCCAGATATTTCTATCATATTATCAAAATAGCGCAGTTCTTCGATGAACACTTTCTTTAATGTACTATTTTTTATATTTCTTCATAATTTAGTATTCTTCTAACACAAAAGAACAATGAAATAATCCAGTAGTAATTCACATGGTAATAACTCAAAATTTTTGGTAGTATATTTTTTTCTAAAAAAAGTACACTCTATTCTCAATTATTTTTTGCTGTTATACTTCATACTTATTTTATGTATTGCTATGTTAATATTTTTAAATTTTACTTGCAGTCATTGTGTGTCATTTATAAAATGTTGTATCTTTTATCTTTGTCTTTCATGTATATAACTTTTCAGAATTTGTATAGCTTTTCATATTTGTATTTACTTTGTATTAAATGAATTTAAGATGTTTTTAAACCAATATTTCTAAATGAAGACTTGGAAGAGACAACAAATGTTAAAAGTATAATAAATTTATGTTACACATATAATTATCAATGTTAATTATTTAGCTTTATTGATTCTTCTTTTAGTAATACATTAAATATTTAATATTTGTTGCTGTAAAACAATAAAAAATAGATCCATAATTTTACTCCTGCAAAGGAATTTCAACTAGGTACATAGTTTCTGAATAAATAATAGAAATATACAAGGGAAGGGAAATTCTCTTATGGTTAATATCATTTATTTACAATACATATAAAAGTATAGACGTATAGTTTTAATTATTTATATTGAACTATATTTGTCATTTGTCAATTAATTTTTTATTTGTACAGTGATAGTACAGATTTGCAGAATGGTGGTGGATTGCTTATCCATTCAAAGCTCAGCAGCTATAATACGGAAGCAGGAGCGAAGATTAGGTGGGTTAGTGGGTGCCAAAATGCAACCAAACAATGTTGGTAGTTGCGGTGGTATGACACCCAAAGAACTTTCAGACAATGATGACCTAGCTACTTCTCTCGTGCTAGATCCTTATCTAGGATTTACCACTCATAAAATGAATATCAGGTAAATATATTATGGTAATATTTTAATTTTATGAAATAAGATAAAATTATTATATAAAAAGTTTATCTGATGATAAAGATACAGGCCATTAAAAGCAAATAAAGATGAACTTCGTAAAATTATTTGTGAATTTATTCAAACTCAGAATTATGAAAAAACATATAAAAAGTTAATGGGTGGTGATTGGGGTGCAAGACTTCCTCACACAAAATCTAAACAGCAACAGTTAAATTTGGAAAAACATGTGAGTCTCATATGCAAAATCAAATGTTTAAAGGTACTTGACAAATTTTCATGGATTTTGTTATATATTTCTAGATTTACCGATATTTGAAAGTCTTTGACAAAGATTCTGGATTCGCAATAGAACCATGCTATAGGTATAGTCTTGAAGGTCAAAAGGGTGCCAAAATATGTGCGACTAGAAAATGGTTAAAACATGATAAAATATCTTGCCTTGTTGGTTGCATAGCAGAACTCAGCGAAAAGGTTTGTTTAATGTTGAATAAAGAAAATTAAAATATTCAGAAAGGTGTTATGAATTTATGTCATTTGTAAAATAATTTTTTAGGAAGAAGCAGCATTACTACACCCTGGAAAAAATGACTTTTCCGTTATGTTCAGTTGTCGAAAAAATTGTGCACAGTTATGGTTAGGACCAGCAGCATATATTAATCATGATTGCAGAGCTAATTGCAAGGTTATTAAATCTGTGTAATTTACTACTGTCTTTTGTTTATTATATAAATATAGCAATAATTTATTTTGCTTCATTCGTACAACATACAGTTTGTAGCAACCGGACGAGATACAGCTTGTGTTAAGGTTCTTAGAGATATTGAAGTAGGAGAAGAAATTACTTGTTTTTACGGAGAAGATTTTTTTGGCGATGGCAATTGTTATTGCGAATGTGAAACTTGCGAAAGGAGGGGAACCGGAGCGTTTGCAAATCAAAAACCAGGCGAAGAACTTTCTTCTGGTATCTTTTGAATTGAATACATTTGAAATAATCAGAATACATATAATTAATACACAATTTAAAATTATTATAGGATATCGTTTAAGAGAAACGGACAATCGTATTAATCGTACGAAACATAGGCAACAACCACCAAATCGCAATAAGCAACAGGCTGATACTGCACTTACGGAAAAAAATGCAGTGCTTGTTGGAAATGCTGCAGTAGCACCGCAAAGTCTTAGTATGAAAGAATTACGAAGAAAAGGATTAACGAAATATGACGCAGAGTTACTAATTGCACAAGGATGCCGATTCTCTGATATTGCTCAACAACAGCCTATTATAAACAACGGCGAGAATGTATTGCAAACATCTCGACCTCACCCTTCTGCTATCTCTAGTTCTGCTACAAGAAATTTACGAAATAAACAACTTTATAAATTCGATAATAACAATGGCCATCAGAATAATGTTAATAAAAACAATCACACGCTTCGATCTTCCAGGTATGATTTTATATTATTTTATTACTTGTAAGTTATAATTATAGAGTAACGATATCATTATTATTATATTTTAAATTTTACATACAGACTTCATAAAAGAACAGAGTCAAAAAAGAATAAAGTTTCCGATAAAACTAGATCTCCTTGTTTAAATGGTTCCATAACGAAAAATGTTGAACTCCAAGATATAAGTCATCGTAAAGAAGATTCGGATAGAGTAGATGTTGCTGAGGAAATTGTTTATTCTAGATTACATAAGCCTCATTCAGAGAGTCCTTTGAATGAAGAAATTCGTGATCTTTGTCATCAGGCTTCGCATCATGACATATTGAAACAATCAGATTGTTCTGACTTTCAAAGAGAGTGTTCGGCTACCTTTGTTGAAGATAATCGAGAACTGAATAGCAAATTGATAAATGATAAAAAAATACCTGATATTATTATAGAAATTAAATCTAACTCGGTAGGTAATACGAATACCTCGAATTCTAAACAAGAACACTATAGTACAAATTCCTGTGATTCAGTTCATATAAGTTCCACGCCTGAAACTCGATTAGATCAGTTACACGAAATTAATAAAAACGAAGTAATTGCGCAAGAAAATCATCAACCAAGGACTTGTCATCATAATTTGTCTTTGGTTAAAAATTCCAATGATGTAAACAATATTTCTGCAACACCGATAGAATTAGATAATTGCGTTAAAACACCTTCGGAATTCGAAAATCATATTCCAGAAGAACGAACGGAAGAAAATCATGAATGCGTGAATAAGGAATATTCTTGCATAAATGAAAAAGAAGTATCCTTAATTCATGTAAAATCATCTAAAAATTCAAATTATATAGAAAATGATAGAACGATTTCTACTCTCGATACATACGAATTAGATAAAGAATTTAAAAAAAATGATTATATAAGCTCATCTAATCTCACAAAATATTCGATAGAAAATGACGCGGATAAATTGAAAAAGTTTATTTCGAACTCCATCAAAACTTCAAACAGCAATGAACAAAGGAAAGTAAATTTTATTAAGGAAAATATGGAGATGAAAAATAGCGAAAAAAGTTATCAAAATGATTTACTTAAAAATAACGTATCTGTAGCAAATGTTGAAAATTGTTCTGAGTTGAAGTCTGCAACAACTGAAACGATAGATGAATGTGTAACAGGTATTGATTCTCGGGTAAGTTCGTGTAAAGAAAGTAATAAAAACTGTAGCACGATCGAAACTAATAAATACAGTAGCATCCTAATTCATGATTTAAAAGATAATTCTAACACTATTTTAAAACAACCTGTTCAAAAAAATATAACATTAAGTACGACTTTGAGATCCCATAAAAGTAGGAAAAAACTTTTATATGATAAAAAATCCATCACTTCTGGATCGAAAGAGGAACCAGAAACTGTTACAGAACAGAAGAAAGCTGATAGTATAATTGCATCTGTTTCAAAGACATCTCGTAACAAAGTTGAAAAAACGAAAAATAGAATAACACGAAATCAGAAGAGAGATCGAAAGAAAATCGCAACCACTGAAATTGGCATGGCAGACGACGATTCGGGTATTCAAGGTGATATTTACGAGTTCAGTGAAAAGGAAAGTAACCTGGAGGATATTAGAATACCATCGATAATGAGACGAAACAAACAAGAAACTCGTCATACGCTTGGGCTTACATCGCATTTACAAGAAATGCAATACAATGACGAGTGCAATAAAATTGAGCCTCCAGTATTAGTTCCACAAGAACCGTGGCCACCTACTAGTTGCAATCAAAATCAGTTAACAGATTCAGATCAATCAGGGGAAAATTCTGTCGAAAGTGGAGAGGATTTGAAAAGGTAAATATTGTTGCATTATATGCGTACGTGGTACTTTTCAGCAGGCCGTTGTACGTATTAAATTGAAATTTACAGATTATCAACATGTAGTAGCGACAGTGCACAAAAATCGACGAATCTGTCGGAATGTCAGTGGCAAATGAATAACTCCAACTGTCAAGTTTGTCCAAATACTCCGGAAAGAACTGGCAGATTAAAACTTACTCTCCGTATGAAACGATCTCCGGTTTTAGACGATATCGTAGAATCGGGCACGAGTCTTAGCGAGGACAGTTATGAACCCGAATATGAAGTATTACGCGTCGAGGGTGTAGAAAGAAGTAGACGCAAGAAAAAACATAAAACCCGTGATCGCGAAAGACGGCATAAGAAACGTGAACTAAATCTCGATCCCCCTCCGCCACCTATGAAAAGATTGCGCTTAATTTTTGGCAATGAAACACATACCATTGACTTTCCACATTCTTAACAACTATAAAAAAGAGTTTTCAACAAGTTATAAATAAAATTTAGGTATCTATAAAAAAAAAAAAAAAAAAAGGAACAGGTCTCCTTGTCCTGTAATGTTCTGTACTTCTGTAGAAGTTCCAACAGTTTTCAAAGTTATATGCTAATACAAAACTTTGCAGATTATTAATGATAAAATTCGCATGTTTTTCGTTGTTTAAATTTTTCTTTGGGATTCTTATTCTTCTAACAACGAACATTTAAGGGCCTAGCAAAATTTTTCCTAAATAGAAGAAGGGAAATTAACAAAGAAACAATATTCGTTGGTTTTTATATGTTATTCAGTGAATAATTATCTGGAAACTATAGTTCTATTTAAATAGCGCATACATAATCGATTAATTCATTGCTATACTTTTTCATCATAATACAGCTAGTATTTTATTTTACCCTTTAGATACTTTGCTTTCTCATTAGTATTTCGTGTATATATAATTTTGATAAAGATGACAGGTTTCCAAGCCTCTGGTCTTTCAACGTCACTCTACTTTCAACATCAATGACTTTATGTTACTGAACAATTTTTTACTAATAAAATATTTATATCACACGCAAAATTTATACATTTAGGATAATCAGATTAAGGATCCTCCTTTGTTCGAAGAAACAAGGAAGGAAAATGAGATGAGTTGAATGACATCTAAGTACTATTTCCATAAATAAGGGACAAAGGAGAAGAAAAATCCATACTCTTATATTATGTATGATAATAGCTATTATTATAATTAAATAATGATAATAATTAATTAAATTAGATAAATGCTAGGTAACATATATTAATTGCTGTTCTCGAAAAATGCGTGATTGATTACCATGGAAAAAAAAAATTGTAAATACTGCTTATGTGTATAGCGCGCATGTATGTATGTACGTATAGATGATAATTGAAGTGTAACACATGCCTGCATACATACATATATACAGGCAAATAACAGATACAGGCAAGTAAGTACACGTACACATATTCGTATATACAGTGGCGCGCAAAAGTACTCGCACACCGTTTAAAACAGAATATCTCGTTTAAAATTGGACCAAATGACTTCAGATTTCTCGAGAAGCTATACAAATTAATTTACTAAGTATGTGTCTTTGTCGTTTTAAAAAATTACAATTTGTTGAAATCGTGAAAAAAAATAGTGAAGGGTAATTTTTCAACTTTTTTGTGTGAGCCTATAATGAAAAGTCAAAATATGTTTTTGGTAGATTCAAATAAGTTATGTTTATGCTGAAAATTTCATTGAGATCGGTCGATGCACTTAGAAGTTATAAGTAATTAAAATTTTCTAACATCGCGACTTTTCTTCTAAGAACGGAACTACTCACGTTCTTAGATGAAAAGTTGCGATTTTCGGAAATTTTAATTGTAACTTTTAAGTGCATCGACCAATCTCGATGAAATTTTAAGCGTAGAAATTTTCACACATAACACTTAAATTTACAAATGTCATGTTTTAAATTTTTGTTGTAGGTTCAGGTAAAAAAGTTAAAAAATTGCCTTTTACTATTTCATTCCCCATTTCGACAAATTTTAATTTTTTAAAACGACAAAGGCACAAATCTTAGTAAATTAATTTGTATAGCTTCTCGAGAAACCTGAAGTCATTTGGTCCAATTTTAAACGAGGTATTCTGTTTTAAACGGTGTCCGAATTCTTTTGCGCGCCACTATACCTATCTAATACACACATGTGCGCGCGCACACGTATCTACACAAATTGTGCGCGCAAAACAAATTGATTGCTGTATTCTGTATGTTGATGTGTTACAATACAATGCCTTGGTCAAGTATAAGTGCATTGCACGTAAATGTCTGTGTGTTCTGAATACACAGTTTAAATATGAAAAAAAAGAAGAAAAATTTCGTTTAGTGATTCAAGTTAAAATGGTTAGTTAAAGCAAAGGCAAAAGAAAGCGAATAAATTATCTTTCCAAACAGTTTCTCATATCGAATTCGAGGAACGGAATTTTATGTTAAATGTCGTTTTCCGTATAGAAAAATTGTCGTTTCATTTATGAAACAAATTTAACGATTGAAATGTAAAGCTCGATTACAAGAGTCATGCGGTTTTACAAATATTTAGATCTGAAGTCTTTAAGTAGGTGAATTTTAATATGTATGCGTTACCTTCGTTCTCCTTGTCTCGTGTTTCGTCATTTTAACAAAGTTTCGTATTTTTCGAACAAAAATCGTCATCAATTTTATACATCTTGTTGAATGTTAATATTTACTTTAAGAATTGTAATGAAAAACCGTTATTTATTTTTCGCGAATGATTGGATTTGTATATTAAAAAACAATTATAGAAACAACGTACGCAAAGTCAACTATTAAGTTGTAATAGTCTTGTTTGTAACTCTAATAATATGTTTTATATATACAATATATACATATTATAATGTAGCGTGATAAACATTTCAGAATTTATAAATTCGATCAAGTTTCTAATCCTTGTTCTAACTTGTCGCTTACTAGAGTGTATTTCAATTTTGGATGTAAGAAGATTTAAGAAACTAACGTAGATCAGAATTATACTAATTGTTAAAACCACTCTTGAATAATGGAACCTCAAGCGTCGCGTGAAACAAACGTCAAGTTTAAAAATATCATTTCAGGAAATTAATTACATCCAGAATTGAAATTGAAAACATGGCAGATTCGTACTAAGGTTTAAACAGCATTTAGAAGTAACAAACTAAACTAAAATTAATTACATCCTGTTCATTCACATAACTTGACATATTTCTTTATATATCTGTTATTAAATGTTTATCTAGGGAAGAAAATATATGATCGTCGTAGCCATTTAAATGCGTTGCGAACAAATTACTGTACATTTGTATTAAATATATGCGTATTGCTTTTTCGTTCTGTGTTTATCAATAAGATACACGCGACAACAAGGAGATATTAACTTACAAATAAAAGGTGACAAAGAATGGTTCGGACGAAGAAATCAGTATTTGATCAGTAAATGAATACATAAAAAAAAAACCAGAAAAAAAAAGGAAACTCAAACTGTTTACAAAATTAAGTTGGAATTAAAATCATTGTCAAATGAATTAACGACGGTGATTATTCCTTCATCGTGCAACAGAGCATTTGAGTAATCTTAAGAGCATCGTGACATTTCAACTTAATCTTATAAAGTAAAATGTAATTTCTTTTTTTTCTCAATAATACGATGATCGTTAATCACTCTACGATAATATAAGATTTGTGATAAACCTATTATATTATTCCATTAACTATTCTTGTTCTAACATAGCTAGCAGTAGGTGGCCGTTTTTTCTTCAAGATTTTAGCGAGTTGTCGAATTTCCAATCGCATTGACCGAATTAATAGTAAAACACGGTATTTCTAGATTTGTAAAATAGCAAAGTTCGTTTATCAATGGAAATGACAACACTGTTTTTTAAAACTTCAGGCTATAAATGATTGAAATTGAATTATTAGTCTTGTAAAATGAAGGAAAATTCGTGTCAATTCGAATTTCCATCGTTGTATGTATAAGAGATCGTAGTAATTTCAGGACGATGATGTATACTTTTTACTAGCAAAATTAATGAAACACCAATGCGTCAAAAAAATGAAGAAAACTGCAACAAAATGTTCTCACCAAAATTCTAACTACGATTATTTAAATACGTATATTTTTTTTTAGGGGCGGAGGGGGTGGGGCGACGGGAGATACTAAAAGTATTATATCGAGGAAAAAACCGATTAACTGATAGTGATTCTTTAGCGCGTTTTAAGTTATATTAACAGGAAAAGTACAATAGATTTTTCTCTTTCGTATGGACAACTTTTCCTCTTGCTTAATTTGAAACCGTTCTTTACTTTTGGTTGTCGGCAGTTTTCCTCTCACTGCCATAATAAACTTGTAATATCATTGATTCTCTCTGTAAATTTAATGTTCATTCATTTTTAAAATTACCACGAATACAAAGTGCAATGCTACGATAGCTACAATAAGTAAAATTTATGTACATGTTTGAAAAATAATTTTATTTATAAATTATATCGTAAAAATTTAGTTTCAGTAATGTAACAAATTTATGATCCTGACACATACACTGTAAATGTAGTATTATTGTATCCTCATTATTGATCGATAAAAACATACAAATGTATATTACCATTATTATTTTCTACAAATTAAGGTATGATAATAAATAAATTGCATACCCGATAATTCAAAATTATAGTATATACCCTATGACATAGAATCTATGTGTACAGTATGAATCATAGTGTCCGTTCGGCTTTTGGGAACAATCCTCTAATTACCTTGTTTCCCAAATTCTGAGCTATTATGAAATTGAAACACCAGAAGTATCACACGTGGCTAAGAAGTAATCGAGGCATTCAAAGGAGGGGGGTTTCGCGCTATCTTGACCTGTCAAAGTACGCCAAGTACACACATTTTTATATACTCGTATCTTTTAAACTATTGGTTTCCTAAACTTTTAACTTGCATTTTCGGACTTTTCAAGTCAAAAACTACAAGAACACATATTTTGGAACCGTTAATTTTTGGTCCCCTAAGACGAAGTTTAACCGACGCCTTTAATGCCGGAGGAGGAAGAAGAACAATTAACCATCAGAACGATTAAACAAAATTATAAACAATTTAAAATCGAGCGCCGGAAGCGGAAACGCTCAGCGACGCCACAGGTTAGCTAAACTAGAAGATGCACGAGACACAGCCGACTCTAGTACTAGCCATGCTGAACAACGTGGCAACACCGCTCACGTGACAATCGGGAGTCCTATTTTCAAAAACAGAGTCCTGTGCTCGGAATTGTAATTAACGTCCTTTTTAATTAAAAGCTGTAGTAATATACACTATTTTGTGTTAATTATGTATAAACAATACATAAACGTTGCAACTATGGCAAATAGAAGTGATGTGGTAGTATAAAATTGTTATAAATGTGATATATATTTTGTGTACTCTCACAGTAGTTTGGTGTTGTGAAGCATGATATTTGAAATATTTACAGTGGTTTCAAGAAAATTTAGATATGAAGCAAAATGAAGCCATCTTTGGATCAAATTGAAACATTTAAGAATTGATAAACGTGTATATAAGTTAATAAAAACCTTGAAACAAGCGAAATGATTGGATCGAAACCAAAGAGGTTATGTGAAGTCCAGAGAGTGTCGGGAGTCTGACGACGTTGATTGGCTGAAAGTCTGGGAGTCCGGGAGGCAGATAGAGTAGGGTAGGTGTTGATATATTCAGACCGGACTCTCGCGGTGTTGCCATTTTTACTTCAGCACGGCTAGTACTAGAGTCGGCTGTGCACGAGAGCACATGTTGTATCCATACTATCTGTTGGATAGTTTAAGAATCATTCTATATAGCTAACTTCAATCACTTCAGAGTGTGTTACAGTGTTACATTGAACAGAATTGTTCTGTGAGGTGTAACGCGAGACATCAAGATGTTGTCGAGACTAAGTTTTCGCAATGGTAAGATGAAATTAAGAATCCAATAAATTCTAATTATTTTAATAAGAAACTTTCTTACAATATTACTAGTTTATAGTTTGTAATTGAGTTATCAATTACGGCAGTTCTATTGGCATTATGTAATAATATAAAGCAAGTATGTCAATGTTTTACTTAAAAATTTAATTATACAAATTTCTGTATTACATGTATATGAATATATTGTACTTTAGATGAATAAAGTTAAAAATTTGTGAGTAATAAATTGGGTCATGTTTCATTATGACTGTGCATTAATTTTTTTTGTAATCTGTATTATAGCTGCTTTGCAAATAAAGCCATTATCTATGGCGATTCGTGGAAGTCAGACCATGACTAGTGAACTAGTATGCCCTGCAGATGATCCACGTCGAATCGTTCGTCCCATGCATCATCCTCCTGTTAGGCTAGGATTTATTCCAGAAAGCTGGTTTACATTTTTCTATCCAAAAACTGGGGTAACAGGTAATATAACAATTTATCTTTAATAACTCCATACATACTTATTATTCTCTGTTTTAGGTCCATACATATTCTTAACAAGTTTCTCAACTTTCTTACTTTCCAAAGAATATTGGGTTTTGGAACATGAATTCTATAATTCACTTTCTTTACTATCTATTATAATGTTTGTCTACATAAAATTTGGTGACAAAATTGGAGAAGCTCTGGATAAAATGGTCGATGCATATGAAGCTAACATGAATCAAATTAAACAGCAAAATTTAGATGCTTTCGAGAACGAGATTAAACATTTAGAAAAAACCAAATGGAGGATTCAAGGTCAGCTGATGGTTTATGATATTAAAAAGCAAAATGTATTAATGCAGCTAGAAGCTACGTATAGAGAACGACTTGCACAAGTTTATAATGAGGTAATTATATTTACCATTAACACATGAAAATTAAAGTACCACTTGTATTATAAACCTAATTTATTCACAGGTCAAGAAACGTCTTGATTACCATGCCCAGATAGATGCTGCAGAGCGCCGAATTGCTCAGAAACACATGGTACAATGGATTACAAGCAATGTGTTGAAAGCCATTACACCAGAACAAGAAAAAGCTAATTTGCAACAGTGTATTAGCGATCTTGAAGCTCTTGCCTCAGCGAAAGCTTAAATTTTGCATTGAACTAAGAATAGAAAGAACTTAGTGAATTCGACTAATTCATTGTAATAAAGAATAATAAAATATGCAGAATCATTGGAGATGTATCACCGATTAATTATTGTATACTACTACATTGTATATTACATTTGAAAATGAATAAATACCATAAAGGAATAATACTAACAATAAATATTGTTTTGAAAATTAATGCAGTAACCTTCTATCTCGTCAGTTTATTTGAAAAAGACCGCCAGTGAGATAAATGGCACCATTGAGCGGCAAGCTCAAAAATAAGCTTTTTAATTTTGCCTGTAAAAAGCGCAAAATTACATTTACGTTTATCAATATCAAGGGGCGCTTTATTTACAATGACGCTCTGTAATGTTGCCGAGAAGAACTAAAAATAAATGTAATTTTTACGTCCACTATCAGCAAGATCAAAGTCAGATGACGCCATGTGTCAATGGCGGGCTTTTCTTGTTACTATATACCGCAGTGCACCAGAGTCCGTAACTGCGACGCGCAGGTTGGAAGATGGTGGGGGAACGCAGCGAGTTCTCTGCTAGTCGCCAATCAGGACGAAGATGCGCACTGGAGAAGCGCGAAGAACGAAAACTGGTCTTTTCGCAGTTATGGACTCTGGTGAACTGCGGTATAGAGGTTTCAATGAATTTTCAAAATCAATTTATTAAAAAATAAAGTTTCCCATGAAAAAATGTCACCGTACATTCTCGATTTAATTTTTCATGCAGATTTACCTCTTTTGTTATTGTGCGTTAAAAATACCTTACATAATTCATTTAAAAATAATAGTGTTATGTTGGTATTTCTTATTTAAACAACTTTACCTAAAAAAAATAATCTACTGTTTCGTAACAGAATAATTTTTAATTAGCAACTATTTCTGTATAATACTTTCTATCATTTCGAAGATAGTTAAAGCATTACTATATAGTTTATCGATCCGTTTTGTGTAAATTTTATTTAAGGTTATGGTCTAATGAGTTTTGTCAAGTGTTAAACGTCACCAAAATTTATAACAAGTATTTGTCTTTGTTTTCTTTAAAATGGCCTGGTTTTCAGGCCTCGCTGATAAGGCAGAGAATCTTTTAAACAAAATAGATAAAAATACAGCGGCAGTTTTGAATAAAGATAAATATGAACTACCACAATCTCAATTGACACATGTTACATGGACTCCTCCTGAATCGTGGTAAGAAAATAAATCACAAAAAATTTGACACTTGTTTAATATATTCTATAAATTACAGTGGTAGCACCCAAGAAGAAATAGCCTTAAAATTTAGTACAGAATCAAAACATCCTTATGTTGATTCAACATCAAACCTATCTTCATTGACAAATTCAAGAGATGAAGAACTTCTAACGTTTTTGAACACTCCTAATTCAAGCCCAAAGAAGAACATAGAAGTCTCAATGTCACCACCTACACCTTCCTCGCTTATGGTTGAGCATCCTACAGATACTACAGATTCTATATCAGAATTATCAAATCATAGTGACTGTTCAAGTTCTAGTCCTATGCATACATCCGTAGAGCTTCCAGATAATTTTAATTATGATGATGTAGAAATAAAAAATGAAGTAACAGATTCTGTAAATAATGAACCAATAGAAAATCAGAGTGTAGGAATTGTTTTGGATAATGGTAATGCGAAATTAGTTCACTATCTCAATTTATATGTATATATATATATGGCAACATAATAAAATTTTGAATTTTATTTCAGGGTATAACTATGAATCTCAGCAGAAGAATTTAGAAGTAAATAAATTAATCAATTCATCAAGCAATAAGTACATCAAAAGGTATTTAAAAGAAATAGAAAGGAATTTAGAGGAAAGAAATGAATTACTTGGGAAACAGGAGACAGATCATCAGAAAGAGATCATAGTCTTAAATGAAAAATTACAATCTCTAAATGTAGAAAAAATGCAGTTATCTAAACAAGTAGTAGAACTGCAGTTTGCTTTAGAACGAAGTAGGTCAGAATTGAATTCTACCAGAGCTGATTTGGATCAGCACAAAGCTAGAGCTTTGAAAACATTACAAGAGAAAGAAAAATTGATAGCAGAGTTGAGATGCAACGAGTCTACAGGAATGGATGATACAATGATTATGGAACTGAACCAGCTAAGGTACATGCACTAATCTGTCAAAGATATATACTTAATTAATCATATTTCAATTTTTAGACAAGAACGAGACATTCTCCGCGAAGAAAATCAACAAATCTCTGAGCAACTGAGAATAGTACGGGAAGAGTTAATGAATGCGGACGTGAAATTAGAGAAAATGAGACAGAATTCTGCTGAAGCAAATGTACAGGCACAAGAAATTCTTGCAACCGAGAGACGCAGGAGACTGGATGCAGAGGAGGATGCAAGATTGCATTCAGAAGTACGTTTCACACTATTCATTTATTGTAGAATAATTAATAAGCAATGTGATTTTAGGAAATAAGATCATTGAAGGACGAGTTAATTCGTCAACGCAATAGTTACACTTCGCAGCTACAAAAGAGTAATTCTGAAATTAGTAGACTGAGAATGCAATTATCAGCAACTTCTACACCTAGCAGTGAAGTGGAATTAAGATTGGCATCTCTTACGAAAACCTTGGTTTCTAAACAACAAGCATTAGAGAGTTTAACAACTGAGAGAAATGCTTTGAGACTACAACTGGAAAAAATTGAAGTAAGTTAATACATTACTTGTAGAAATTAATTTGGTACCTTTCCGAATTCATATTTTCGCGCCTCTTGTTAAATCCTCAGAAATACGAGAAAATTTAAAATAAAAATGTTAAGAATGCTTTTTGAATTCAACTTTCATACAAAATATTGATTTCCATATTTTCTCTTTTATAGCATGAACTTAGAAATAGTCGGCGCAATATTCTTTACAACAACTTAAATGATACAGATGACGCAAAGGCTCAAGTACCGACATTTTTAATGGAAACTCCCTTTGATACCGGAGTCACTAGAAGAGTTAAAAGAGCTTATTCTTCATTAGATGCTATTAGCATCCGTACAGGTGTTTTTCTAAGAAGATATCCACTTGCAAGGATCTTAGTATTAATTTATATGGTAAATATATGTTTAAAAGGATATTAAATACTTCAGAAGTTCATTTTTATATTCCTTTAAACATTTTACAGGCATTGCTACAATTTTGGGTCCTTATCGTTCTTCTATCGCAATCACCAGAAGCACATTAATGTTTTTTATATGTGGGATCATTGTTTTATTAAAGTTTATAAGCATTGTAAATACATTTATATTACTGTTACATGGGATTTTGTACAAGATTCTATTGTTAAACTGGGATAGTTGTATATTTGTGATGAATAATCGATCAAATATTTATTGAAATTATCATTTATTTTTTCACGAAATTTTACTGATAGACAGGATATTATAATACTATTCAAATGATGAACATAATGTATCTAAATAAATAAATAAATAAATAATTTGAAAAAGCTAAATACCTCTTACGATAATAATTGTTAATGATGTTTAATGAGCAATATGAAGGATATTTAGTTTGTGAAAATTTTAATCAAAGGTTCATTTTACACAGATTCTATGCCATTGTAAAATAATTTCTTAGAAACTTTTATAGCTTGAGATCATACTTCAGTGTATGCCTAATAATTTATTAATTATTCTTAACGATTTACTTTTAAATGTGTTTTACATGTATCGTTACAAAATACAGAAGTACCTAAAGTCTAATTTATAATCATTGTTTTTACATGATTGTTAACAGTTGATTTGGTTCATTCTTACACTAAAAAAGAAGAGCTTGATATGCTAAGAAATTGACGCGTGAAAATAAAAAATTAGACCATTCGTAGGAAATCAATTTATTTTTATATAAAATAAATCGATCGGTCTAACATTTAATATCACGCCTTCTCAATGAATAATGTTGCGATGCAACAAACTTTGTTCGTCGATCGAATTTAAGCAGAATAAACTACAACTATGTGTATTGCTTTTATAATCAGGACATACAGTACGTCCATGTTAATTTCAGTATGAAAAGAGAAAAAAAAAAATTGCGTCAAAGACGATTTATTATCACATACATGTGAGAAATACTATGATTATCACACGATCACAAAGTTAGCTTTACAAACGCGGAATTTAACATTGCTTTTAGGTGAAATTGTAACAAGTATTTATGGCAAAATATATTAGGTGTATATACAAATTAATTCGGTGTCTTTAGCATCTATATTTTAAATTTTCTCGCGTTTCGGTGGATTTGAAAAGTAGTGCCAGAATATGATTTCAGTAATTGGAGTTACCATGAAACGGCACCGAATTAATTTTTAATACATTTCTAATACAAATGTACATATATCACCCACGATCGATAAACAAAGAAAAAATAACCTCTTTCTCAAAATTATATGCAACCGTGATCGTTAAAGTGTTAATTTCATTAATTGAAAAAATATATAATTTAATCAGAGCGAAAGAGGCAAAGTACACGTGCAAAATACAAATTTCACAGCCACCAATTTTGCAGGGCGTTTTTTTTTAAATTCTAATTTTCCTTTGTCTTCAATGGTTCACAAAAAATATTAATTAATTATTCTATGTTACAAGTTATGCTGAACTGATATCATGATATTTTTACAGTCCTTTAGATAGTTATTTCATTGATACATAAGGTATTTAATTATGTAAGTTTGTATTGTAAATCCTAAGGCTAAGATTCTTTTTCAATCATTAAAATATATATATGCAACTACATATATACTACTATATAGATGTACAAATTAATTCAGTGTCTTTAGCATTATTTTAAATTTTCACGCGCTTCTGTAGATTTGCAAAGTGAAGCGACTTTTAAAAATTAAGAAACAAACGAATAAACCGAATTGATTTGTACACCTAACATAAAAGAAAGATTTCAAAAATGGAAATGGCTAGTTTCTATGAATAATGTAAGTTTCCCTACAATTATTTCATAAAATTGAAATGGTGCACAGCTTACAATCTACTGATGTGTGAAAAAGAAGCTTAAAACTTGAAATTCTTTAAGAATTTAGTCGTTTTAATATACATTACCTACAAATCTATACAATCTCTTCTTGATTCACGAACCGCTTAATATTTTCAAATTTCATTCGTATATTACATTCTGTAAAATAAATGTTATTAGTAATTAGTTGTTTCTAGGAAAAGAATAAAATTTTGTTCGAAGAACAATGCATGAACATCAAAAGTAGCTAACTAATACTGAAACTAGATTGCTTCAAATTTAGTTATTAATGTTTCTCATTTATAGATACGCACAATCATTTAAATTATCCTATGAACTATTTTATTTAACATACGTAAATATTATCGAAATCTTTAATAATAGAATAAATGTTTTCACAAGAAAAATGCAACTTTTCCACCTTTACATTTTTAACATTCAGAGAATATTCAATTATTTTCTTAAATGAAATCGTATACGTGTTACAAGAAAACTTATCAGCCTCTAGAGCAATAATAATTAATTACGATGTTAATTTTACAAAAGTAGTACAAAACGCACAAAATTAACAAAGCATTTACTAATCTAAAGTCAACTATTATTTATTAACACGTTGATTTACATAGCAAAAGTTTCTAGTATCTATAGATAGATGGATAAGGTGAAGAGCTTAAGAATATTAAAAAATAATTATTTAATTAATGATTTAATCTTATTTAATCTCAGTGGTATTTAGAACTCTCCTTCTATCTTTTAATAATAGTCAACGTGTTAATTAACTACTGTTCCATAACACAGAAAACAAAAACCCCTCTGAAAATACTTTTTACACAATATCAGCCTTAATTTCGACAATATTCACGTAAATCAATAAAAACCCAGTCTTGATCCTATCTCATCTTTTTTTTTTCAAGCTTTCGCACAATCAAGAAGTGACCATATCCGTTCTCAATCTTCTTCTAAATTACCTTCTCTTTCTACACCTAACATTTACGCTTCGTCGTCGCAAGATTCTTCAGTATCATGATCACTGCTCGATGAGACATCATCATTTGTTGAGTCTGGTGTAGGAGGAAGGGACGGTGATCTGGAGACGACGTTCTCTGTAGAGGAAGTTACATCCGTTTCCTTGCAGTCTAGTCTTTGTTGAATACACTTATTCTCTGGATTGTTCAATACCGAATGAATGAAATCTCTAGTTTCAGCTCTGAGAGCATTTACTCTTTCCTGAAGAATATTATTTCTTCTGACGAGGGCCATTGTGCGAACGACGATGTCAAGAAGACCTGCAAAATCTTTATGATTAATTCAAAGTTCACGACTGAAAATTATTATAAAAATCATACCTTTTCGTCGAGCTAGGAATATTTTCCAGTGTTTCTCTATGTCTCTTGGGACTCTGGCGGAAACGCTTGGGGAAGAGGAACTGACTATACTTGCACAGGATTCACCTGGACATTCCGGTTCCCAGAGAGGGCTTTCCGGTGGGGTTAGAGAGGCGTTCGCTTCTAATCTTCTTAATTCTAGCTTTTGCTGCTTCACTATGGCTCCATTGTGGACTCTTTGCCTTCGACGGGGAATTATTGGTTTTCTTATTGCTGGGAGCTCCGACAAGCAGACAGTCGGAGCCATTTTGAGAAGAAATCTGAAAACAAAAATTTATAAAAATGAATATTAACTATGTAGTAATACATAATCTAATTCTGGGCATTTATCAAATGTCACGCGTTTGAAATTCAAATTTTTCCATTCGAGTACTCTACTAATTATGGGACGAAATTTAAACGTACAAATTGTCCTGCCATTAATATTAGGTATTTAAATTTAATTTTATTATAATGTAATTAAGGAATGGAATCAGCTTGCAAGTGAAATCAATTGAATTTTAAACAAATTGGCTACGTGCCATTGCCCTTTGGCATTTTCTGAACAGAATGAATTACACGTGGTGAATTCGTGCCGATCGATGCAGCCGATGACCTGATTACAGCGTGCACGTGGCTGCATCGAAATAAAGCAATGCAAGTCTCCCCTCGACCGTTTACTTTGACCTCGGGATTTCGTCCACGTGCGACCATGAAACAATATCAATAACTTTGCAGGCTGCAGCGATAGTCTTAACCCAAGGCGACTCTTTAACTTCTTTTTTCAGTAATTCTGTTTCGCGACGAATCAGGAAGGGGAGCAATGATATATCGTAGGTGTCAGTATACACGTCGGTGGGTCCAAAGTGGTGTTAGAACGATACAAACGTTCATCAGAAGTTACTTCCCCTTCGAACGAACAGAGGGGTTGCATCCTTCGGAAAAAAGGAGGACTTTGGTAAGGGCACACGTGCTCAACTTTATTGTTAGAATTTATTTATAATAATCTATTCGTGACATAAAAATATTACAAAATGGCACTTGTCGTATATCAAATTAAAGCTTGAAGCTCCAAGAATAAAACTACGTAAAGGCTTTGCTGATATTTTCTTTCCGAGGAATGTAAAATGAAAAAATGTAAAATTGTTACATATCAAATGGCATGATTCATGATCAAAGAAATTCATAATAGAAAAGTATCATTAAATAGCACTTATGATACGTCAAATTAAAGCTTGAATTCTGTTAAAAATTACTATATACATGCAATGCCGCACAGAAGAATCGTATGGGATACAAAAATGAAAATAAAAAAGGAAACAAAAAAAGTCAATTTTTTTCAAACCGATTCTTTTTAGACTGACTCTTTGGTTTCGATTTTTTAAAGGAATCGATTCTCTCATTCCGATTTGAGAATCGATTCTTTCAGGTGAATCGAAGATCCCTAGTTACGATCCATAATCAGCCATTTTGTAATACCGATATTCAAGGTGCGTTTATATGGTAATTTTCTTTGACGTACGAATTATTGTCATTTGAAATTTGCAACAAATATTGATCGCATTCGATGGAAAGCGGCTCTAAATATATTCGGGTATAAAAAATTTCATCGATATACGTGCTGAACTTTCAGTTCACCGGCACGGTTATATTTATCGTTCTCGTCCATTCACGACCTCTTTCAATGTTACACGTGCGATGCAACTTTCGATATTCCACTATATTGCTAAAAAACAACCACACCGCCATGTGTCGGCGTTTAACTGCATCGAGATAAGAATATCTGCACAACAAAGTAGCGGCCACTCGCTGTGTGCCACAACGTCCGAATAACGTACAGCCAGGCCGCGATATCGCGTGTGCGGATTTTTTCCTTTAGCACCGACAAGGTAGCAGGTGTCGAAAAAAGGATGCTTAATATTCCGATCGGGTGTAACTGTCGATATCAGAAACCCATAAGAATGACTAGATTGCCTGGTATGACTATTTATTACCGTTTCAAAGGCTGTCTAAGATCCTGCATGAGATACATTCGTAATCGATCAGCGCCCAAATGACCGTGTTACGAGACACTCGATCTGCGTATGGAATTTTAATTACAAGCCTTAATGTCTGACGTGATTGCAATTACTCATAGACACGTTGTAGAATCTAATTTGTTTCGTGAAAAGTTTACTTATTTACGTAATATCTTCCTAATTAATTATTTAGAAAATAATTAGAGAAAAGATTATTTTTATGTGAAAGCGATTAAATATTCTACTTCTTTCATTGTCACAAGGTATTAGTATTAATAACAATATTTCTAATTACTGAAATCAGAGAATTAATGCAGAAGCTATTGCATAATAATTTGATACATCAAACAGTAAAGAGTTCAATTGATTTAGTGATATCAATATGTTTAAACATAGATTGTATTCGTAATTTATTATTTTTTGCCATTAAAATGTACACATTGGAGATACTTAGATAAGAAGCAAATACCACACCCACATAGTTATCAGACATCGATGGAACACTGTATTTGGGTCATCGGTGACTAATCAGTGATTTTGAACAATGCTGTTAAGAAAATTGCATTTAAGAAGAGTTTGTAAATTAACCTACTTAAGTCTGATATAAATTCATGATATAAGAATGTGTATCACCAAATAGCACTTATGATACTGTAGGATGTAAGATAAGAATGTCTGGGCCGAGTGTCAGTGGAATTGACTGAGGTACGAATGAAGAGTGTTTGAATCGAGTGACAGTTCTTCTGAATGAGAATCCATGTGTGATGGGGGTGATATCGGGACGTCGGCACGTGGCAAAAGTGTGTAAGCGAGATATTTTTGAGGTGTTTCTCTGTCATGAATTTATTTCACAATTTTTATAATATATTTCAAAATCAATCATTGCTAACTTTAATTAAGAATCACTCATTTTACGTAAAAATTATTTAAAAAGCGTTTATGTAGTCATTTTTATTATACTTTATGCTTTAATTTGATATATCACATGTGGTATTTTGTGATACGTTCATGTCATCGAATTTTGCATAAATAATAGGTGAAATGCATTTAAGTGCATTCGCAGCATCTTGAGTGCAACCACGTGCAACCTCCCCCCCCACCACGTGGCATCTTACTGCCTCGCCAATGGACGTATACTATCCCCACCACGTGACCCATTGGCTCACGATCGTCTCTCACACTCCAGGCGCCCTTCGCGGTAAAAGGATGGGATATTCCCGTGGATACACGTGGCCAACGCTGCCGGGTTCGACGACCTCTTGCTTGTGCGTCCTCACGCAGTGCTTTTCGGTGATGTACCGGTGGGGGATGCGTACGATGTCCCCTTGTTTCTCCCCAGGAGGTACGGACCCTGCCGTCTGGCAGCGTTTCCAAGTAGCAATGAACAACGATCGCGCTCGATCGAACAAATCTCAACAATTGTGAAATTTCCCTCGAAAATTAAATATTTCTTTCTCTGTCTTATTTTTATTTAAACCCAAATTTCATCATACATATGGATATTCAGGGTACGAGATAGAAATTTTACGTAAATTTGAACTTTTGTGATTAGTTTAAACCCATCGCTAAGGGACATTGCAGTCTGCAATCAACGATCTTATTCCCTCCCTTTCCTCCACGTCGCCCACTTACCGCTGTTCTATCACCGTAACTATTTTTGCACGCAGTTTCTCTCATCCTCTTTGATCCTTACTTTTGCTTTCCGATGGGGGAACACGAATGTGGAAAAAAAAGCACTGATGCATAATGCACACTTTGATCGCGGTGAGGGCTTAAAGCTCCTTTGAAGAGGGAACACACGGATACATTTATTTTATTATTAAAAATACCGACGGCACGTTTATGTAATTTTTTTTAAATTGAACTTTAAGCTTTAATCTGATATACCCTAAGTACTATTTGATGATACTTTTCTGTTAAGAATTCTCATCAAACTTTTTACAATTCAAAATCATCCATTGTTGACACAACGGACACACACCTGACCTCCCAGCAACGTGAATGAAAGGAATTACATTCTAAAAACACGGTAATCTTCGTGTGTTAAAATACTGATAAGAATTTCGCTGTCTGATAAGGCGGATGAAGAAACATGTTCACGAGCATGCGATACGTTTTTTGTTCCGTTTAAAAGTAACTTCCAGGAAGGCGACTTGTAAGAATAGTTTTACAATGAGAAAAAAATTACCGTGAAGCGATAAAAGTTCGTATATAATTGCATAACCGATTCTTTAAAGTGAAACCTTTTTAGAAGCGAATCATTTCGGGATCACATGTTAAAATCGTCCGATAAGAGATAGGAAGGCGACGATTACCAGGAGTGTGCGAAATCAAGAAAATAATAATAAGAATAATATAAAAATTAATTTTTAACATTAATCGTAGGGGGCAACGGTACGCAAATTAAACGTGACCGAATTTCCGGTTAAACCAGACTACACGTGACCATGGTTGGTTACGTGGTACGAGAGCACTTAACGAAATTAAAACGAAAGAACGAGTTCTCCACGTTTGGCTTTGCGTGTGATATCCAACCAAGTGGTTACATGCTGCCTCACGTTGGTTACAATTTCCGATCACGTGGATTTGCACGATTTTATTTCAAGGATCATTGCTATTTGGTGAAATTTATTTTTAAAGTTGGTTAGATTGACTTAAAAGTTTTTAGACATAAGTATAATGTATGTTTAATAAGAGTTGTTGATTTAAAAATTCGAATTTCGCGCCATAATTAGTAGGGCACCATTCGAAATGCTCTACAGAATCAATATTAATAAAATGTTTTGTTTAGTGCTGCCTACGCAAATATGATATAATTAATATGATATTTTGTGTAGCAGTTGTTTTTAAAATTCTAATTTCGCGCCATAATTAGTAGGACCGGGCGCCATTCGAAGTGCCCTACTAATTATGGCGCGAAATTTGAATTTCAAAATCAATCAATTACTGACCAAATTGTTACTTATCTAATTCATATTTAACTCTTCAATAAGATATAATCAGGTTGTGAGACCAATTTCGAAATATCTCTGCAATCGAAACTATCAACAGAAATCTTACACGTGTATGGATACGTGCCAATTTTAATGGTTATTTTACAATGACAATAAACAGACGTCGAGTCATAGTTACCATTAAAATCAGCTCGAATGCAAATGATTTAGCTGGTGATACAATTCCAGGAACTTAACATTGTCGTGTCTCTCGTGACTCAACATGAAACGTCAACCGGTGATTTAATATGATGATGATAAGTTATGAATATTAATGTTCAATAAAATGTTTACTATGATTTCAACACTGCAACGAGAGAAAATTGAGGATGATTACAAAATAACAGTGTACCATTGTATAACGTACACTGATCTAATAATTTTGCAAAAATTCTTTAAGTACGTATTGAACTTGATCCCACCGCTACGGGTCTCGTTGACCTTCCTATAAGTACCCATTTCAGCCCTCCACGTGTAAATGTCGTCCACGTGCGATCGCTTAGCGGTGTATGTATATACCGCTCTAAAATAAGTACTTAAGTGAAATCAGGCGTGGGTTTAGCCTTTCAGGACACTCTCGTGTACGTCGATGATCGATTGCGCAATTAAACAGTGTTACGATCGATCGATAACGCGATCTTCGAACTTATTGAAACTTTCCTGGATTAATCGCGATATCGAGATCTCGATACCAAGTGTCAAATCGAATTTACATTTTTTTAGGTTATACTGCACGCGCGTGCATATTGATAACTGTCGTGCAAGGAATTGTGGACTTCTTTAAGTAGACCGCACGTGGCGATATCGCCGCCGCTATATTTGTTCAGAACCGCGTTAATGCCTACGTGCAATGTGCGACTTATGCAATGACGCTAATACGCGAATGTACCACACTAGCATTTTTACGTTGCAAATACAACAATAGGGTTATAGGGCATATTTTCAAAAATTAACATGTGACCCACCGATTAACAGGACACGTACAGGGTGTTGCTCCAAGATTTTCAAAATAGACAGGACCGGTTACAAAATTACTTTCGTAACGTGACGTCCAAACGATGTTGTTCCTTGACAACTGCGTTTACAAGTATTATTGATAACTTATGAACGTCACTTTACGATTAAACCGGATTTAAATCATATCACGATTCACGCGAGTGCACAGTTTGTGTGGTATTTTTAACACCGTTCACTTTGACAGTTCGAAAATAAAACACTCCTCACCAACCGGCGTCTGTGCAACGACTAACGGCGTTCCTCTGCCGCCATGTTACCCCTTCCTCTTGGCTGCGCGCAACACGGTCGCGCATGCGTAGACGTTCGACTCTCGTGCACGCGCCTCGAGTTTCGATATTACGACAATCTCGATAACAAAAGTGGCGGCACGTGCATCCCCACTTCGAATGGGATCTTCCGAAAGGTTCCGCGGGAAAGCGACGCGTGTATTTCGAAGAATTTCGTCAAAATTCGAATGACGAATCTACGAATAAACAAACATGTTTCTTTTTTAGGTTACAGGTAGAGCAATAACGGAAACGTTAGAACACGTGTCGTATTGAATACAGAAACCTACGCGAGAATTTGTAAGGCTTTAATGTATTGCGACTCCCCCTTCCCCCCAGATGATTTCTAAATCGGATGCGAAATCTATGTCAAAGCAAACGGAAGATTAACGTCCGACGACACGTGGTCACAAACGTCATATCTACTACCTCGTCGTAGGGATTTAGTAATTTCAGGAACACGTGAAAAGCACCCGTTCGCAGCATATACAGTCATTCACAGTGAAAATCGTCCACCCACAACGAGGCGTATATTAGTCTAAATAAAACAATAAATACAAATAAAATACAATGATTACGCATATTAGATATCTATTAGCTATGGCGTTATAGCGGTGACAGCAGTAGTTCTCAATGCTGACGGTCGATCTGTTTGTCGTGTACGTTTTGCGTTTATGTTCCTTTCTTCTATGCCAAATTATCAGACTTAAATCTTAAAGTAGAAACATAATTTTTTACCTTGCTTTAATGTTATACTTAGCAAAAATGTTTCTCTATCGTGTAATATGATTAAATTTTCTCCTAGAATGTTAGTTTTTGAAATATAATAAAAAATATCAGCAGACGTTCGTGCGATTTATGCGTCTCTTCCACTTCCCTTATTATTTAAACATATTTACATGTTTATAGTGTAGTAACAATTTATATCATTTTATTCGGTAGATTCCACAGAATTATTGCGTGAAAAAAGAACCTGAATATCTGCTATTGTAAAAGCATAAATCATTTCCAAAGTTGAATATTTGCAATTTGTGTGTAAGATTGATTATCTCGAAAATTATAAAAGTTATATAAAAATGGTTTAGAGATTCGGATTCAGCACACAAAAATCTACAAGAATCACTCATTAAAAATTACAAAATCAAATAACTGTTGGAATTTATCAAACGTTGTTGTAGGTGAACGATTTTCACTGTGAGGTTCATTTTGGACATGATTCTATTTGCAATGCTATATCTCGATTATTATTCAACAGAATTTTTTGCTTTTAGATTATATTATGTAGTTACTTATGTAGAATAATTTAATTTGTATTTTATTTGTATTTATTGTTTTATTTAGACTAATATACGCCCCGTTGCGGGTGGACGATATTCCCTGTGAGTGACTGTATATTGTACCTCTCCTACCAATGCGTTGGGTAATCAGCTGTCGGCACGTTTTCCAGTTATTTTCAACATGATAACCGTTAATATTCGACCTAACCTTACCACAGGTAGTCCAGCTGTGCTCGACAAAAAGTACATTATTACTGCAATAAAATATCACTTTATAATGTCTTAAGAATTTATTCCTGACATTTATGTCCGATCAATAATTGCATTATGTCGCGTCACTAAAACACTGTACCGTATAGTTATTTTTAGACACAGTATTAAAGAATTCTATTATTCTTGCAATAGGATTTACAACCGCACATGTTTGATACCGCATCTAATGTCAAACGGCGCCAGGGAATATTTTTCTTGTAACCGACATTGGTTAAAAATTAAAATAACGACTTCACGGATGTTTTGATGTTTTAAAAAGACCAGTGACTTGCGTAACGGGGATTTCAACATATGCGACAACGGAAAAGGGAGATACCCTCCGTGGAGTCAATTTAAATTTAATTATATATTTGAACATTTTTGGTTCCATATTGTATAAATTGTCTCGAACATGAGTGTATTAATCACGAAATATCAAACGTGTCTCGATACCTCCCAAGAACACGAAAAAGAGGGGTCCGTGTAATAATTGGAGAATGCGTGCAGAAAGGCATGCGAAAAGGAAGAAAGAGATATGTAGTTAGAGGGAGAAAAAGAGAGGCATTGAAAAGAAAAAGAAGGACAGGAGGTCAGAGGAAGAAGGGGAAGGAAGTCGCACGTGTAACCAACTTCCCCACTCCTGGTCAGTTTCTCGGTTGAAAGGAGCGTCCTTCACCAATCTTCCCATCCCTTCTGGTCCGCCGATCTTTTTCGACCGTCACAAAGATCGCGAAGATCTGCAATCAACCAGGGTCATTTGCACATGCCTCCACGTGGCTTGCACATTTAATCAGTGCATACTCGCGATGTGTGCACAAAGATTAGCGAAATACATATTTGTAACGCTAATTATAAACGTTTCGTGCCTCACACGTATTGTACATGTTTCAACAAATAACGATTTAAATATGCAATAAAATATTTAGAATTATTCACATTCGTCATTTTTTTTTTTAAATCATCCTTTGATCATAAATAAATGAAAATTTAGAGAAAATGTAAGTAATTAATTTTAGAAAATGAATCATACATACGGAGTGATTTCCTCTCTATGCACGTCAAAGGCGATGCCGACAGCCACTTGAAGCCCGTTTTCTTTTGACACGTACTTACTTTCACATAATAATCACAATAATAATTTTTTAAAATGTATGAATATTTTTTTGTAATAATTTTACCGATTATAGATATGAATTTAAAAACCGACTTCACCGGTTGTAGGTATTCTCAATGTTAATATTCTCGCCTGTAGAGGTCGGTAACAACTAATCACAAATTGTATTTTCTTCTTTTAACCGTATGAAATGTTCTCAATTTTTTATTTAAGAATAAAAAGATTAAGTTTACGTTTTATCGCTACTAATTCAAATTTAACCTATCTTAATATAAATACTAACAAGTAGGGACATAGATTTGCGTATTAGTTACTGACTGTTAATATACACGAAAATCAGGATAAGGTACGTAAAAATGATAAAGGTGTAAAGGTCAAATGTTTCCATTATTTCAGTGTTAAAAGTACAGTTGGAATAAAAGAATGAGTTTTATGACGGAGCGAAAGTCAAAAGGTGTGGACGAACAGTTACAAGCATTTCTAGAGAGAGAAAGTAAAAGTCAACAGTTTCAGGTTAGGTTGCAAATGATTGTTTTTTGAAGCTTTTATACAAGTAGTAAGTAATTTTTATTAATCATAAGATTTTTATGCAGTAATGTAAATAGAAAACGTAAAGATGCTAATTAGCATAGAGGTTTTACATAACTGGATCTGTTTTTCCTGTAACTGTAGAATTGATTTCAAAAACATATCCTCTATTAACATAGAAATAATATGTAGCCTTGTGTATTATGTAAAAATGTAAATTAACGTTTTTATAAATATATATATATTTTTTTAATACACCCCTTAATGTATTAACATATAACTTTTTGTTTTCAGAGACTGGGACACAAGCTAACTGACGTTTGTTGGGATATCTGTGTCAAAGCATCCAGTCATTCTTTGGATTACACTACTAAAAATTGCTTGATCAATTGTGTGGAGAGATTCATTGATACAAGCAATTTCATTGCCTATAGATTGGCAAACATAGCTTTAGCTAATAATCCCAAAGAAGAGGATTTAGAATAATCAAGCCTATTCACGAATAGATTATGTAGTATTTTTTAATTCACATTATATAATTTATTTTAAAAATGTTCTCAAGAATTCGTGGATTTGTAAGTCGTCATAGACGAAAGTTTATACTAGGAGGTATTGTCTTTGGTAGTGTAGTATTCATAAGGTATACAACACGCAAACTTAGAGAATGGCAAGAAAAGGAAATAAAAGATATGCTTGAAAAGACAAAACGACGACAGTACTTTGAGTGTACAGAAAGAACATGTAGTCAAATGATTATGTCCCTTACATCAACTCTAAGGGATTCTATAATCAAAGTTTTAGACACTGAAGCTATTGTAAATAAACTTAGAAACGGTTGTCCTGATAAAGTAGCGTGTTGGAACGAGTTGAAAGTTTTAGCAATAGCTAGATCAGCTGTAGTGATATATTCCTATGCCATGTTAGCTACTTTAATAAGGATCCAATTCAATGTAATGGGCGGCCATGTATATAAAGATATTCAGAATTCTAATGGCATGACTACAGAGAACATTGTACAGACAAAATACATGTCACTTTCACGTCATTTTATATATGATGGAATTAAGAAATTAAGTCTGCTTATAAAAGACAAGGTTGCGGAAATCACAGCGTCGATATCACTGAAAGACGAATTAACTTTAAGAGATATAGAAGAAATATATTGGGCAATAACTTCTTCTATATCTGCAGATAGTTCAAAAGATCCTATAAAGAATCTTGCTGAGTACATGTTACTGCTAACCTGTGAAGATGATCAAGAACCTATTGTATCAAAATTAATTAATGAAACCCTAGATCTTCTAGAAAGTGAAGAAGTACAAAATTTAACACAGAGTAATATTAGAAGTGGATTCAGTTTGCTAGTGGATCACATCTCTGCATTCTTTGTTGGTTCTCCAACAATGGAAAATGGAAAAACAGTTCAGAATGGTTTTTCAGTACCAGGAACATCGAGCCAGAATCATAATAATTGGAAAGATAATAACGACATAAGCGCGAATTATGATTCGAATTCGTTTGTAAATATTAATAAGATATCAATGCCAATGGCCAAGATAATTCCTATTGTAAATGGACAAGTACCGGACAAACCAACAGCTAAAGATTTTCAAACGGATTTATTACAACAACTTGTAACAAATAGCGAACTTAAAACACTTGGAGCAAATATTTATGAAGCATTTAGTTTTTAAGATGCAAGTATTGAAACTACACATGACATGCAAATCCACTGAGAGATAAAAATTTTTAATTTTTATAAATATGTTGCATTCAAAATTTGTGCTTAACTAGTAGCAATGTGAGTTGTATCACCATATTATGTAATTATGAATTAAAAATGTGTTAATAACGGGATTATTACTAGTATATGTAAATTGTAAAAGTATGCCTTGGTCCTCTTATCACAGTATGTAATATTGTCAAGAAGTTATAATATATTTTTACTTTTTGAACATTTTTTTATTACATTCACTTCGTTTAGAAATATAAACAACGAATATTTATAATTAACTTGAAATAAATGTAAAGTGATTCAACATGTTTTTTGTATTATTTTATTCATAATTATTTTTGGTTGTAATTTTAATTGAATATTTTGAATTTCAAAAATAGTATTATTAATTTAAATTTTTCCGCGTCAACGTTGATATTCAATGCAGCCACGTACCTCATATGGGTACCTTCCCCCCCCTACATACATCGGCACTACGGTGAACACTGGGAACCCAGTAGGGGGGAGCGGTGACTATAGATAGTGACTATCTATAGTCACTGGGGGGGAGCCAGGAATCCTGAAACCCGGGAAGCTAACCATGCTCGGTGCTGTATGTATGTACATATACCGTAGTTCACCAGAGTCCATAACTGCGAAAAGACCAGTTTTCGTTCTTCGCGCTTCTCCAGTGCGCATCTTCGCCCTGATTGGCGATACTCCCAAACGAAGTGGAAAGCGATTAGCAGAGAGCTCGCTGCGTTCCCCCACCATCTTCCAACCTGCGCGTCGCAGTTATGGACTCTGGTGAACTGCGGTATACAAATATACAATGATGCCATCTGATACTAACAAAGAGAACTAAAAATAAATGTAAATTTCGCGCCCTCTTTCAGAAAAATAATAGAACTTGATTTAAACCCGGGTTTTTTAAAATGAATGAATTTTGAAGGTCGATTTATTCAGAAATAAAGCCTTGTATCAAAAAATGTCACTCTATATTTTCAACTTACATTATCTTGTAGATTTATCCTCTTTCCGATTGTGTAGCTAGATTGGATATGTGTTCAGTTGTCGAATTTTCAGTCCGCCGCTCTTCCTTATGCGGTGGAGACGTATATAGGTGACAATAAAGATCGTTGTAAAATTAAACATCTTTTTTTTTTAATTTTAATCCTTTCTATGTATTAACAATAAAAATGTGGAAATTCGTAACTCGCGGTATTCGTGAAACGTTAGAACGCCGTACATGTCGTACAAATGTTTATTCGCAATCGTCCCAGGAATCCAACACAAAAAATGAGGTTAAAGCAAGCTTGACATGTAATCACAAGTTTCTGGCACCAAGCTTTACAGCTTTTAACAATGAATTCTGTGGATCTTCAAAAAGTAGTGGAACTAAAGATAAAGATCATGATTCCAATTACACAAAATACACCTGGTCGGAGGCTATAGGATGGGTAATTGCGCCGTTTTGTTTATCTCTCTTATCAGTATTATTTATATAAAGTGTGAACTACTTTCATTTTTTAATCATATAATAATTGATCATTTTTTAATAGTCCAGTGTATTGGCTGTTGGATGGGTGGTCTGTCAAACACTGTGTCTTCGCAGAAGGCTTTTTGAAAATGAGAAAACAGATTCTCTGAAAAACAAACTATTACAACTTCCAGAACAACGTATTTTTTATTTATTTGGCCAAGTATTAAATTTTAAGCCTACAAACATTTTACCAGCAATTAATTGTGTTGGCAATAATAAAATATATGCTCAAGAAAATACAGAATCAGATTGGAAAGCTGAGAAACCATTTGGGCCAATTACCATTGAAGAGGTGAGAATGTTGCTCTGCAGACATTATAATTTATAATGAGAGAAAACTTGTGCGATGATATATTTGGTACTAAGAAATAGTTCTTCAATTAAAGAAATCTATACTTCTAATTATCTTGTCATATTGATGATATTAAGTTACAATATTAAATGACACCTTTTTTGTAAATTTTCAGGCTCTAAAAGAAGCAACAGAAGAATTTGCAAATACTCACAAATTAACCATGGCAGAATTCGAACTTCACTATGGTTTAAAAGCATTAGAAGAAAGGCGTTACAAGGATGCTGTAAAACATTTTACTAGTGGTGCAAATCTGTCATCAGCTGCTAGTATGTTCAATTTAGGTCTGTGTTATGAATTAGGTCTTGGAACATTGGTAGATTACACAAAGGTATGATACTGCTTAATAATACAATCCATACGAATCTATGCATTATTAAATATTGTATTTACTCCCTTAGGCTGCCAAATATTACAATGATGCAGCAGAACAAGATCACGCAGACGCTACGTATAATTTAGGAGTGTTTCATGCTCAAGGCAAAGGTGGTTTTATGGTAGATATTGATAGGGCTCGCAGTTATTTTATTAAGGCTGCAAAATTAGGTCAGATTCAAGCTCAGCATGCATTAGATTTAGAGAAACGTTATTATCAATCAAAGGAAACTGAATTTCCAGATAAATGTGAAAATACTGTGAAGTATTTGCCAAACAAGAATATGAACAATATTCTTAAGAAGTTGATTAATTATAATAACGTGTTAAACACACAGTCAGAAGTAGAATTTTTAGAAAATTCTGGTCGTGAACAGGGTGTAGTAGGGTTTAGGAATCCGACAGAGTTATTTTTAGACATGCTTGGTTTGAAAGAGTCAAACATTCTGACTGTTCCTTTGGAGTAAAATAATCATAGAGTGCCATATTAAGAAGTAGTACAATTGTTGAAAGTGAAAATACGATTATTATATGTAAAATTGAATTTTTTATCGCGTTTACGTCAATTACAATACGTCTAAGTAAAAATAATTATATTTCGTATTCTTACTTCTATTATATTGTAAGATCTATTCATAATATACAGTATTTTTACAAAAATATTTATTTAATAAATTGTGAACGTAAAGTGTGTTGCTCTTATGGTTAAGGAAAATTTGATTTTCATTATCTCATGTTTTTGACTTATTTTAAATAGTGACTTAGATTTTATATACTTTCAAAATAATCTGTACTATTATCTGTGATGATTATGTACATTTATGACAAAATAGATTGTTAACGCTATTTTATGTAACATTAAAATCGTATTAATCTTTTTTTTTTATATAATATAATTGTGTTTGTGTATGTTTTTTTATACAGCTCCTGATGGAAATAAAGTCTTATTAAATAAGCAGTCTTGTGTATGTTAATTACCAATGTGCATCATGCTTTTGTATAGTTTTTTGAATAAATTCACTATGATTGGCATACAAATTCAGCATTTTATCAATATCCATCCATTTCACATTGTGTGCATCATCTCCAGCCATCAATGTTATTTTTCCTAAAATGCTATCATCAGCATCATGAAAATTTAAGGCAACTGTCTCCATCCAAGCATTATCAGTATTCCTGGGATCATCAACATATCCCCTATAAATTTCTTCTCCCTTTTCAAAAAATTCTCTGATAGATTTTTCCAATTCCTTTTGTTCTTCTTTATTTTTCTCTAACAAATTCATAGCTTCTTCCATGAATTCTCTTTTTAAAGTAGCTGATATAGTTTCTCCAGGATCGACCATTCCCCCAGGAATAGCCCATTCCCCTGAATCTCTTCTCTGTATAGCAACAAACTGTAGAATTGGTTTTTCTGAGTTTTTGTCTATTATTGTAGCGCCTGTGGCATTTCTTTTCCAACGTGTGACAATGGGATCTGCTGCATGGTTTGGTCCCCATCTCCCCAACAGTCCACGTTTGATAATTCCAGTACGACCTATAGGATTCAAAGGATAACCATCCTTTATAATATAGTCACCCGTAAAGCTTTTACGATTCACATTTCCATCGAGGGTATTCCATTTGGGTTCGAATGATGGTTCGCTGATTTCCGGATCCGCCCAAGGTTTCCCTTTGACACTCGGAGCAGTATATTCTACTGGCTTATATTCTGGATACTCAACAGACCATGACACTTTATTTTCAGGCACCTCAAATCTTTTTATGGTAGTTGAGCGGTAAAAGCCCTGTCTGCATTTGTTGTGAATCATTTCAACAAATACAGTACGCATATTTCGTTATCAGAACAATAAGAGTGACATTTATGCCATCTGCATAGAGCCTCTTTAACATTTTTGTATCACATTCTGCTGTATCGATTGGAAGTAATGTTACATCAGCATATACCATCCGATTCAGTTATGAACTGAACCAAAATGGTATTGAATAGGCCCCTGAAGATAGATGATCTGATATGCATTCATGTAAAGTTGGTATAGGTTATTCTGGAGGGTGTTTATTTAATTCTTTTATTTATTTATATACAAGATATGATTTTTTAAAATACTCAGGTATTTATACATTTATTATGAGGGTATATGGTTTATTAATACCTTTTGTAAATATATCAAAAAATATGCCAGATTAAAATGAATATATAATAAAATTCTGACTTCTACATGAAGTAAAAAGGATCATAAAAATTCAATTAATCATGACATTCTTACATGTAATTATTTACATGTCAATTGTACACTAACTATAAGTGTTCCTCAGTTTAAGTAGCTTTTTGAAAACTTTGCAAACGAATTAAAACATTACATTAAATTTTGCATATATGGGAATACTTACAGTTTATGTATCAAGTATGATGATATATTTAACAATATGTAGATACTGGAATCACAAAAACCATATAAGTATGATCTAAAAGATTCCTTTGGATGTATAAACAGGCATGTTTATTAAAAGTGTTAAAGTGTAAATGTAAAATGTAAAATGACATGTATTTACAGTATCTTAAGGACTGGATTTTTGGTTCGTAACCAGAACACACAAACTACTGTTGAAGATTTTCTTTTTCAAAAGTTATGCTGGAAGACTAGAATTCTATCAAATTCATCAGTGATTGCCCGCATTCGAATGAATAATACTTCTCAGTAACACACCATTAATGCCCTCGATTTGGCATACATCATTGAATCCTTACCTTTCCGTTACAAAATTCAGAATCATTAAACACACTATTTGAGTCTGTGTACAGCTGCCTAGCACCAATACATTCAATTCCAATCAAACCTCTGCCTCAAACGATCACACAAGCTTTGAGAACCTGTAGGCTATCCTTGAGGACCACGGTGATCTCCAAATAAAATTAGATCTTGACCAGAAATCTATAAAGGATCAGTTTATCAAATACCATGATCAAATTCATGATAACCCTCAGCACCAGTGAACACGACGTCCACCCAAACTCGCATAGCCTCTGGACTTGGCGCCATTAAATGGTACAATCTTGATGATGTTTTGATAATGAATGTCAATGATGGTTGTGGTGATCTCACAGTGTTCATATGATCCACGTATACTTCCTCTATAGCCTAAAGAACAGAAAAATTTGTATAAAGAATATTTCTGAGCATTAATTTCAGAAACAGGAAATTATACCTGGAAATAAATCACTCCTCGAGCTTTCCTGGAAGAGCTATCACTGTAATATGACAGTGTCTTTCTTTTCCTATCAAACACGAACCACCGTTTGTTCCAATGATGGAATTTCTTGCTCATTTTGGACAAATAACCACTGCAGCTGGTAGTATCCACTGTGACATCATGTATGAGGGGTAAATGATGGCCTGCAGTCTCGATATGATGCCTCAGGTCCAAGGACTCCGACTTGATGGGAAGGTATCTTGTGAGTGGTCTCTGTAGGAGTAACTTATTAATGATGATGATTTTTTATGGTTATTCGCTATTAGTATACCTGTAGTTTTGCCTTTTCACGGTGTTTGACTGGTTGCAATGGACCCAGGGTGTCCATTTCGCTAGAGGTCTGTGAAAGAGGCCGACTTCCGTTTCCTTCTATTATTCCTCCACTGGTGTTGCTGAGTCTCTCGCCTTCCATTGATGTTCTTCGGTCGTCTCTCATCTGTAACAAAAATTAATATGCAAATTAATATAATTACAGTTATTTCCAACAAAATATGGAGAAAAAAAATACTCAGTCTCTGTGAAAATATTTTTGATGACTAAAGTGTAGGAATTATGTAACAGTAGTGTTGCGATGAAGACATTTATAGTTTGCTTAAATTACATAAGAAACACACAGAATCTAGCAAAAGTACTATCTTCGTCCTATCGATACACCCAACCAATTTGTTATAAAAATAAAAAAAAAAAAAAGAATTTTGGTTTGACCCACAGTTGCATATTGGCATCCTAACCCAGAGTGATATTTATAAATCCTAAATGGAGGATGGTGAAAAAAAAAGAAAAAAAAAAGAAAAAATAATCGCAATTGGTCAAGGACACGCACAAAAACGGAAGTAAGGAGATACATCTGTTAGGATTGCAAGCCAGACGTTGACGATGCCTTGGATTAATGGATTGCTGGAAATAACTCAAACGGCTGCACCAGAGGCAGATCTGTTAAAAGCCGGGGTTAACGAGAAAAATTTGTGCAATGAAGCGAGTCAACGAGTGTCTCTTCGTGTTCATTGAAGGGCTCCATCCAGTGTAAAAAAGAAAACTAGGGCAACTCTGCATTGACCCTTTTATGGATTTGCAAAAAATAGAAACTTACTCGTCGCCTACGAACGTGCTTCTTCTTGTTAGCTTTATTCTTCATGTAACTCATCCACATCAAAGACATTCTGTCTGCGCTGCTCTCAAACGTTTTACGACTGTTTCAAACCGAACCAGATATATGGTACCGTGAAATATTTTTCAGTACAATCACAGTTTTATTGTTGGTTCTAAGGATAGCTTGTTCCCAATTCTTGGGGTGCCTTTCCTTGTTCAAACTTGATCAAACATGGATTTTATGCAACAGTAAGGTTCTTTCAGTACTCAAAGATACAATAGAACAATTATCTATTGTCTAATGAGCTTCTACTATTCTCAGTTCCAATTATAATATTTACCTTTTCCAAAAATATTTCCTTCAAACTTGATCAAACACTATTTTTGTATCATAGAAGTATCTTTGAATTTTTTTATAGTAGAATTGAATAATTATGTCATCTAATATTCTATCACAATTTTTTCTTAATTTTAATGTCTTTTTTTTCCAAAGAATCTCTTCAAACTTAATCAAACACCATTTATATGTAATAAAAATATTTTTCTATTTTTCACAATAGAACCGAGCAATTATTTATCGTCTAATGTTCTTTTATCATAATTTTAATATCCTTTTGTTTTCTTCAAACTTGATCAAACACAGTACTCCGTAATAAAATCAACCAATTATAAGTTATCTTTGGTTTTTATAATATTTCAATAATTCTAATGTTTCTTTTTTTCGAAAACACGAATCTTCTGTTGGGGTAGAACAACAGTGAAGAACTGATGTCTGCGGACCTTGTTTAGCCGGTTAAAACACCACGTCCCCCCTCTTCGAGGCATCTTTTTCTGCCCACGGAAAATTGGGAGCTCATTCATGAGTAAAATGCGTGCCGGTGACCAGGCATTTGTTTAAAAAAAAAAAAAAAAAAAAAAAAAAAACAAATAAAAAAGAAAAAATGGAAAAGAAAAAGGGGAGGACACACGAGCCTCTACATATCGATCACTTCTGCGTAGCATTTGGGGAACCTGCGTCATTCGACAAGGAGAATTGTTCTTCGAACGTGATTTTATTATAAATCAAAGGTATTTTAACCCCCTGCTTTAGTAATACAAAGTGACACATGTCGTATTCGTGGTATAGTTAAAATTTCAAATTAGATTTGGAAAATTGAAAATAAAAAGAAAATATTGGAGGATGAGTGATTCACCCTTTGTAATTTGAAACATTTGTATTTTTAATAATTTTAATTCTAAATAAAAAATTTACCACATTCATTAGCAAAAAAGATTTGAAATCAAGAAACTAATCTTTTGCAATTTGGAATACAAGTATTAGAAATTTTTTATTTTTCGAGTTGTAATTAAAATTTTAAATTTGTATCTTTTATTGCCGAAGAAATATTAATTAAAGATTATTTAATACATTTTAGAAGCAATTCTAAGTTATTCTAATTTTTATTTGCTTGCGAAATTTCACATTTCGTATCGCATCAAGGTCGCAAATTTTATTAGCCTCATGTTGACAATAAAGATTCTGCTGAACCTGCAGAATTACATAAACCAAATTCCTAACTCCTATAAACTAAACGACAGTAAATCATTATCCAAAGAAAAAATCATTTTTCTTACCCGAGCTAAACCTAAGCAAGTTAATATAATAATAATAATAATAAAAATAATTTTTACTACCCGAGCTAAACCTAAGTAAGTTAATATAATAATAATAATAATAACAAAAAAATAATAGATTTTTATTCCACAACAGCTGGCAAAGTTCCTCCTTGCTTATGGGACAAAAAAAAATTTGGCGTCGCGTGGCGTCGTAAAATTTTCGCAAACTTCCTCAATTTTCGAGAAACACTGCATTTCTTTCAATCTATGAATCATAAGGATAATACAATGACGTTTAATTAATTTCTGCACTGATTTAAATTGATTTGACAAAGAGTTTAAGAAATGTCGGTGGTGCGCTGAATGTACTTAATTTAGATACGTCTTCGTGTCATTAAGAGACATAAAGATGCTCCATGACCCCGGATGAAATCATTGAATCTGTTAAGTACAGTGAACGATGGTAATTACTGAAATTAGACCGTCTAACTTTTAATGAATAAATGGCTTGTGACACGCTGCATCAATTATTATTTCATTTTCCAAGTTCTGGTTACGAATGAATTTCTTCAAAATAATAAAATTACCGTTTGTCAGAAATTTTCTATAATTTAATGGGCGAAAGTACGTTTTGTAATGGAGTTAGAAACTGATTCGAATTTATAAAGTGGACAGTCGTTTAATCGGATGACTAACCACTGAACTTTTATCGGCATCACGGTGAGTAGCTGATAAATATAGCGACAGGTTTTTGTTTGTTTTTGCAGCGACCGAACTGAACTTTAAGCGATCCTTGTACTTTTAATAAAAAATTTCAAATATCGTCATTGAATCATTGATATAATTATCTAATTATTAAAGATCATTTTTAAATACTGAATTCCTTCAAAAAGTTTATTATAATTATCATAATAATAGTACTGACGCTACCAAAAATTATTCTTAGCTACTGAATATTTTCTAAAATTTTAAAAGCTACCATCGAATCGCTAACATTATTGCCAATAATATTATTCTGATTATTGATACTGCTTCTTCTCTCAAAACTTTCATTATACAACCAGACTATTATTTAACAGTACAGCGTTCCAAAATATTTTGAAGACCTCAGTTATTTCTGTAGAATGATGATTATTAATGATTAGGCTGACAAACGTACCACGACTCATTTGAGGTTCCTTCAAACTGGCCATGACTTAATTTCAGATCTGCAAATGATTTTATTTTTTTCTCTTTATTTTTGACGAGGAATTAGAGCAACACGTCTCGCGTCAATTTTTTCAATGACTCATCTTTGAAAGCGTTTAAAATCTTAACAGATGGACGAGAAATCGCTTTGTTAAGACAGATGTTTCGATCATTCGAAGATTAATGACTAAAAATTCCGGTATGAATGGTAATTTCCGGTGAGGCATGCAAAAATTCTGTTACAATGTTATTTCTTTTTAATGGACCATGTCTGTTAAGAGGAAAGTTTATTTTTTCACTTGGAAGAATTAATTAACGATTTTCACTCACGTTATCATTTTGGAGGAGACTGTAGGAATTGTTCGAAGGTCCTGGACTGGGTGACGTAAGTTCCGAAAGTTTGCTGGGAGATAATTTCTCGCTATTTCCACCCTCTGCACTGTCACTGCTTCCACTTCCGCTAAAAATTACAAAATTAATGATTAAAATCTAGTCATCTATCACTTCTGACAATTTGAAATTAAAACTAAAAAAAAAAAGATTCTTTTTGAATTCTTTAATTACAAAATTCATTTAAAAAATTAATAATTAAAACCCTTCAGAAACAGTCTGCCTAACTAATAACAATTTTTAAAAATAAAAATGAAAATAAAAATCTCAAAGATTAACAGTACAACAAAAGATGCTCTTCTAAATTTCACAAATCAGTTTCAACGATTCTTCGAGCTCTCCAAAGATATCCAATGCCCCATAAATACTCAAGATGGACCACACGAAAGTCCCCAAATAATTAATCTTACATAAGAGTGACTTTAAATCGCGTATAAAAAACAAGGTGTTTTAACCGGCGAAGGAGGATCGGTACTAACCAGCCAGGGCATAGCCAAGGCAGGTATTATTAAAACCTAACAAGTACAAAGTGACTTGGGTCGACCGGTTCGGTACCACCAGCATGGCATTTAATTCTTCTACAATGTTCAACGTGGCTTGACGACACTCTTTCCGATCCCGTTGCTATGGCAACGTTGTCCTTGACCCCCAAGAACGGGGTCATCTTTTTCATTCTGTTGCTTGTTTTACCTTTGAGGCCATTCGTGGATCTCCTGTGCTTTTGTCTCCATCAGAGTTACCGTTGTTTAAGGAAAATATATTTTCAGTGACTTAGGTTCATTTAAGATACCGTGGATTGAATTTTAATCAATACAGAAAATTAATTATAAATATTAAGTGGTTGTGCTGTGCCTTTAGATGAAATAATACCTATCAGATTTACCATAATTTATGGAAATATACTTTATTATATTTTAAGGGTTTTAAAGTCATTTGGGATATTTTACATATAATTTTAATTAAAATGGTACCTTCTAGTTTAACTTTAGGAAAATGGTAAAAAATGTGGTGTAATAAATTCACAGAAAACTCACTAGAAACGTTGCCGAATTTCACGAAAACGTATCTCCAATGGTTGACAGCAATTTTCGCAGAGCCAATCCTTACTGGCAATATAAATACGATTGCTGGTAATAAAAGTGACCAAATTGCAGCCAGTAATCCTAGCTTCGTTGAAAATGGTCGCACCCACCTCCCTCGCGTTCATTCTCGCACATAATCCACCCCTTTTTCTCAGCAATTCATTTGAAATCTCCTGGCAAATTTTCAACGACGCAATAATTCATTCGCGATGACCCATCAATTTCTTCAGTTTCGTCAACACCGATGACACCATCCTCTCTCGGGCAAATATTTTTTTTCCTCGCCTCAGTGGATTCCACGTGGAACACGTTTTGTATTAGCTCGGAGAATAACACGTCACAGGAATATACTGTTATTCTCAGTCCAAAAATCGATGACTTTCATTCATAATTTCAACGAAACTTCATGGTATATTCGTTACTTGAAAAAGATTTTGAAATATTTTTATTTCGACAATTTTGTTAATCAGTATAAATTAAAAATTTTAATAATATTTTATGAAATGATTTTCATGATCTCTTCGACTTTCTACTGATAAATCATCATGCTGGTTGCCTCTTCACTAGGCTTTCATCATTTAGAAAACATTGTTCAAATGTTCTATTTGTTACATTTGAAAGAAGAAAAATTATCACTGAAGAATTGTCCAATCTCAGAATGTCCAATGAATAACGTTTATCTTATCAAACAAAATAGAATTACAAATTTTTCAGTTACTATTCAGAATAATTTCACTGAAATTATCATATCACAATTTCTCAAAGCCACAGTCCACAGAATGAATCCAAAAGCACAGTTTCACAAAATCATTTCCATCCACAAATCTGTCCCAGTTTTATTCCAAGAAAGAATCCCAGGTTCGAGAAAATCCATGGTTGCAGAGTGTCCATTATCCAGCTATCTTATCAAAGGTATCAGTGATTCAAGTTCCTCGTCAGCTTCTTCAGTCGTGTGTAGTTTCACTAAAACGACGTTGGTTAGTCGCGGAAAGGCAGTTAGCTGCAACAGATATCGTATCAGCAGATAACACAGTACCCCACCCACTGGTTGTCCAAGTAACGAGAAGGAGTGATAAAAAGCGTTTTATTAAGCCGGCGGTCGCAATCAGCCTCTGTTAATCAGTGATTCGATTGGATGTTTCCGAGCCTACAACAACACAGCTTTCTCGCTTTTGCCAAGGCTGCGACACCTTTTACTCTCGATGGATTCCAGTTTCACTAAACTGGCCGATAAAAAGAGAGACGCGTCTACGCAATTCTTGCCGCGTGCCAACGACGACCAGCTGTCTTGCACAAGAAATTTGTTCCATTTAATCGTAAAAAGCAATAGAGAAACGTGGTGACGATTGCCTTGCCTCCAGCCGGTGTTTTGTTATGCTTTTGCGCTTCAGGTGATTGGAATCCTCAGTTGTTGGTTTCATATTTTGCATATTTCTTGTTGTATTTGAATTAATTTTTTCATAGTTACACTGGTAAGCCTTACTCGTCGAAGTTTCATTGGATAACTTGATGGATTTTCTATCACTGGGTTTATAGATAAGGCACGTTTCACTACCACTACTGAAATGACACTGAGGGATCAAATGTTCTAACGCGATTTGATAACACAAAAGTATCACGAAATAAGACTTATGATGCATTAATTGAAAGCTTAAAAATTAAGGAAAATTATTATATAAACTCCCCATTAATGCTCTTGACATAAAATGGGTAGTTGCAATAGTAACAAACAATGTCGTTACACTTTTTATATTGCAAAGATCATGACATAAAAGTATCATAAAATCCCGCTTATGTTACATCAAAATAAAGCTTAAAAATTGCCAAAAATAACCGTGTAAATGTTTTGCTGAACTTCCTAATAATTCGCATTCGAAAATGACATGACTCACCTTTCAGTTGGTCCCGTTGAATAACTAGAGGATTCTTCGCCAGACTCCACGCTATTGAAAGAAGTACAATTCATCTTCCTTTCTTCCCACTGTGACCTAACTTCGTCCTGAACTCTTCGTTTCAGCTCCTCTACTCTTCGTCTTTCTTCAGAAATCACTTGGCTGCCTGGAAACAAAAATAATAGTATGGATAATTATAAATCTGCAGTTCAACGCTTCTATTTGCATGTTAATAGAAAAACTGTTATGCCTCTGGGCATATGTCAAGAGCGAAGCTCATTAATTTTTCATCTCTTTGTTATTTACCTTGTTTAGCTAAATGAAGCTGTCGATTTCTCTCAATTTCCTTAAGGGACTCGATAGTCTTCCTTCCCAAGCTGCCCTGATTGTTTACAATGGGAGAGTCAGTAGTGACCCTGGAGATCCTGTCGAAGTCTTCCCTGCTCGGAGATCGTTTCTCTTCGCTGTTCTCGCAATTCTGTGCCAACTTTGTCAGCTCGTCGTTGATCGCTCTAACTCGGTTTCGACCCTGACAACATAAAATTAAATAATGTAATGAAAAGATAATTAATTACTATTTAAACAGGAATACAAGGTACACACTTCTTCTAACCGCTTCAAATGCGCCAACTTTTGTCTTTCGAGGCTCCTGGCATCTTTAGTCGCTGTGCTTTTTGCTTCTGATCTCTGAGATTCAAGGTGGTTTAATCTAGCTTTTCTAGTCTCTATTTTGGCTGTCAGTTCGCTCAAGTATCTGGAAACAAAAAATACAATATTAATTAAATTCATTGCAATGACTTTGTAAATTACACCATTTAAATGCTCAACAAATTTTAATTTTTTTCAAAGAACTATTCAATAATAATATAAATTATTTATTATAATATAAAGTAATAGATTTACCTTTGTAATTCTTCTCTAGTGGCAAGTTTACTTGCTTCTTCTTCAAGATGATGGAACTCAAGATCCTCAAAGGCCTTTCTTTCAGACTCAAGAATATCCTGTTGAGCCATCAGCTTTTCGCTAACTTCTTGTTGCATCCTTTCATCCGTGCAATTCGTCAGTTCTTCTTCTAAACGATTACAAGCTTGCTGAGCTCTCTGAACTCTTTGCTTCGCTTCCGCTTGCAAATTCGCCTGAGTAGTATTATCCTCAGCCATTTGTCTCTCCAATTCGTTAATTCTCATTTGCACTTTTATTTTTTCACCTTCATCTTGGTTTAATTTCAAAGATTCTGATTCATATTCCGCAGAGAGCAAGGCTTTTTCCAATTCAAGCTGTTGTACAAAATTGAAATTAGAAACATTGTTAATAAAATAACACACGTTCAATCTGCTGTGTTTTTTCATTTTTGTAACCTGTTCTAATTTCAGCTTCTGGCACTTGGATTTTGGGAACAAGGAACAAAATTTCTTCATGTTTAACACTGTTGAAGAATCAAAGACGACTGAAGGAAGGACGAATGTCGAATTTATCACGGAAAAGACAAACTCAGATAAGGAGATAACGTTATGGATTATCCTTAAGTATTGAGTGCACTTCCTATCTTTAAACTCAAAGTCATATTTGTTTTCCAGAAAGTTGAAATTGTGACCAAAAATGTTAAACATGAAAAAGGAACACTTGAAATAAAATAGAAAACATCTAGGATTGGAGAGCAAAGGATGTGGGTAAATATGAGCATATAAGTTTTGGTTAAATATCACAAAGTATTAGAAAATAATTTTATCTATACAATACTGTCCTATTACCATTGGTGCAACTAAAATTTTTATCTAGGTGTGAAGTATCTAGTAACATCATTTTTTACGGTTCTAAGCCCAATTTTCCCCTTACCTAAGTTTACCAATGAATAACAAATATTTCTAAATAAAAAAAAAAAAATATCCAGATCACGCACCTCTCTACTAATTTCCTCTTCCTGTATCTCAATATCAGCTACACTCCTCTTCAAGGCATCCATATTACCAAGAATATGCAGCTTCTCATTCTGAAGAAATTCAATATACTTCTTCCTATCCTCTTCCTCAAGTTCCTTTCTCTCTTTATCAGCCTTAGCCTCGTTCGATTTCGCGTTGTCCTTCTCAGAGTTATTCTTTTTCGGAATCGTGCAAATTTCTTTAGATTTCGAAAGCATAGAAAGCTGCTCGATAGCCTCTAGAAGGTCGTCGTTCGAAATGGCCAGTTTATTTTCAATCATCTCGCAGGAATTCGACAGCTGGCCATTCTTCTTTGGCATGGAATGATTATTTTGATTATTATTCTGAACTGGTCCTATCACTACATTCTCGTATAGACTTAAATTCCCATTCTGTTGATTAATTCTTGTTCCATTCAATTGGATCGTTCCATAAGTAGAAGTTTCTTTGTCGTTTCCACTATTATTGTTTAACGGTGAATTATCAACCGTCGCGTTCTCGTAGCTGGAGCTACGACCGTGCGAGATTGAATTGGAAAAACTATGGTCCCCGTTGCCAAGAACGTTTGGCCATTTAACTGATTGGTTATTGTTCGGCGTGGTTGATTGTGGATTACCATTTTGAAAGACCATCTTCGAGTTTTGTACACACACATTTTCGTATGATGCTGAGTTTGATGGTGGTTTTATAGCGTCGAAGGAGAAATGAGGTTGATTCTTTGATGGACTCTTGGGGCTGTCGAAGGGAGAGCTGTAGCCCAGTCTTTTGTCTCGTGGAAGAGAACCATTTGTCTTGATCCTATGAAAAATAAAAAAAATTTGTAATACAATGATTGCTGAAGAATTTTAAAAACTAGGTATCATATTTTTTACATACCTGTTAGGTTGTCTGGGCTTCTCCATGGTGCTCTGTCTCTCGTACTCTGCGCACATAGCAAGAATCTCCTCCAGCCTCATCTTCTCCTGTCTCTCAATCTCCTGCTCCCTCAGTCTCTCCTCTTGAGCCTGTTTCCTTCTGCTCTCAGCTTCTCTACGTTTATTCTCAGCGTCAATCTGTCTCTCCCTCAGTTCCTCCAAGGAACAACCGCTTCCAATGCTTGGAGTTGGACTCTTCACTCTTACAAATCCCCTTTTGGGTTCGTTGTACTTTGGATTGCGATTGAAAGCTGGACTGGGTGGTTGTATCCTCTTGATATTTGGATTTGAACCAAACTTGGGCGCTTCTGATACATTCCTCAGACTCCCATAGTTCCCATTGGGGGAGCTGTTACAGATATTAGGATTAGAACCAAATTTCTCCAGCTGGAGGTACTCAGTGGTGGTAGTTTTTGTGACAATGAGACTCTGACTCATGTCAAACTCTCTAGGGGTTAATTCATCAAGGTCATTTGATCTTTGACAAGTGAAACTTCTAGACATCATGTCAGCCTGATTGGCAGTGTTTTTGGTGATCAGGTTCTGAGTACTCTGACTGTTCTCGTTATTGTTCTCCCTGTAATATGGCTTGTAGCTTTTCAGGTAGGATTCAGCATTAGAATATACTTGGATCTGATTGTGATTAGGCGTGGAACAATTCTGATAATTAGGAGTATTAGATCTGCTGGGTGTTCTCTGATGATTTTCATCGGTACAATGATTCGGAGAGGAGGAAACAAAGCAATTTCCAGGGGAAGATGTATTAAGGAATGGTCCTGAAGATGAATTAAAGGACGGAGTATTTGAACGGCTTCTTTCTAAGTTCGTCAGGTTCTGCAGAGGAGAATTGTTGCCATTCTTCAGGGAGATCAAACTGGAAGACCTAGAGTGTCCTAGAATCTGATCAGCTGGCACATTTGTAGTGACAGCTCCGGCTGGGAATACTTTCGGAGAGACACAATTGTTTCTGTTCTGCTTTGCAAGCATCTCGAACTTTGTGAGTTTCCCAAGGAAACCTATTTCATCATCCGAACAGGAGTTCCTTGGCGATTTCCTTGGCGCCACAGGAGGTTTTCTTTCCAGATGATAGTTCTCCTGAAGCTGGTGCTCGGGGAGGTTGAAACTTATGGGGGCCATTGAGATTCTTGAGTGTGGGAGCACGGATCTTAGTTGCTTTGCTTCTGCTGGATGGTTGAAGCGCATGTAGTTCGATCTTCCGATTGATAACATGCAGCCTAAATTAAAATTAAAAAGAAGTTATAGTAATTAATTTTTGAGTTGTTTTATAATGTTTCTCGGCAGGAGGCTTGAAAGATGGTCTGTGGTAGGTATGGAAATTAATTAGTTAAGTACTTAAGTTAATTAGTGGCTGTATGAAATTAAATAAACATATGAGATAATTAATGACGGAAATTAGGAAATTTCAATGGTTTTGATAATTTTATTAATTTTGGAGGTTTATAAGGTAGCTCTTTACAATTTTTTTATATTTTAAAGAGCTGTAAAATGGAGAGATTGACTTAATCGGTGAGTTGTATTTGGCCATACGAATTTAAGCCAAGGTCTTACCTTGAGCAAGTCTCACTGGCGAATTTATTGGTACACCATCGACAGCAGTGTTTCCATTTATGGGGTGAAGAGTGACCACGCCGTTTTTGTTTTCAATCGCGCAATGAATGGATTCAACGCCTGTACCGACCACAGCAATGTCCGCATCTCTACTCGATCCTAGCGTCAGCTTACCTAAAACAAAACGAACAACAATTTTCCCTTTTTCTTCAAAACAGTGTAGAAAGGCATTTTATGTAACTCTATGTAATTTTAACTATGAGTGTAGATGGGTAGAAAATCGGTGCCAACTTGGAACGAAAGCGTTTCCTGCATGCTTTCATCTTCACAATTCACAGAGTTGGCTCTCGAATCTGAGCCAAGTATTTTAGAAGTGGCTCGTTCAGGAAGAGAGAGTGTTCATTGTAACAATTTATGAGGTATTTCATTAAAAAAAAAAAGCTATCTACAATTTTTAATAACGTAATCTTATTATTTCTAGATAATTATAACGCGAAGGGATTGCAAAGTTATCTTTTGTTTTTTATTAATTTTATTTTCGTTCGAGGATTTGACTGGTAAAGGAAGAAGGAAAATTGTATATCTTTTCACAGGATTTTCCCAGCGGAATAGCTAAACGTGTACGAGTAGCACAAACTGCAAGAAGCGAGTAAATCGTGGTTGCATTCTACAAAGGACTGTAGTTATATTTAGTTTTGGCGCGGTCGTGCAACTCTCGCACATTTTCGGTCTTTTTGGAAAAGCTTCCGCAACGTTCAAAATAACTGGCAAGGGTTAAATCTTTGCCTACTTTATGGAATAAAAATTTTTCAAACCTCTATTCCTATTAAAATTACTTTGGAACGTTAATTAACCCTTGAACAGTGGAGACTATTCAAAATGTGGTTCTCTCCATGGTCCGCCGTTCGAGGGTTAACAATTTTATTTATTTAACACTTCATTTAATTCATCGATTATTAATTTTAACTTAATTTTATTTTTGATTTATTATTTAATCATTTCTTTATGATCCAAAAAGTATCTGCATTCCAACTCTTAAAAGTAGCACACTATTTTCTGTTCCAACGATCAGTAGAAGAAAATGCGCTACTTTCAGAGAAACAACGAGTAAAAGAGAATGATAGAAGTTCCCTGAAAATCCACTTCACTTTGAGGATTGACTCATGCAATAATTTACATTACCCCGTTCATTCTCTTTCCCTTTTCGTGGTTTTCTCTATCTTTCTACGTGTATGCATCGACTATATTTAAGTGCAACGTACCACGCTTATGAGACAGAACGTTCCTCGTGGGTTACTGTCCTCTCCTCCCCTTCGTAAACGCCATTACGCCATTTATATACGGTGCACAGAGGCGTCATATGCACGTGCACTTTGTGAATGCACCAACGAGCATCGCAACTCTTTTTTTTTTCTTTATTTATAATAAGCAAATAATGCTTCGGTAACAGAGAGGAATTAAATAAAATTTTGATAAAGGATTGAGATGTTTATTTTATTTATGGGTCATCATGTGGGGGGAGTCGGTTTTAGGAAATGGAAAATGTTTTCGGGAATAGGAAATAAAATTTTCTCTTTCGGTGTATGTTTCTTTCTAAGAACAGACTTCACACGAAGTTTATTTCTAATGTCAGACACGTTGGCTGAGGCTCCTCGGCACTGAGAAGAAACAGTGAGATGTGGTTCATAGAATCTATGTTTAATTGTGGATAATAACGATTTCTTGACAGAAAAGTATTTCGAAATTCAACTTGTGGTATATCAAATTAAAGTTTAAACTTTGACGAAAAAGATGATATAAAGCTTTCTTGAATATCTTGACTACAGTATAAATTGCAACAAACAGTGCTTGCGATTGCAATTTTGAAACGTTCAGATTCAAAGATAATTTCATGACATAAAAGTATTATCAAATGACACTTTTAATACACCAATTTAAAGCTTAAAGTGTAACGAAAATGACCGCATAATCATTTCTCATCTTATCAGAGCCAATCTCCAAGAAATTTAAACGTTTCCGTCATCCGTGCTAATTTCTTCTACCCAATTTTCTGCAGAAATTAGAAATTAGTAGTCGGCGATGCAATTAGCTGAGTGAGTAAAATTCATTAACGAGTAACCCTGGTCTGTCCCGTAAGTCATGACAACCGGGATATCTCGGTCGGGGCGAAAAATTCACTTTTAAAAATACACTTTTGACGCGGCAGGAAGCCGAGAGGTCCTCCGGAGCACGTGCATCGATGTCGAAACCGGAAAGCAGTCGACCAAGTACAAATATTTGCATTCGAATCGAATAGAAGACGGCACACGCCAGCTTATTATGTTAATAAAGGCGAGCTTCGCGAAGGAAGAAGATATTTCGTAATATCTTTTGTAATTTCCCTATGATACAATCATTCCGCGGATAACAGCATTGAAGACTATGATTTCGATAAAAATAGCGTGTATTTAACAGTATTATATTTGATTATGAATTGGACACTGTTCAATGTAAGTGGTGATCAGCCATTTTGTATTAAGAATACTAACGGAGCATTTATATGGCCATTTTAAGGAAATTTCAAGCTTTAATTTGATGTGCCATAACTGGTATTTAATGATACTTTTATGTCATGAAAATGACTTAGACTTTTCATGTTTCAGAGTTGGATTAGTATAATGGCATTGTTCGTTGCAATCCAAAACTACTTATCTTGTATTAAAAATATCAATGGGCCATTTATGTAGTATTTTTCGACAAGGTTTAAGCTTTATTTTAATGTACCGTAAGTGCCATTTGGAGATACTTTTCATTCATGAAATTATGTTAGAAGATGGAACTTGATGCACAATGAACTAATAGAAGTTCACTCGACGCACAGTGGGCCAAAATCGGAAAATAGGTGGACAAAATCCGAAAATTTATATGTTTACTTCCTGGGCAACAAATTTTCGAACGAATCAAAATTGCTCCAATTTAAAAACTAATTACGTCATCATTAAGAGTGGTCCATTTGACGTGACGTTGCGTTGATACAGTAAATTTTTTTTGAACTTTTTATTTCTAAATTAGAGTAATATTACCTTCTGGTAAAGGATGCAGGGTCACCGCGGTGGATAAACGTCCGCTTCCCATGGAAACGAGATGCGGAGCTTCCGTTTGTACTCGCAGCGCTCGTCCAGCTTCGCGCACCTCAAGACCGGCGGTCGCCATGCCTGAAAATAAAAAAAGAAATTTCCTCATCGATAACAATCTTCATACCTTAAATTAACCCAAGAAAAATTTTCTAAAATCAAATAGGTTTTCCTCAAATATAAAAAAAAAAAAAAATATCTTGTCGAAGTTTTACGAATGAGATCGATCTGCCGGCACGAGACGAGAAAAATAAACGACGAAGAAAGGAAACCGGTCTCCAGGATTCTTTTCCTTCTTTTCTTTCCTTCCCGTTCATCCCGGAGTCACGGGTCATGATAAATTAGTGGGTATGCACCGTGTGGAGGAGGCCGTTGTAGAAACCCAAGAAAAGGATTCTTAATCTTTTATCTTGACGTATAAATGCGTCCAATATTGATAATAACACGTATTGGCATAAATAAAACTAAAATGAAATCTTCGGAAAAATGAAACAATAATAAATTAAAATTAATTTAAGAAGTCATGACAAATTGTTGCACTATTTTTGAAAGCATGGCTGTAAGACGTTATTTCTCGTGTTAGAACACGATAGGCAAAGTTCAACGGGACAGGCTAGCGTAATGCGCTTAATTAAAGTTGTTTCAACTCGTTAAGATCGTTCGCACGGGATGAACAACCCTATAAAACGATGGAGGTTTGTCGACAACTGGAACGACAATTTCCAGCGATGAAATTTCATTTCTATCGTAAGAAATTTATTGGAATTAAAATGAAGTAATTTGTTAGAAATTTTATTTACGTTACAATATTAAATCTAATAATTAATTAATGGTAAATTTAATTATTAATCAATAATAAAATTAATAATCAATCAATGGTAATTAATAATTAAAAATTAATCAATGGTAAATTTAATAATCTTCGTTATAAGATTTAAGCATGCATTTCTTAGAATATCATTCAACTGCATTTCAATTGATATTCTAATCTTAAGAGGGTTTCAAAATAATGATAAGATAATGACCCGTGCAGTTAATAACAAACTTGGTTATTCGTTCTAAGAAAAATTCCAGAATTTCTTAGCAAAGAATTTAATTACTATTTCAAATCTTCAATTAAAGAAAAAAAATAATTAAAAAGGAGGAAACACAAATTATGCAAACGTTTGAGAAAGAGAAGAACATTCCTCACTAAAGTTAACAGTGATCTATTTTTAATCATCAGAGTTAATCCTCTGCAATTTCAATGTAAACGGAGCTTAAAAAAGATTTCTCTGAGGCCTTGATTTTTGTACGAATCAGCCCATGACGTAATATAAAAAAATATTAAATGTTTTCTTTTGAATATGGAACTTTATCTTCGATGATGTCAGTGACATTCAAAGTGTCATGAAACTGCAAATGAACAAGAAAAAAAAGAACTAAAAATTCCCAGAATTTTAAATTTAAAATAAATTCTGACAACTTTTCTAATTTTTAAAATTAATTGCCAATAATCTATGAATATAAATTCAAGGTAATAAATTCCATAATTTTTCTAATATTGTCTAAATTAATTTTAAATTAAATTTGCACTCTAAGTCATAGGTGACCCAGTTATGTCTTTCAAGTGTTAAATGGAACTCTTCCAATTTCTCCGGATAGAAAGTAATTATAATGCAAGAAAAAATTATTAATCTCAAGAGAATAGACTATCGTGTTTCACTTTCGACATTGGAAACGTGAAACGTGGTAGAGAACGTAACCCTTTGGAATATTAGTCTTCCACGAATGGAGGAATTTCGAAGAGAAAAAAAGCAGCTGGTTTTTCTTACAAAAATACAGCTCGTAAATCGCAGAGGAAAAACAAAATTGCTGGAGCTACCAGCATACTCATCGCACAGGAATGCGTAATTAGTAGCACATGAAAGACGTGATTCTTTTCAGTAATAATAAAGACAATGTAGATTTTGCTGCAGAAAAAAATAAGACATTTTTTTCTCACAAATATTGATAAGAATATTAAAAATAAACATGGCAACTTAAAGGTGAATTCAAAAACAGCCTTGACAAGGAGCAGGTGTTTTAACTTTGAAACACCTGCGGAGGGCAGGTGAACTCGTGTCAAAATGACCCTTCGGTTGCTTAATAAATAAATTATTTTCCAACTTTTATACAAAGAGCCAGCATGGAGGACATACGCACTTTCAGCTGCGAAAGGACGGTTTTATGGTGGCAAAAAGCGAAGAGCACAAGATGGTAAAGCAGAAGGGGAACTCGAAGAGCTGAAGAAATTGTCGGGCTAGCCGTCTGTTGCTGTGACTTTGTGAAACGTTCACAGAGAACATGAATGATATAACACTATATTGAAATATTCATATTTAAATCAAATTTCAAAAAAGAATTAAAATGAATCCGATAGTTGTATGCATTTTTGGAAACCTGTATCCAGTGGTGCATCAGAAAAGTGCATATTGCACATGGATGCATTCTAAAAGTTTTTCCTCTATCATCAACAAAGGAATAGCTACAGTTTATAAAGAAATCAACAAATATGTAACAAATAATTATTAAAATAAATAAATAAATAAATAAAATATACATAGATTTCCTAATGCATCAGAAAAGAGCAGTTGCACTGCATAATGGTAAAGTATAATATAAAAAAATGCGGGAAGTATGAAAGAAAGGTTTGCGACGTATTGCGAGTTGAAACGTGCGCATGCAAGCATGGAGTGCATAAAAGTGCATCTCGGGCGTGTGTGAGTACAGCAGCGGATGTTCTATATGCGGAGGACCGGACGTGGAGCGACGTGTACCTGACGCCGCTCGTCGTCGCCACTAAAACCGTTTCTGTAAATAAACTCGTATCTGTCAGTGCTACGAGATCGTTTTTTCTATTCTTTTAGAATATTAAATTATTTCAATATTTTCGACTATTTAAAATTTAAAGAAATTTAATAATATCTAAGGTCTATTAGTGCCGTATATATACGTCGTTCATAATTAAAGGGTTAAGAAATATTTTCCAAAATCATACATCAAATAAAAGAATGAATTAATTTGTGTATTTGGGACCCAAAGGCGTCTCCCGTAGATAATGAAACGCCTTGACCTGATTGTAACAGTGAATCCGTATGGGCACCCATATGAACCCGTATCCTGCGAGCACGAGGAAGGAAGTGTCATTCACTGATTCTTTTGTGCTTCATATTTAGTCTACTTGCATTCCAATGGAAACGTTTAGCTGTAATTCTTCAACTGCATATTTTAACCCTTTGACCCGTTACAATAACAACATACGGCAAAACTAAAAAAGAATTGGTATGAAAATATCCAGATCCAATGTTTAATAAATCTTCAATGCAAATAACCTTTATACAACTGCCCTCGCGTTATAATTTATATTGAAACATAAAATCCGTTTATTATCCTTGAATCAAATATTTGCTCGACCCAGAAACTCATCCACTAATGTATCCTTATCATCTTCTCCAAACACATTGCAGCACAAAGTTCCAAAGCACCACTTCAATATCCCATTTCAGCAGTCTGCACACGGATAAATCATCGTTATCAATATTACCGTGTCCGTTATTTCACGTAGCGAGTGTTTATTAGAGACTTTCACGTCGGGTCAGCGATATGGTTGAAAGGGAAAAAATATACTTTCATTTCCACTGTCCATTTCCATGGGACACGTATATACGTTCCTTCGTGTCCTTGCCGCTTCGACACATGAATAATCAATTAGTGATAATTTGTATTACGTGGCAAAGACAATACCATTTAACACTGAAGACTAACAGTAATATTGACAGTGATAGAAATATTGATAATTGGGACATTAGGGATTGAAGTGTTCAGGGTACTAACGTTAGTGATAGTCATGTTGATAGTGGAAGGAGTAGTGATTCAACCATTGATACTGAAAGGATTAGTGATTGAAATATTGATAGTGGGGGGATTAGTGATGAAAATACGGATACTGAAAGGATTAACAACTGAAATATCAATAGTGGAAAGGTTAGTGATGAAAATATTGATAGTGGAAGGGTTAGTGGTGAAAATATTGATACTGAAATGGTTAGCGATTGAAATATTGATAGTGAAAGGGTTAGTGATGAAAATACTAATACTGAAAGGGTTAACAACTGAAATATCAATAGTGAAAAGGTTTATGATGAAAATATTGATAGTGGAAGGGTTAGTGGTGAAATGGTTAGCGATTGAAATATGGATAGTGAAAGGGTTAGTGATGAAAATATTGATTGTAAAAGCGTTATTGATTAAATATTATTAGTGCTAACGTTACGGATAGAAATATTGATACTGCTAACGATAGTGATATAAGTATTGATAATGGGGGTGTTAATGGTAAGGATATCAATAGTGGAAGCATTACTAATAGTAATATTGATAGTGATAGCATTGGTAACAATAATATTAATAAGGAAAGTGTTACTAAGATTAATATCAATAGTGATAGCGTCGGTAACACTAATTCTAAATCTACCAAACATTTCTGAAACGTTTCAAAACATTTTCTGGTCCACTTAAAACCCACTCACGACCACATTTGACCCATACGGTTAACGACCTTAGAGTGGCTTTTCCCCAAGCTCGTAAAGCTGTCTGCTCCCATAACGGTGCCGGTGACACCTCAACCATAGCTTTTGCATCATCAGAAAAAATATCCGTCCCTCAACGAAAGGTTCGCATAAAAATTTGTTCGTTTATCTAACGATATAATTATAATCTCGGGTGTATCGTTCCTGAACAAATTGACATGCGGCTAGTTGCTCCGCATAACTGTGGCTGAGACCGCAGCATTCTTCAAACGGATTATCATTATCGGCCTTCGTTATACTCAATGAATATCCAATGACTCCGTGTTACGTAGCCTGAATAGCAGTTCTATGATCGTCACGACTTTTTATATCGAACGGATTGTTTCGATAAAATTGATAATTTCTTATCAATTATTATTTGTGTAACGTATGAAAGTCATTTTTCATTGCCTATTCATTCGTTTCGCCGAGTGAAAGCAATGTTGAGAATTAAACTCACTGATGCATGGCGAGGAACAACAGTATCTTATT